CGAGACGAAACTAGTTAAGACCGAATTTTGCTGTAAATTTCGGCTGCCCGTTGATGGAGGTCGGGTCTTAAGGTGAACGGTCGCCTTTGTTTGGTCATTTGTTTATCTCCGAAAACACGCAACAATAATGTGTCCACTGCTACGCTACGCAAAAAAAACTGTATGATACAAAATCCACTAGTCCAAAGTACACCAGATGAATGCAATCAACTTGTATCCTCTGTACCACTAGTATTTCCATTCGTTTTGGGGCCCGTGCTCTTAGCTGTTGCACTGGCGCCACCGCGATCCCGTGAGCTGAGCAAACTTTGGAAGAAGTTTTGTAAGACTTCATGCTGTGTTTGTCCTCCAGTAGGACTAGGTGAAGTTCCAATAGTCGGTGAGCTCGGTGGTCGTCCAACGTGGGTGGGCGCGTTTGCACCCGTTGCAGCTCTTTGTTGTAACCTGCGTGCCCCATCTGCGGTCGTGCTGGCGTTGAGTGAGCTCGTCATTCCCATCCCGGCCTCCATCTCGCTGAGGGCACGCTCAACGTTTGGAAGATTGAAACTACTGCTCCCCAGTGGCCCAACAATACCGGCTGCGGCCGTATCCGTGGGATTTCGGAAAGCGCCACGAGGGTCCCGGTCTGGCTTCTTGGCGTTTTCGTCATAATGCTTCGCAAGGAACGACTGTTCCGGCATGGGGGCATTAAACGGAGGTAAAGGGGGTGGCTGCACAAAAAAGATGAGGTTCATGTACCAGATTACTAGAATAACATATTTCACCTTCGCGCCTCGATCTGGTACTAGCATGTTATACATTTTTGTTGCACCTGAATGCTCCTCGGACTCTACGTCGGCATCAAGGTCTGCTTCCCAAGCTTCGCCCCAAGCCTTTGCATCGAACCCTTCTCGAAGGACACCAATCTTACCCCAACTATCCCAACCAGCAGGAACGACGATGCGATCGCGGTCTAGGGTATTTGGCTTATGATGAAAGACAAATGGATTTCGCAGAGGAGCCGGAGCCTCGGATCCCGATGCCATGGGGGATGGTGCCGGTGGGATAAATAAGAGGTGCAGGGCATATTGCCTCAGCACCTGTAGTGTGTTAGGTTGCTGCGTAGTATAAAATAATGATGCTCCATCTAGAGCATTGTGATGAGATGCTCACTACGGTTACGAAGAAAAACTTACATTTTAAACAAATCGTCCGGAGAACCTGCATCACACCATCCGTACGTTCCTCCCATTCACCACCTTTACCTTTTACCATACCGCCCATGCCGGAACTGCTGGGACCCACAAGATCATTTCCCTCGTCTATCAGGTCTGATTTGGTACAGACAACAATAATCGGCACACCAGCAGAATTGTGGGTTAGAGTGCCAGGGCCGAGCGGTAGGACTGTATTTGAGGAAATATTAGAGGTGGCAGGAACTGCGTCGACAGAGGGTTCAGTGTAATGCTGTAAATGATGTTGTACTGCAGGACAATGTCAGCTATCGAATTGTCTCGATCAAATGAACATACATCTTTCATGATTTTCTTCTCGAACGATTTCAAGATCCCGAGATCCATCACCCTTCGCCCATATCTCTACCCACTTGAGCCATGTCTGAAGATTGTCTATAAATGTGCAAGGGCGCGTCCAATCCAAAACAATCATTACAAGGGTATGAGGCAGCGATACCCGAGGAGGTAGAAAGTGTGGTATCAAAGAAGTGTAAGCTATCGCATCTGAAGGTACTGTGTACACCGATAGACGCGCCAAGGTGTCTAGGTCACGGGCATTAGCACGCTTCATGTACAAAAACTTGAGAAGCACACCCTCGTCTCCGTCATCTCTTATATCGGCCCAATCATATCCAAGAGCGAAATCTGACCGTGTTTCTTCTTTGCTCTCCTCGGAAACTGCTTTCTGTAGCAAGGCCGAGGCAAGTACGGACTTGCCAGATGACGAAGGACCTAGAAGCAGGACTTGTTTTGAAGGGATTGACCGTGAAGAAGAAACTGAGTCCAATATTGACGACCACAGGTTTTCTGGAGGTGCTTCTGGTGTCGATGGACGAGACCCCTCCATGATCTCTGGTGAGCTTACTTCCAAGGCGAGTACTTGAGAATCAAACTACTATTACTAGTACTACATGTACTTTTGAAACTCCGATCAAGTTGATCATCTTCGACAACGACGGCGATAACAGTTACTCCCTTGGAAATCATACTGAACAGTTACTTTCTTGCTGAAGCCATGTCTTCAGCAGTTGCAGTACCGCAACACAAGCTATCAGAATCTCCCAACTCACGTACAATCGAAATCAATGATTGGGTGATCATCGCGTCCACCAACCCAATATCTAGCGCGTCAGAGTGCGACGCGTTGCAGGCTTCGCTAGGATTCCCATTGCCAGAAATGACGTTTGGAAGTAACTATCTATCTCTCGAGCATCGGCCATCTGGGTGGAAAATGATGTTTGACACTCATAATGCCCTCAAATGTGTGAAAAAAGGTGAACTCGGGGAGGGCGATGGTGGAGTCAAGGTTGGCTATGCAGATGCCTGGCTTAAGAGCCGGTGAGGAATTTATGGTGCATATGTATTAATGTGATTCTGAGCGTACCCACCAGCACAGATCCCGGAACGAATCTTCCGTTACCTATTACAGTCGCAGCCAAGCATTATGACTGGACTTACACCATGACCTATCCTGGACATCATCTTGATTCTGAATCAGGCATCGACTCATCAAGCTCTTCAATACGATGGATAGATGCCGATCAGGACAATCCATCTCATTCTATTCCGCTCTCTGAGCTCACGCGACCAGATCCAATATTATTCTACGCGGAAATCCCTCTTTTTGAAGATGAACTACACGATAATGGATCGTCCAACCTCCTCGTGCGAATAGTTCGTGCTGCTGCCCTATGATTTTCTGTTGTCTGACTAGGCCGGATTGAAGCGTGTCATGCCCACATGCATATTCATTTTGTCGCGATTCACGCTTCGCGTGGATAATGTCCTCTTTCGCACACATGACACGAGGATATATCATTCTTTCACCGCAAGCCCTTCGTTAGTTATACGTCAATTAAGCGGTTGGGAAGCACCATATGATGGCGTTAAAAGGGTATGTCTGATGTTTTCTCTCGTGTTGACTCGTCCCTTGACGACCGCCAACTACAGCGGCTTCCCAGTCGCAATGATTTGACGCCTCTGACGGACGCGAACTTCATTGCAAAGGTACTGACGGAATTACCTGTTACGGAATCTCAGCAGATAGGGGCGAGGACACGTTGGAGGGGTTTGAGGACAAAAGTTGAGGTGGCGTTACTGGCCAGAGAGGGACCCTAATACACCAGTGATAAGTGGTAGAACCATCTGCGTTGTATTTGTAGCTCATAAATTCCGTTTTCATATCCGAACCTGTTCGGCAGAATTCGTGGCACGTCCAGACTGCGCATGTTCAACACCCTTTTGCAGCATGCATTCGTGATCGATGACTTGTCGTCATAGAAGATTGACTACCAAACGATGGTTTTGCTGACTAGCGGGATTTTTATTCGACTGGTGCAACGGAAGCAGTTGTAGACGGCCAATCTATGGTAATGTTTACAACTATATCGAGCGAGCGGAAGGAGCCTTGTCCCTAATTGGTATGAGCGTACAAAATAGTGGTACGTGATTTACTACTAGCTGATTATATATAGGTCTTCACTATGCTATTGGTGCGGGAGGACTCTTGAAAATGAAGGAACGCCGTCTTCCTTCTTTCGATGTATGGTCACGGGAATGATTTTTTAATGTTCTATGATGTGTTGGCTGCCTGCGCCACCAAGATACTTGCCGGGAGAAAACCACATGATTTTAATGTTCTATGATGTGTTGGCTGCCTGCGCCACCAAGATTCTTGCCGGGAGAAAACCACATGATTTTAAATGTGAGAGAACATATCTCCAGCTAGAAGTGTATGGTATGATCAGCTCAGTGCGATCAATATCGTGACAGGCTACTGACCAGTGTGCTACCAGCACCTCAAGCAACGCCAGAGACCACCCCACCACGACCAGCAGCCAGCTTGTTCGTCTGAAGACCCGAAAGTATCGGATGAGACAGATGATAATTGCGAGGCGCCATCATATACATATGATGGAGTGTACACCTTACGACGGGACACCTGGTGATCTCTAGTTCAATCTTCGCAGTCGAAATAAATAACGAAGGTGATCATACGTTATAGACAGACCGACTTTCCATGATGAAGTTATGCGTCGAGGGGGGACAAAAACAAAGGTGTGGAGCGCGCTAACGTTGCTGAACGTTTGAGGAATGTAAGTTGTAGGAAATAAGAAAATGGCTGATTCAATTTATACTCATCATTACTGCAGCACGAGGCAAACTGGGTGCCGGGTTTTGGTCCGACATTGGGTTGTGATCGGATTTTTTTCACTCTCGTACAGGAATCCGGGGAACTTTCCTTTGATGACGAGGTAATTGGAATAACCCCGCGCATTGTGCACTACGTAGCATTTTGTTACGTGGCACTTGCTACATAGCGTTGTGCTGTTTATGTGGGAGTCTAAACAGTCGTCTCTGGCATCATGAGTCCACGTTGACTAACGTGGCTAAAGAATGGTGGAAACAACGGTTTCGCAAGATGGGCCGAGTGATCCTCAAAGGTGCGAGTAATGCAAATTAGCTTCTCGATGACGTGCTGCTGCTATGCTACCGTAGTGCTGTCATGACTCACTAGTCCAAATGCTGAGTATACAAATTTTTCCAAGTATGGTCACACGGTGTTTAACAACACGACATGCTTTTTCGGTCACGCTCCTCCGTGTTTTGGAATAACCAAGGCCGAATTATGGATTCTGAATCGTTCTCCGTGGAGATCTTCAGAACCACCAGTAACAATTAACCTCACACAAACTTGTCAAAAACCCTAACGGTTCTAACTTTTACGCCCGCGGCAACTGATTGTAATCTGAGGATTATGGATGTCCTTTGGCGCTTGCCACACAAGCCCTTGTTGTCTAATGGTTATGACGTCAGACTTCTACCGTTGAAGCGAATCTGGAGGTTGCGGGTTCGAGTCCCGCCAGGGGTTGATTTTTGTCTATAGCTATAATAATTTGATTTTCATCTCGGATCAACATAAGAACAAACTACTTATCGATGGACCACATTTCATTTTTTTAGTCTTACTGCTTCCATTTAGTTGTGGAGCTCCGCAAACAAAGGGATCGTCCTTCGTTGGGCGAGGTACCCTTGAATGGTACTGGCCTGCCAATGGCTGTCAAACAGCAATAGGTTTGCCCGCTAATTTGTGCACAGATGGTGGTTGTGATTATGATCCTGTATAACGTATCAAAATGTGCGATAGCAGTTTGGTGGAAGCAGCGTCTTCAGCCATTGCAGGCCTGGGGGTTGTTCAAGTTCCGCCCGAACAATATCGGACCCTGTTTTGCAGCTCCCTAGCAGCGGTAAGACGAAATGACGTCAGGACTGTAAGCAAAATTCTATCAGCAACCCTTTTTATTTTTCCGTGGTAGTGTTCACTCTCAGAAATTGTTTCATGGAGCAACACAGCCCAATAAAATTAATGACGGTGAATTCATGATACCTAATTATTGTCACCTTCAAGCTTCAGTCTGGGTGCCCCGAGACCCTTGATACGATGTCGGCGACTCCACGGCTAATATATCTCTAAATTTCGAAGGTCTGATTATATGTACAGTAATAAGGTCCCTGACAGAGTTCGAACCTTGGCAAAATACCACGTTGTCTCTGGGGCGTTGCGAGGGATCCCTATTTACTTATCCATGCTTCTGATCCAATTTAAGGCAGGTCTGCAATGAGTCAAACTCACATTCGTATTCTTTATCATTAAAAGCGGTATGTCATGCCGATAAGGACGCGAACTCAGCGTGTGGAACGTCGTTCTCCGTGATACCAAGCAGGGTCAGAGGTTCGTCTCTTATGGTCATAAAGCTGCTCGGAGTCCTGCTTTTCATGTCAAGCGAGGTACACCCAAATGTTGCGTTGCGAAACGTCGAGTGCACCTGCTCGCGTGGCGTCATCGCCGGAGAGTGGTGGAGTTGGTCTCCTCTTGGGCACATAAAAGGTGCCTGTCGTATCTCCCTTTGCGGCACTCCCAACATCGGGACAACGATGGCGCTGCATAATATCTTACTGGAAAAGAGAATGATGACTGAGTCACGGTGTGCCGCCGCTTCAATTCTGTGTATGACGGCAGGAGCAGGAACCACGATAAACGAATATGGGCGGTTTCAGCTACCACAGCTTCCTAATGCTCCGTAAATCTCCTATACTGTGTCCCTGCCCGTAGTTTGGTCTGCGCTGACTCCGGTTGTTTGCATTCGTAGATCGCATAATCGACGCCATTTGCCCCTGCCGCAATGCTACGGAGGTCGGTGCCCTCTGGGCGGAGGGAAATAGTTTGCAGGACCGTGGCGCAGATTCGTAGATATATACGGCGGTGTATACCTTGCTGTAGCGCCATGTCAGCGCTTCGGTCAGGTAATAGAATAGATAATGGATGATCGGGGTGGCCCTGCAGACGTAATGCAGGTGCTTCGCAGAACATACAAGTAGCTCAGATAAAGCTGACGTCTTGAAAATTGTTTTAAATCCAGCCTTTGAGGCGGGCCCATGCGAGAGTGGTGAGAGCTGCTGCCTGGTCAGGATGGCCAACTGGACACAGGTCCGGGTAAGAAACCCTTGTCGATTTGTGTGTCACAGAGTCGTGCATGACCTGCATCTGTGTCTTGAGCAATCTCGCGATCAACGATGCACTTCAGGTGGCGTTTGGTCAGCGAAAGCCAATAAGAAATACCAAGGGTGTGACTCACATCAAACAATACACCGTCTTGATTGTCACAAGCAATCACATGAATGGGAAATAGGTTACTCACTGAAGGTTCATCTCCGTGATTGAGTAGTTCATATTGTAATTTCTTTTAGTTTCCAGATGACTTCCCCATTGCCTAGCATTCGACCGAGCTCGAAGGATGCCCACATGACAAGTGATTTACAAACAGAAGATGAGTCGTCGAATCGTATTCGAAAGTCTGCATGGGACAGTCACGTTCTCGCCCACGTTACAGATTCATCTGATGATATGGATCTGTGCTCGGAAGGGACTTGGTATTTTTTGCCACTGATGTGACTGTAAGTAAAGCGAGATCAAACAGGGCTACGTGGTGGACAGAATGAGTGTCGGTTCAGGTGAGAGTGTGCACGTTTATTTTCATGTGGATGGGTGTTCTGCATGATAGACTGTTGCATTTGCCCTGAGGCTAAAAGATTGCCATGAGCATTGGCCATGACCCTTGTCCGGGTACAACGTTTTCGCTATCGGATCATGGACCAACCTCGTCCTCTGTTAAGTCCATGGCCGCCGCGGGAGTTTATTTGGTCATATTTGGATTTGAGGCTCTTGCCAAATAGCGTCACTCACCTCCGTAAGGAGCAGTGCTGAGTGGAAATTAGCTTGTTTTTCAAGGCTGGAGCGTTGATGCGTTAAGTAGCTTAACTCAAGACAGGTCATCAGTTCGGTAAGCAGTTTGTCTAGACATCTCTTTAAATCCGGTGCGGTTCTCAGCGTTTATAGAGCTCTACAAATTTGTGTGGTTCACTGACCAGACTCGTAGATTGACCCATGACTTCTTCGACTCCCCATGATGCCCCCGTGCTCTCGAGCTCGCCCATTTCACTCAGAGGCTCTTCTCCTATCCGACGAAGGGACAATAGAGAATGCCTATCATGTCAAACTGACGTGGTAGAATCTGGGTCCCGACCGCACATCTCGCCGACGCTTATCTCCTCTTATGATCTGAATGATCCAGAAGTGAGGGAAAGACAGAGAACGTTGGATGTAGACATGGCCTTGCATTTGTCCAGGGCACGGAGAGAGACCACAACAACACCTCCAGCATCATTACTTGAATACGAATCGGCTCCTCACCCTGAAGTAGTGCCCTCATTCTCCCACTTCTCAGCCATCGAAGAACACGACATTCATATCGCTCGCGGGGACAGAATTAACCACGTCGATCATAACGGTGTGAACTGCGGTTCTGACGGCTTGCACTCGCCGCGGTCTCTAACTCCTATCGACTTGCGGATGCAGCACCTTGACCAAACCCACGACCCAGCGCTTCTTACGACTATGGGAAGCGAATATCCACCAATTCGCGCTGAGGCTCTTGCATCTATGCCGGGCCTTCCCGTGTATCAAGCAAATGCATCTCGCTCCGCTTTCACCTTTGCTCACCTAGAGGCCTTTGCGGCTCAAGAAAAGGCTGAGCTAGGCATATCATCACCTACGGATACCAATGGCCAAGCATTTCGGCTGCGCCTCGCAAGCTTTGCACAGAGCAGTGGTCCAGAACCAGCCGTATCTCTACCTGGAGGAATCCCTCCATTCGACGCTCCATTTGACTCATCTTATCGCGGTAACATTCGACAACGCAAGCTCAGCCAGAGCAGTCCTGTCCCAAGGCACAGCCGGAAAAGCACCCGGGGCAAGATGGCCTTATTTGAGAACCATGGCGGAGACCCGAACTTCACTCTTCCAAGCCGGCTCATGGGTAATGGTCATTTAAGTGCCATCCCATCCTCAGACAATGTAGCAACAAGTCAGTACAGTGCTGCAGGGATGGGTGGGATTATGACGCCCGGTCATGACAGACCATACCGATTCTCCTTTTACTCCAATGCGTTGTCTGCAACTATTCACGCACGAAGCCTCAGCGAACTTCCTGCGGACGGGCAGTCCTTTGAAGATCTATTTACTGGCTTGGCTCCTCCCGACCGCTCGCAGGACGTGAAGGGTGGGTCTGCTCCTGTTCCCGTACCTCAACCACACCGAGGGGCAGCCTCTGTTCAGGACACGAACAAACATCCGCCAGATTTTACAACTCTCAATAACAGTAGCTATCAAAATGGGAGCAATCATGGTCGTCCGGAGAAAGGCGGTGCGAGTAATTCAGGCCCACCAAATAGCCTTAGGAATGATGGCGAAGTCGAGGGGAATACATGGTGGCTAGATGTCCTAAGCCCGACAGATGAAGAGATGAAGGTTCTGAGCAAGGTGCCGCCTCTGCAAACAGTCAGTTCTCTGAACTCAAGCATTGTCTTAGGTCTTCTCTATCCACCCGTTGACTGTTGAAGACATCCAAATGGAGGAAGCTCGTGAAAAGATCGAATTGTTCCGGAACTACTACCTTGTCTGTTTCCGGAGTTTCGATCAGGATCCTTACAGCCCCATGCACCTGGAGCCTCTGAATATGTACATTATTGTATTTAGAGAGGGAACTTTATCTGTAAGTGCACCATTTAATTTCCTATGCTGTGTTATTTATAATCTGTATAGTTCCATTTCCGTCCCACTCCGCATCCACAAAATGTCCGCCGAAGAATAAAACAGCTCAAAGATTACATTAATGTCACATCAGACTGGATCTCGTATGCGTTGATCGATGACATTACCGATGCCTTCGGACCTCTAATCCAGTCCATTGAATATGAGGTCGACTCTATCGACGAGCTCGTCCTTATTTTGAAGGAGGCGGAGCAAAGTGACATGTTGAGAAGAATCGGAACATGTCGCAAGAAGGTCATGGGACTACTGCGTTTGATGGGTAATAAGGCGGATGTAGTCAAGGGGCTCGCGAAGAGATGCAACGAAAACTGGAGGGTGGCACCAACGTCAGACATCGTGAGTTATTCGGTAACATTCATCCGTGCCAGGACTTATTCTTTACGAAAGGGTCTATATCTTTCCGACATTCAGGTCAGTTGCTGCCGACACTGAATTTACAATTTATTGATTCCGATGAGTTGTTAGGATCACTTGATAACCATGACGCAAAATCTAAATCACTACGAAAAAATCTTGTCCCGGTCGCACTCCAATTACTTGGCACAGATTTCCATCGAGATGACAGATGCTAACAACCAGATCAACGATGTCCTCTCGAAGTTAACGGCATTGGGTACGGTTCTCATTCCTATGAACTTGGTAACGGGTGAGTCCATTCTCTTCACCGCGGATGATTTATGTCCTCATGGCTCATCTAGGTATGTGGGGTATGAATGTACACGTTCCAGGCCAGGATGATCAGGTACGTGGGCTACCATTTGCGCACCGCCACTATTTACTCTGTTTTTCAGGTCAGTTACCACTGGTTCGCTGGGATCCTTGCCGCACTTGCAGCCTTTGGCATCATTGGCGGGTACACCACATACAAACTCATGGTTAAACGATAAACGTATTGGGGTTGATCATTTTATTTTATTTCTGTTTCAGTGTTTAGACGTCGCTTGTCTGGTCCGCTGTTGTCATTTGTTATTCCCGATCTCGTCATCGTGATTTGCGCCTAGACTTTCATCGAGTTCGCGGGAGAACTCGAGGATCGTCCTCATTTTTTCCCATTAGCAATGTCGCTTCTTTTCCCATTCATATATGTAATATTCACGTACATCAATACTCCATAGAAAGCATGTCAGGTAGCGAGGACAATTGCAACTACGGTCAACAAATAAAAAGTACAATCATAGACCTATGAAAACCAAACCAAAATTCGCAAATGGCGCATGAAGTAATACAATATAGGGGTCTACTTGTGATTTCCAACCAACAACTTTACTGACTTCACGGAGGAGCATTCTCCATTCATTGTGTTAAGAGACGGGGAAGAATGTGGTCTAGCATAAGGGGGAGGGATCGAAGGCGGTCGTCGAGGGGAAGGCTCGGTGTCAACAGGTGATACAATCATAGCGAGCGAAGGCGAAAGCGTCTGCTGCATGGTACGAGCTGCTGCGCTCGCAGGCGGAAGAACAGGAGTTTGAGGAAGGCGCCGCTGCTTGGGTGATCTTGGCTCTGCATTGTCTTGCTGAGTGTCGTCCGAATACTTACGCTTCTTGTTCAAGTGCGGTGACTGTGGGCGGGATTGCCAAGGTGGGGGAGGAGGGACGTGATGTCCGTTCGCTGACGGCTGCCTTGCAAGTTCATAAACAGGCGTTGGTGGTGTGGGAAGTGGCATGGGAGTGCTGTGAATATGCGAATGTCGATGGTGCGTAGAAGGGCCAGGTTCAGCACTATGAGGCATTGTATGCGTTGTAACGCTCCGGGAAGCTGGTGCATTGCCGTTATTGAGATCAGGCTGACCGGGCATAAATCGTATGAGTTCCACGAATAATGTTTGCGTGTAAGGGGGTAACATTTTCGTATAAATAACATCTTTGCTGAAGGTGTCTAGCATTGCACTCGTATTGACATACGTGTCTGGATCTTGGTGATCTGCTCATCCGTTAGTGTGAGCAATACACTTCAACAAATTTTACTGACCAACATGCTTGACACGGACTTCTGAATATATGTAAGGCCGGCTCCTACGCAAACAGCACAGTGGGCACATAAATCGATTGGTGGCGATGGCGTTGGGCTCTGTTGGGAAGAAGACGCAGCCAGAGTGGTAACGTCTCCTACAAGCTTCGCATTCAACGGTTGGATATTCGAGGAGGTATGGTGTGCGACCGCGGCATATACAGCGTGTACCATCCAACCAATCCTTGTCGACATCCTGACCAAAAGTAAATTTTGGTCTTCGCCTCTTTTTGACCCGAACAGCTGGAGGTTGACCAGCGAGGATGCGATGAAGACCAGCGAGGTCGAGACCGTATGAGACTTCGCGACTTGGAGACACAGCAAACTGGATCTTGTACAATTTGCGCATGTAGTGGCGCACTTGAGGAATATACTCGGCCCGTTTATTGCCGGGTTGTGAGGCATACGTCAAGAATTGACCGATGACTTCGCACAAACGATCTATTCGACGAACAATGATCTCCAGCTGCTTCCAGGCTTCCGAATAATGTTTGGTTATTGGAGGTGCTTTAAGGAGGATGGTCGGCAGGAAACAGAAATGCCAACTCCGTTCCTTGTGAATGGCACCATTCCAGTGATGATGATCACAGAAAGGGCACGAACCACCGTTAGCTGCGCAAACGCCATGGAACCTTGCGAAGCAATGGTCACACTGAACTGCGTCGGAGTGAGTCCCAGGTGGAGGAGGGCGAACGGGGGTGGTGCAGATGCAGGTGAAGTACTCATCAGCGGGAGGTTTGTCATCCTCCGGTCTCGTTGACTCTTCAACATCATTCAGAATGTCCCGACCATGAGCGCATTCATGCTGCGGACAGTACCATGGCAGATCTTCCAACCATTCTTGATGACGAGTGAGCTGATCGTCCAGCTTCTCGAAAACGGGAAGTGAGAACATGGTAAGATGTTCTCGGGCGTAGGATCTCCACTTCCGCATCATTACAAAGACGTCTGTATCTTCTCGGTGCTGGTAACGATGCTGAAGGATCGATTCACATCGATTCTCAAGATCCAAAGCGAACTCGGCAGTTTGCTTCAGATCTTTAATGGCAGGAATGCTGAAGTCTTTTTCAGCGCGAGCAACGAAACGCATAACTTCCGAAATCCTGGGTTTGAGTCCTTGACCATCCGGGGATATCCAAGCCTTCGCCTGTTTTTCAAAATCCTTCGCTTTGCTGCGGGCCGACATTAGCCGGTCGTAGATTGTGGCATCGACGGGAATGGTAGAGTCCATCTCGAAGAACTCATCCAGCTCTTCAATCGTCTTGTGTGGCTGGTCCAATAACAGCCTCGCCCGCTCTTCCCAGTCATCCCCGGCTCGTTGACGGGATTCTAGGGTTCGGATAAACTGGGTTTCGAGAGGAACACTGCAAGCGCGAGCGCGGGTTAAAAGCCCACGAATGTCTTCTAGTGTAGCTGACGCATCCTCTGCCTTCTCCTCCAGCTCTCTAATGAGTTGCTCCCGAGTCACAAGCTTCTCAACTTCAATGATTTCATCAAGATGGACGTTGATAGATGATGCGCCAAGAAGCAGCCGCTCGCAATCACTTATGAAGGCGTCCCGACTGGCCACTGAATTGGCGGAATTGAGCAACGCTGAGGCTTTGCATTGAATATCTTCTGCTTGTTCAGCCAATGTACGGAGGCTTCCTATCTCCGAGGCTTCAAACCCGAGATTTTGCACCTCCATTAGAAGAGCATAGAGATCGTCGAGCCCACGGTCAGGCCTGTCTCCAGCATCACGGTCATCAAAGGCAGCGTTGTTCGCTTCGTGCAAAGATGGGCGACCACGTGAACGGCGGGTGAGTTTACGACCTTGCTTGCGGCTAATGAACGCATTGGCAGCCTCCAACCACTCGTTGCCACGGTTGACGCATTTACGGAGGGCGGTGAGTTCAGGAAGGTAATGATTGATTCGCTCGCCTTCAGCAAGGAGCGAGCGAAGAGAGCGTAACGACGGAAGGTCACTGTCCACGAGCACCTTGTTGAATTTCGCCCGCCATTTGCCAGGGACGGCTGCGCGCTCAAGGACTTTTCCAAGAGTCTCACGGAGGTCGGCGTCAGAAAACCGCTTCCTGAGCGTCAATTCCTCTGGTGAATGGTCGCATAGTTGATCCATGTGATCAACACAGACAATCTCACTCTTGCAATGACAAATGATCTGCGAGAGGTAGCAGAAGGCTTTGCAGATTGTGCATTGGTATTGATCTTCGGGGCGGTCCTCTTCTTCAAGACGTTCACAAACGCCGCGATCACGAGCCAGTTGACGAGCTGCGAGCTCCCGCTCAGTCATTTCCTTGAGGCTCGACTCCAGCCTTCAATAAATATGGTGAATTTCGCAAAATAACTTAATATTTCAATTTCAATGCTTACCATAATGCAGTTTTAATAGATTGAGATTGTTGCGTAATCGTTACGAGAAGCTCATCATGGGAAAAGACTGGCAGCTTCTTGTGTTCACGGTAACGCTGAACACAATCACGACCAAAAGGCAACCAGTCAGGGAGCGCGAAATTGACGGCCTCATTGAAATTGAACTGCCATGAAACTCAGTATCAAGATGTGATCGATCGAAAACGTGGCAAACGCACCCCGTGGTTGAAGCCTGCATGGTATGCTTTCGGGAACGTGATGACAAACTCGCCTGCCCGTTGGTTGCACGCATACACGCGGACTCCGGCATCAGCGAGACGTTTCGGGTTCATCAATGTTACGAGTTGGAATAGGAGATCAGACTGCGCCTCAAAAAGGTCAGGTGCCTCACTCTTGATGGCAGCCTCGAACTTTTCTGCGTCTTCTCCTGGGATACCATACCAGGTCTTTGTTTCACCCCAATGCACTAGGGAGAGCGATTAGAAAAAGTAACCTGTTGCAAGAAAACACTGCGTACTGAAGTTGATGCTATAAGTATAATGATCCTGTCGTAGCGTAGTTGGATCAGCGATCAGTGCTTATGACTGAAACGTATCAAAATGGACACACCTCATTGTGCCAACAAAATGTAGAAAAGACCATTCCAACGTATGTCCAAGGGACGGTCATACCAGATATATCAGACTTGATGTATCTGAGAAGGGAATCTGAAAGAATAGGCATGTTGTTCAGATTCCACGGGTCCTTCGAGGCCGGCTCTAGTGGATGGGTCTCCAGGGTGGGCATGGCACTGAATGATGTAAAAAAATTTATCAACATTCATTTCAACGGTGAAAAAAATCCAAAAATCCTCCTACCTGCCATGCGTAGTCGAATGTACATCAGCACCATATTCAATCTCCACAGTTTCATTCGGCGATTGTACCAGGCGCCAAAATTCATTCTCCACGTCATACTCAGAAATCAGCGTGCCTCCGACGTAATTCACCGTAGGGTCCTCTAGATCCGCGGCCGATGGAGACGGTGGAGGATGAGAGGTCCACCACCTTCTACGGAACTCAAGGTCGCGCGCCTGGAAACTCGAGAGACTGTGTTCCTCGCCCTCATCAAAGCCGAAATCGCCACCAGTACCAAAAAGACAGATGTGGCAAAACCACTGCCCTTTTGGAATGGTGGCCAAAGGGGGGTCGAGACAAAAGATATGAAATCCTGTGGTAACAAGGTCAAACGCGCACACGTTTTCATGCTATAAAATAAACATACCACAATCACACCCATCACAGAGCAACATTTTTTCGTCCTGGTTTTTCTTCTGGCAAATTTCGCAGGAAAGCTGAACAAGAGTGAGTCCATCAAAAGGAGAAGTGCGATGATACATACTTCTAAGGTGCGCTTATCCTCGTCGTCGGGCTGAGGTGAAGCCGACGCCGGAGATAACCGACTGTGGACATCCAGAGACTTCCTCGTGGCTGGGCGGTGTTCACGGTTAGATATTTGCTAACCGGGTGCTTTGACTGGCTTACGAGTCATTTCTACTCTTGCTCCGCGTCTCACAGCGGCGCTCTCGGGTCGAGGTCCGCTACGTTCTTTATAATCACCATCATCAGGGGGTTCTGATAATGGGCTAGATGTAGAAGTAAGCGGGCTGGATGGTGGGGAACCACGCTCGCGAGGAGATGTCAAAGGATGTGCGGCAGTCTGGATGTTCATATGAGTCTTCAGCTGCGGATCGCGCGCTGCAGTCGGAGTTGTGGACAGGGTTGGTGAATTCCGAACACAATCGCAGAAATGTTCATAAGGCAAGATCACTCGTGAATAAGAGTTCTTGATCTGCGTGGATAATCCAGGGATGCCACGGTAACCGAGGAGAGCCCCGAGGTCCCCCCATTTCTTGTTTTTAGTCACCTATGAAACTATTCAGGCACTAGCTACACTATGATGGAGGATCACGCACTGCCTCGTAGCCACCGAGTTTCTGGACCTCCTTGCGGAGTAACCACAGGTCTAGGGGCTTGTGGTTGATGGTGGGCACAGATACACGAGGGTTGCCTTGTTGTTTATGGAAACGGTAGAGCTGCTCCAAAAAATTGACCTTCGCACGAGATGAAGCCTCAATAGAGTTAAGGCGTTGCAGCCGAGTCTTGAAACGAAATGTCTGATACATGATTTATTAGAGCCATCATCGTAAAAAACATCACTATGTCACAAAGAAAAAATATACAAACCTCGCTATCAGTAACACAGGGCATTTTCCAACCAACGGGAGGAATGATCTTGCAGATGCCATAATTTTTCGCCTTTTCTGAGATGGAGCGGATGTAAGTCATAGGGTCTTTGAACTCATCTGACGTCGGGTAAAAAACAGGGCAGTCTTCTAATCCAAACGGACGGGATTTAGAGCGCACGGGCTGCGTTCGAGGGCTTGACGTTTTGACTGTGGATAAGTCTAACGTAGGTGAGACAGAGATGGGAATGCCATCTCCAGAAAAATTGTCGGTTGATTCCTGCTGTGTCACATCATCATTATCGAGTGATGTCACATGGTTCTGCAAGGCGGCGAGAGCATGTGTCTTGGATTTACGTGGGGCGCGTTTTGTGCTACTGGATACGCTCCGCTGTGCTCCGGGCTGGGAAGGAGAAAGAATTTCCTGCTGTGTGTCTATAGGGACTGCACCTTCTACAGGAATTGACAGACAAGACGTGAACGTAGCAGGCTGTTTATTCGAAAATTCGGTCGGCAAGGCGTCCGAGGAGCGTGGGGCGCTGCTTTGCGCAGGCGTTCGCGGAGAGCGACCGCGACGCGAAGGCGATCCCCGAGAAGAACTCGGAGGAGAAATAGTCTGCATATAGCAGCAAATGACCAGCAATAATTGTTATCGTCGAGGAGGAGGAAGAGTTATTGTGAGTGAAAGCTGCAGACTTCCGAAGGTCCTGAATTCTAATGTGTGGGAGCGGGCATTGAAATTGTGCACTGAGTTATCGTGTTGCCTTGTTGCTTCTGCGTGGGAATATGACTACATATTCGCGGAGTTTGGTGAAAAGCCTCCTTTGCGGAAATACTTTTAGCTGTTCCTCTTGTTTTAACTCCACATTCTTGGTACACTACGCTCCGTAGTGAACTACTCATCCTACGTGCGACATATTATACGTGAGGCATGTCTCTTTTGCATACAGGCGCCAAAGATAAGCTTAGATCATTCACTGTGGAAATGTTGATCCAGATGAACTTTGCCACCGATACGGAAGGTCTTCCGAAGACTACCAAATACAGCAAAATGGCCACCTAGATGGAGCTGAGGGGGCGAAAGATCGAGAGCGGTGCGTTTTGCCATGATTAAATCCATGCATTGATGTTTCATTTGCCCCCTGCGATGTGACCGTATTCAAAATTCAGCGAGCCAGACTTCAGGCAGTAGAACGATATATTACACACCAATCTCGAGGAGATCGGATCTGCCTCCAACAATATTACTTGTGCGAGGCATCCGTTACACGCTGTTATGTACATAGCTTCTCCATGAAGCTCCAGGCTAGGCATATTACTCCAGCACACGCGCCGCCCATGTGCCATTCTGTCACGATTAATATCGAGGTTCATCTGTATTGTCAAGTCTTGCCTGTACCACGTTCGAACTTCCATGCTCTAGCCGGCAGCCATAACACCTTTTCTGTGGTGCCCTTCACTGTTGTTCGGCTTCTGGCACAGAGATAAAATAAAAATGCACTTCCACGCCTCCACCGCGGCCTGTGTGGCAGTTGAGCCGAGGCAGCAGCTGTAGACCAATCGGTGCCCTTTGTATTATTTTTAGCACCAGAAGAAAGACGATGAAACATTGAACAGTCATGATTTTTCCTGGACAATCGAAACTATGTGGTCGCTACTATCCCAAATGTGGATGGTTTACATGAATTTTTGAATTCAAAATCTCTTTTTTTGAAGTATCGCTCCTGCTGAAGAGTCTTCAAATTTCTACGGTCCGTACGTCCTTTCTTCTGATCAAGACGATGGAGTTACCAATACATTTTCTATCTAGTTTCCCGAGTTTATTTATGGTTTCCTGATCGTGCTTCAAATGGTTCATCCCGCATGTCCTTCCAGGGTCGTGTATTCTCCCTAGGGAGAAACACTTATCTTTTGTCATTCTCAACATGGTCACAATTATTTTGCATTTTTTCGGAATGCTGCAGTACTGTCTAGTATGACCGTATCTCTGACACCCGATTTATGTGTCTCAACAACCCCGATACTCATCATCTTCTCAAGATAGACATGATATAAATAGCCAACCACTAGTGCGAACCTCCCCTAGTCGCAAGAAGGCTCTCGAATGGCACGATATTTCTCGCGCTGCGTCCTAGGCTAGCAGTGCATTTATCTAAGGCAGGCTCCCTCGACAGTGAAGCTAGTGAATGGTCAAGGTGCTCCCCGGGCGCGTTTGATGAACGTAATATTGTGGGCCACCGACGGCAGTATATTTAAAAGTACTCCAATCTCGCTGGCAAGGTCACATTCTACTGCGTGGCCGTCTGTCTGGGTCTTCTTAACACCTCCGAACACACGCCAGGTTCTGCATGTCAACTGCGCCCTCCGTATTTCCGCACGCTTGTTATGTACATAAAATATTTCCCCCTAAAATTTTAAAGTCGCCAGTAAACGGAACGGCTGATTTATGAAGCTCATTGTTCTTCGATAGAAATACAGCGATGTCGAGGTAATGGCATCGGGTAGACACGTGAGACTATATGGATTAGTTGGGACCTGGAGATTGTGCGAAATTAAATATTAGTTAGCAGCCTTGGCTACATAAGGCTATGAGTGTGCCTGCCTTACGATACTGAAGTTTGCAAGTCTCACGTCGACTGAAATGGTACATGTTCAAATGAACAATAAGGTAACCGTCAAACTTTGATATCGAATAGGAGGTAGGTGATGTTGAGCGGCTATTGATTGTAGGCCAGAGCTGACTGGCATTGGTGACTGTAAGTCTGTCTGATTAGTACATGATTTTCTCACAAATTCAATAATAATCATCATCATAACATCACCCTAGGTGGACACGTAGCAGCCTGTACGCCGGGATCTATATGCTCCACAGCATATAAATAGTACACCAAATCTCTGATTGGAAATTACATAACTGAGCTATGTCTGATAGGCTGTATCAGGCTGTACCCGAGTCTCCTGCCTTGCAAATGGAAGCCCGGAGCCACGCAAGAATTCGTGTCGAAACATGGAAATCTCTCGCTGCGTATATGAGCCACAGCGTGAACAGCGCCACAATGCCGCATGCGCTCCCAGTGATCGCGAGCGTCAAGGTGGGCGTAGACGTAAAGACCTGATAAGAGAACGCAAGCATAAAATACAGCATGCTGCAGAAGAATACGACTTTCGTGAGCTAAGAATGCACTACAGTAGGATACTCACCCCCATAACAGCATAGCATACGGAAGACCATGCACAGTCGCTACAGCTTTGGTGCCAAATGCGGACCCTGTCATCTTAATGAGGATGTCGACCTGCAACATTCTGTTATAGCGATATGCCACAATCGATGCACCATTCTTTGCTCACCGCTGTGGCAGCAGATTCCTGCCCATATAACCGACTCTGTCGGGTGAGAAACAGAGACACAACCAATGATCCAACAATGCAAAAAATAGAAAGATATGTGCTAATAATTGTGACCGAACCTGGATTCTGGATGCTGACAGATGGCACGGCCAGAAAGCTGACGTCCACGGCTATCATCACAGTTGACTGGCAAAGTTAAGCAAAAAAGGAGGCGAACAACGAGAATTGTGGCACGCACATATATTGTAATGCTTGCCCATTCAGCGCTCAGCTTGCTGTTAAAGTTCTTCCAGCGCGGAGAATTGATAGTTCGGTCGACCCATACTCGTCGGAGTTCTTCCATGTGTGACTGCGGAGCCCTGAACAATGCAACGTTGAAGGCCCACGAGAGAACTAAGATTAGCTTGTTCCTCTTCCTCTTTATGTAAACCGTCTGGTCCGCATCCAGACGGGCAGCAGGGAGCCCGCAGAAGTTGAAGAATTTAGCTCGGACTAGTATGAAGCTTAGAAAGGATGTGTTGCAGAACGCGCAACTTACCGAAATACCGCATCAACCTGGCTGCTAGACAGTCACCCCCTGGAGTGATATGGAAATGATGTTACTTACCAATGACACAGATAGAATAGGTGCCACAGACATTCTCTAGATTGGGAAATCAGCAATGCCACCGGAGAAACCTTTCGCTTGCCTCCAAGCTTGTCGATCAAGTCCAGAATTTTGGATAACTCATCACCGTCGAAGGGCGAGAGCGACACGTCTGTCGTAATGGTCTCTGCAGTCCTTTCAGCGACTCGTGCGTGCAGTTAAAGAGGAATTCTCACCAGCGCTAGCATGCACAACAACTTCTTTGAGCTCCTTGAGCAACTGAGTGCATGGAAGATTTGCATTGGGATACATCTCGCAGTGTCGCCTGGGAAAGACCTGATTGATCTTGCATTTATCTTGCATTTTCTATTCCATCACTTCATGAGAGGATTTCACAAACAAGAACAGAAGACATACAATTAAAGACTTGCCAGTACTGATATTCAACAGCATACTCTGGAAATGCAAATCATCAAAACACGACGATTATCCATTGTTGAGGGCGTACTGATATGACTCAGCTTTTCGACGCCCTTGACTCCACACCAAAGATCTTTTGTAGGTAGCTTATGGAGCCAGAAAAGCACATGCTTGTCATGGTCAATAAAATAGTATCTGCAAATTTTAACTCCAGCCTTCCGCGTCGACTGCACTACAAGCTCAATCTTGTCGCAATCTGACTGCAACTCAGGGGGCATGAGAGCAAGTATTTCATCCACACACGAGTCCATTCTGCACCGGAGATCTTCGAAACGCAGGTTTGAGTCCGTATAAACATGCTGTCACTAGCAGTAAGAGTCCGAGTTTCTTTTATACTTCGGTAATAAATGACATACGCGCCTGGAATCATGAAAATAGAGCGCTCCCTCTGGGTGTATACAAGCACGCCAATTTCCGCTGTCTCGCTCATGTGCACTGCATTCCATTTGTACTTATTTCATCCAAAAAGAAGTGAGTACTCACTCTAAAAAGTTTATCGTTAGAGGATCTATAGACTCGCATTCTTTGGTATCGGGGTTTCTGTGATCACATCAGTATTGGATTGCAGTCGAACCACAAGAACTCGCATTGACGGGGCTTTATTGTACCGAATCACATCGGAAGGTGTGAACGGATCGAAATTAGCGGGGCTCCGGTTCTGGGATTCGACTGGAGCTGCAGGAGGTGACTGTAGGACACTATTAGAAGATGATGGCAGGGCGTGGACTGGCAACAGTGAACAGGATGAACATGAAGTGGGCCCTGGCAATGGTTGGATCTGTGGCTGATGGTTGCTCGGAGGAAGAAGCATCGCAGGCTGGTTTGAGCTAGCAACTCGCTCCAGGTGTTCGTCTGTGTGGATGCACTGGAACCGACGCCTGCATGCGATGCTACGTAAATCGTAGTATAAGCGCAGAGCGGTGCGACATAGATGATGTACAAGTCGCAGCGGGAAAGTAAGATATGATCTAAACAACACCTTCAGAAACACTCGCAAGCGTTGTATGAGCCTTCGAACGGAGTCGCTGCCATAGTTGAGCGACATGGTGTTGTTAGCTGCTAAACAAGTTCAGGGCACGAGGCATACAAACTGACAAAGCACGAGCAGCTTCGTCGGTTACCAGCCTTGTTTACCGTTGACCGAGAAACTCTATTTAAACTTCAAGTTTTCGGTTAGCTTCTTGAAATGGTCATTCAAAACAATGACTCGATTAGAGGGCAGTCGACTGATACACATATCACCATTCCCGGATCAACTGAAGTATAGGCTGTCACTATACATGGTTCTTACTACATAGTACCGCGCGCGTCATTCAGACATTGACTGAGCCGAGTTGACCGTATCCGACTTTTTTTCTCTGCAAGTCCGAACCATGATATCCGCTTGCGCGTTCCCAGGGGTCGTAAGTGTGATAGTAGACGTGTATGTGAAGACCTGGCAAAAGAATGAAAGTATGGAATACACTGTGCTGCAGGAGAATCTGGGTTTCAATAGAAGGACCCTCGATGTATAGTTCTCACATGGAATAACCGGTCTAGGTACAAGTCTGCGCAGACTTCCAGTTATATTCTGGGTGCCGCGTGTCCTGCGGAGTTACTTCCAAAAATTTAGTTTGGGATCACTAATAGGCCATGATCCGATGCACTGTTCGTTCGTTGTTCACCGTTGTGTCGGCAGATCCCTGCTCAATCCTGTCTGCCAGTATCTGGTCAAATAGAACAAGGGGGCCATCAAAGATCCGATGATGCAAATTACGGAAATATATCATCGGACTGGATGCGACTCCTAGCCAACATATTGACGAAGGTACACCTAGAAAAGGCTATATAGCATTACATTTGTCTGACACAGGATTGAGCCGAGCAGCAAGAATTTTGACACGCACATACCAATCACGATGTCAACCATCGAACCTGTTTCCAGCGCCGAGGGTCGACCCATCCTTGTCGGAGCTCGCTTTTGTGTTAATGCAGGGCCCAAAACAATGCGGCATTGGGTCCGTGCAAGAGCCGATATTAGCTTATGCCTGTGCTCCTTGACGTAAATTATACTTGAGAATCTCTGATCGACCTTATCGCGCTGGTCGTGAGCTCGGAGACAATGCATTGCGAGCAACTTTCAGAAATACTACATAAACCTGGCTGGAAAACGATTAACCCCTACAGGGAAAAGAGACAGAATGAGGCTACTCACAGATGAAAAATGGAGGGGGCACCGTCTATGTTTGCTTCTGCCGTCAACAAGGGAAGCTTCTTCAAATCCGTCAACCGAGTCAACATACATAAAAACTTCCTTGCGCTCCTTGAACGATTGAAGAACATGCCGCTGCTCATTGTACGTCTCGCACTTCTGATTGGAGTTGGATGAGCCACCGCGTTATTATATTTCAGGCTGACTCAGAAGACAAGACCCACGTTGAAGTGGATTTATCGCATTGCATCACCTCAGGTGGGTGTGTATGGCTAGAACTCAGTGAAGCTCCGGCTCTGGGAGTTGACTCGAGTTGAAGTTGTTTCTATAACCAAATTATCGGACACATGGTGTATGGCTGATGCATGGGCTCTGACATTTGTCAGAAATAGTCCAATCATATAGTAGTCGAGCGCTGAGCTAGGGCTCTGAGTTGGCATCACGAGAAGACGCACACGACTGCTACTTTAACTGTTTCTCGTTGGCCACTCCACAAGTCAGACTGGGTTGGATCAGATGATCATAATGGACTCCGGCAACGGAAATGGACATGGCAGCGGGTTTGCAGCGGTGACGTTATTGCCACCACACAAGGGTTGACCAGGCGCGCCGCGCACATTCGAATCAATCAGTGGATCGCTCGGCCATCTCCAAAGTTGCGAGCCTCTAGGTAACATCAAAGTGTCGGCACTGTCGAACTGACGATTTGCAGGCAAAGTGTACCAGCTGCCAGTAGTTGGGTACTTTCGAATTATCATTAACATCAGGCCACAGAATACGAGAAAGCCTTACCGACGGGTTTTCGAATACTTTCAAATAATACATTGTCCGCATCTGCTAAACCTCGCTGGTCGAGAAACGGGACGTGACTTCCAGATCGCGACGGCCCACTGCGGCAGCAAAGGAATTGATTCTAACGCCTGTGTTGAGCTTTCAGGGCCACAAACGATCTAGTTCACCCACATCCTACTTTCCGGACGGGAAGCGAATCATCAGTGGATCTTATGTTTCGTGAATGAGACCTAGAAACGGGTGAGGAAGTTGTGGAGGCACAGAATGTTTGAAAGCAGGAAGTACTTACTGTGGGGGTATCAAGGGATGGTCGATGGGTTCTTTCTGCAGGTGGAACTATCAACACTGGGGAGCTCAAAGTCAGTGAGGTCGAGACGAAGATCACCGTGAGAACATTTGAAGGTCACTCTGGTCGTGCCAACTTCAAGTTCTGCCATAGCGAATGGCAGAACGGCAGTAATTTGCCAACAACACTAGGGTCGACTGCATCAATATCTTCGGGGACAGCACATTACTGGCGAGTGGGTCATATGGAGCTTGGAAACAGGCAAACTTCAAGCTGTGGCTGGTGCGACACTCAGAAGTATCGACAGAGTGAGCGCAGTTCGATTCTCGCAGGACCCCACGAAGCTCGCGGTCAAGTCAACGGCGGGGAGGCTCCCCGAAGTTTGGGATGTCCAATCACAGATATTGGATGTTCATTTGCAGCACCCCGTCGATGCCATTTTTGTAGTCTGCCACTCCTGCCGCGAATCAATCTACCGGTGAGACCCACCAAATGCGCAACAAAGCCTCCCTTCCTACTCTCTGCCACATCCCCCTATCAGTTTTGCCCGTCGTCACACAGGACACGAATCCTGGACTGACAGACACGCCGGAACCTCTCGCATGCAGCCTACCAACATGCGACCGCAAACTGACATGTGGCAGGGGCTTGTTGGCATGCAGTCGTCGCCTGATAAGACGTTGGGGCAACACTTCGAACTAGTTTCACGGCTACCCCAGTTACCCCCGTGGGCTTGTTCCTTTCTCTTCCTATACGCATACAATCTTATCTGCTCGTAATGACGAACCTGATGACGTCCCCACTGAGGTAATACTCCAAGACCTCTCAAAATACATCACCAAGGACGAAGAATATCATGTTGCTCGTGGCGGGTTCTGGGAGATCTGGAAATGCACCTTCTACATCGATCGTAGTCCAATCAAAGTTTGTTTACCGTCTTATGTCTGCCATTGATAATTCAGTTAGATCGCAGTGAAAGCATTGCAAGTGTACGCCGCCGATCATGTTGGAACAACAAAGACAAAAAAGATCGAAGTGAATTTCTTAACAAGAGACTGCATCTTCTTCTTACGGAGTGCCACTTCGTGGAGGATGAAGCGCGAATTTAGGATATGCTTACCTCAAGCATCCAAATATTCTATTCGTTTATGGTTATACGTATGGCTTTGGCCCATTTATAGCGATAATTAGTCCTTGGGTGGTGAATGGCAACCTGACGAACTATTTGGAGCTCAAAGGCGCGGCTCTTACTCTCATTAGAAGATTTCGGATCGTGAGTTCTCCGTTGTATCTTATGCAGACCATGAACTGATCGCAATCTCAGCTCAGGGATATCATAGCTGGTCTGCAATATCGCACGTGCTAGTTATTCTTAGTGCAGGACCTGAAAAAACTCTTCAGTTCATGCCAACAGTGTCATCCATGGTGACTTCACTGGGGTAACTTTGATCCTCGTTAATTTCAATTTGATTAGCCCAACGTGCTGATCCATGGTGATGGCACTGCATGTCTGGCCGACTTTGGTCTTTCCTATTCGGAGGTGATAAGCGCCTCTCAGGCTTCCTGGACGTCCACCGTCAAAAAAAAGTGCGATGGATGGCTCCTGAGCTGCTTGTACCAGAGAAGGAGGAGGATGGATGTCCCACCCGTCCGAGTGCAGAGCGACATCTTTTCCTTCAGCGGCATCATGCTGCAGGTACGCTGGGTAAATTTCGGTCTCTCATTTATATCACGAGCTCCACTGAGTCGTAGGTAGGTCCTGACCAACAAAGCACCCTATCATCACTTCACAAATGATGCTACCATCATACTCTGCATAGCCAAGTCGCAAACGCCTGCCCGATCTCGTTACCCTGAACTCCCTGACCGATACTGGCAGTTTATCGAGCAATGTTGGTCTCTGATCCCCGGGACCGTAGAATATCCTCAACCTTGTCTCTTATGTCTGAGCTATCCATAACCCCCACCCCCAAATCCGTTGAACTTCTACAGACAATATGTTTGCTCATTGTCAGCGATATGCCAGACTATTTCTCATACAAAGAAAGCATCATCTTGGTCGATCTGGCCAGCTCTGCCAAACTCTTCTCATGGGTGTGCTGACTTGAGTGGGTCGTGGCGCATTCGACGTCCATTATAGTTGTGCTTCCTGAACGACACTTTGAATTGTTTGATGGTTGTTTCTACCTCTGTTCCAAGTTTGGCTGACATACTGTAGGCATTCGTCGGAATATCATTACATGCACAATGCAACTCTCTATATTATTGAATATTGTTTGTGCCAATGCGCATGCACTTGCCCGAGTTCCCCTGCCATTCCAGCGTGGAATATGAATCATGATCGTAGACACGAGCAACGGTGTCTAACTGATACAAGCAGGATCATTGATTGATACGGCTGTCATCGTGCAAATATAGGTGCAACTATAAAGTTTGGAAACATAAGAAGCCGTAGTGCGCTGTTGAGATGTCTGATGTACAGGCTGCCACATATCCAATCATTAATGATCAGCTTCTAACTCAACTGAGTCACTTTTTAAGGCCGCGTCGGATGAAGTATCCGACATTTGTCTTTGAAACAAGCAAGCCACGTCTGGAACCATGGCAAGATGTGGAAATCCCTGGCCGCGCTTACGAGCCACAGCGTAAAAACCGCCACAACGCCGCATGCGCTCCCAGTGGTGGCAAGAGTGATGATGGGCGTGGACGTGAAGACCTGGTAAGAGAATGCAATTACGAAATACACCATGCTGTAAAGGAACAGGAGTTCCGTGAGTAATGGAAGTCCAACAACAACAAAAATACTGACCCCCACAGCAACATGGCATACGGAAGTCCGTGGACAATCGCAAGAGATTTAGTGCCAAACACAGATCCTGTTACCCGCATGAGGAACGTAACCTGTGATGATTTGTTTCAGCGATAACTGATCACCGGTGTACCGTTGACTACTCACAGCTGTGTCGGCAAATTCCTGACCATGCAACTGATTCTGTCTAGTGAGAAACAAGGACACAACCAGCGATCCGACGATGCAAAACAAGGAAATGTATGTGCTGATAACCGTGACCGAATGCTCATCCTGGAGATTGACGGAAGGCACAGCTAGGAAACTGACGTCCACTGCCAGCATTACAGTTGACTGATATGATTCAGTAAAAAATATATGTCAACTAATAGAATCACAGTACGCACAAACATCGTGATGCCCGACCACTCACTGCTCAACTTGCTATTGAAGTTCTTCCAGCGCGGAGAGTTGATGGAGCGGTCGACCCACACTCGTCGGAGTGCTTCCATATGTGACCGCGGAGCATCGAACAGTGCAACGTTGATGGCCCATGAAAAAGCCACTATGAACTTTGACCTCTTCTCCTTGGCAAAAAGAGACTGATCCGCGTTTAAACGGGCTTCAGGGAGTCCGCAAAAATTGAAAAATTGAGCTCGCGCTGGTCGGAAGGTTAGAGATCATCTACCGTGCACCGCAAAACTTACAGAAATAGCGCATGAACCTGGCTGCAAAACAATCATCCCCTGAAGGGAAACAGGATTAAAATATGATGCTTGCCTATGACACATGCATAATGAACGCCCTGGACGTTGTCTAGTGTCGAAATCAGCGATGGCTCAGCCGCCATAAATGAAACTTTCACTTGCCTTCAAATCGATCAGTCAAATCCAGAATTTTTGATAACTCATCGCCGTCGAAGGGCGACAGCGACAAGTCCGTCGTAATAATCTCTATAAACTCCGTTCAGCGAAACATGATGGTGCACTGAGAAGGAAATCTCACCAGCGCTAGCATACACAACGACTTCCTTGAGCTCCTTGAGCAACTGAAGTCCTGGCAGTTTGTCACTTGGATACAGCTCGCAGTGTTGCCTGGAATCATATCAATCTTTTTCATGCTAATCTTGCATATTCTATTCCATCGCTTGGTCAGAAGACTTCAACGACCAGACAATGAACACACACAACGACAGACTTGCCAGTACTGATGATGGATAGCATACTCTGAAAATGTCAAGCATCAAAAAAATTGATATTCACCCATGCAAAAAGACGCACTGATATGACTCCACTTCTCGACGCCCAGAACTCCATCAAATATCCTTTCCGTGGATATCTCATCAAGCCAGAAAAGCAAACGTTTGGGATGATCGACGAAATAGTATCTGTATACCCTATCATTGTTGGGTTTCCTTGTCAACTCGACCACAAGCTCGACATCATCGCTGGGCAGCTGCAATCCATCAGTCGTACGAGCGAGTAGCTCATTTATGAAATTATTCATGCCAATCCGACGTGTTTCATTCCGCATGGACGAGTCGGTATAAATACCCTGTTGCCTGCAATAAGCGACAGAAGACGCGTTGTAATAAAGGACACACGCGCAAGGGGTCATGGAAGTATAGGGCTCCTTCAGGGTGTACACAGGCACACCATTCGCCACTGTCTTCTCGTGGGCTGGGCCCCATAATGAAGCATTGTTTAATCCAATGAAATGACCGAACTTACTCCGAATACTCTCTCTTTCCGGGAGGTATAACCAGAATTTTTGATTCCTGCTTGCTGCGACCCTATTCAGTCCATGAATTTATTCAGAGTACGAGAAGCTCACATTTGAGGTCTTTTACTGTATCGCATCACCTGGGAGGGCGTGAATGGCCAGAAGTCAGACTGGCTCTGGGGGACGACTGGCACTGCAGGAAGCGGCTGCTGGCCCTGATTAATTGATGTCGAAGGAGTGTGGACTGGCAATAGGGAGACGAATGAGTTGGCCGCGGACCCTGATGATAGCGGCGGTGGCACCTGTAGCTGCACAGTGTTGCTCAGAGGAAGGAGGGAGGGCTGGAATGAGCCAGCAACTTGCTCTACATGTCCTTCTCTTCGAACGGGCAGAGACCGACGCCTACGGGAATATAGTTGCAGAAGGGTATGAAACAAACGATGTACGAGTCGTAACGGAATCGCAACATATCGAGTCAATGCTTCCAGAAATACTCTCAATCGGTTTGTGAACTTGTCGACTTCATGCCTGCGTAACATCATGATGTTAGTACCAGACAAATGCAGACAAGCTCAGGACACGAGGCAGCACAGGTTATTCGAACATCCCGATGACAGTGGTTGGCACTAGGACGCAGTCCTTACTTACAAGAATCCGAGATTGAACCTGACTGACAGTAGGACTCAGAGTATCATTGTGTCCCATGAGACATGAATCCGAGTAATATTATTATCACGCGATATTGAGAGGGAGTTTCATAATATCTTTGTTTGCCCCTACAGGCTACGTGACATGGCAAGGCCACAAGTATGACTACGGATAATAAGGGAACATACGAGAATGAGACGATGCGGGAGGTGAGGAAATGCAAATGAAGTGTCAAGGACCCAAACTATCAGACGTCGCATCGAGGCGAGGATAGCAGCGGGTAACCAGATATAAAGATCAAAAGAAAAAGGCAAAAGCAAACCTCTAGTCGTCGCCTGCAGCCTCAGCCTCGTCTTTCGTATCTGGTTTCTCTGTAAGCCAGCTAAGAAGCGTACATTATATTGGTGGAAGATGACGTACCTGAATCCTGCATGTCTGAAGTCCAGAGGGTGAGGTTGTCCCGTAATAGTTGCATGATGAGGGTCGAGTCCTTGTAGCTCTCTTCCGAAAGAGTGTCAAGTTCAGCAATCGCATCATCAAAGGCCTGCTTAGCAAGGTGGCAGGCACGGTCGGGGCTGTTCAAAATCTCGTAGTAGAAGACAGAGAAGTTGAGGGCAAGACCAAGGCGAATGGGATGCGTGGGCGGTAGCTCCGTGACGGCAACTTCTGATGCATCCTTGTAGGCACCCAGGGACTTGTCTGCGCTGTCCTTGCGCTTGTCGCCAGTGGCAAACTCTGCGAGGTATCGGTGGTAATCACCCATCCTGTTAGATGATGACGTTAATGGGTGATTGTGCGTGACATTTGTATAACGTACATCTTGTGGTAGAACACCTTCGATTCGCCAGAAGCAGCGGAGGGAATTAGGTGCTTGTCGAGGACGTCGAGGATGTCCTCGCAGATTTTGGCGAGCTCGCCTTCGATCTTCTCCCTGTAGCCCTTGATCATGGCTACTTGAGCCTCGTTACCCTTGGACTCCTCCTTTTGTTCGATCGAAGAGACAATGCGCCATGATGCACGGCGTGCACCAATAACGTTCTTGTATGCTACGGACAGAAGGTTGCGCTCTTCAACAGTCAACTCCTGGTCAGACGACGCCACTCGTTTCATGTTCTCAACCATTTCTAAATTGATGGTTGTGAGCAATTTTAGAAGGCAGACATGTTGGTTAAGCACCTTCATAACGCTCAGCCTGCTCAGCGAGCTTAGCGAGGTAGACAGAGTCCTCACGCGTTTCAGGCATCTAAGGAGCAGTCAGCAACGTGATCGACGCGTCCCAAACGCGTCAAATACTCACTATTGTATGAGTTGAGGATGAGTATAGAGCTAGCTAGAGAAAGAGTAAGACGATGAGCAAGACAAGTTTGTCGTTGAGGAAGACGACGAGGACGTACGAGGAGTTGAGGATGGTGGTTGTTTAGAAAAGAGGAGTGCTGTGGAAATAAAGTGCAAAATTAAATTGAGAGCTGGGCAGAGGGTTCGGGTATAGGGCAGGGTTTAGGGTATAACCAAATGTGGAAAGGATTCAAATTCTCACGCCACGATCACCTAGATCTGTGTCTTTGATTGTTGCTATTGTAAATTCTAGAACCCGGTTTGTGCCATATCTCTTGTTCGTTGTCTGCCTCGTTGTTCGGCCACCTTTTGATGTTGTGCTCATTGTACGTTTCTATTGTCGGCCTCGTACTCCACAGAAAGTACTATGGAAAGTTCGCCTGTCCTTGTACTCTTATCAACTAAGCGCTCAACACAGCCACGACCCACCAATTATAGCATTCACTGCTCTTCAGACGTGCCGTCATGAAGCTCCATCATGAACGTTACTGCGACACGGCGGTGATGACACTGACAGGCTATACAGGTTTCGGCTCCCATTGGTCTATGTATACAACGTTCTGTTTTTTCACACGAACGATCCTATCACCGTTACAGGTATCTACGTTCTAATACACTGGAGACATCGTTCAATTTACCCGCGCGTAATCTATCCCACAACTGCACCGACGCATTTCTCCGCCCTCCACGGATCGGAGCGAATGCAGCGGTTCTTAGCGGCCCGCGCTTAAAGGAACCATGTGGCCGCGGCTATACACGACGAAGTCTAATACCAATCTCAGGCTACTGCCCGAACATGCTCTCCGTCAAGTTTCGCAGTACGTCACCCTTAGACCCCGCGTAAATTAAATTTTACTTATCTCTTTATCGGTGACCTATCATCCAGTAGTTTTTCTAGTCACCGGATGGCGAGATACTTTCCTATATACCTTGCTGTATTTGTTGACCAAACGCGGTCTTGAAAGCTCTGTCGAGCGGTTATCGATCATTGTGCTCCGAAGGCAGAGCGTTGAGGATCCGCAGGCATGAAGGAAAAGCACATCGATAACAGACATAGCCTATAGGCTACCTAGTCTTCATTGGGCAGACCATATGGAACGATGGTTCCTCTTTCATAGCCACCACGATCGCGCATCTGCCATGTTTCCACAATAATATCATACTTGCATCTCTGCCCTAAGTCACATTAATTCCCCCTAACCAGATCATTACAGTCGATTGCATAGGGTGTGACTATGCTTCGGGCTGCGATACTCTAGTAGCACTTCCCTCTACCCTCTGCCCTAGGCGATTTTTTTTGGAAAGCTGAATTGAATGAGTCGTTGGCAGAATAATTATAAAATTTCTTCCGCATACATAATTCAGCGTTGATTATGTACTGCCAGTCACCCCGTGATGCTGTGCTGACCCGCTCAGAATGGGAATATCAACCTACGCTCATCCCAAGTTTCTGCTACCAGTGAAATTCATATCGAGGAGGGAGGCAGTCTCAAGCTCGATCAAATCGACTGATTTGTGAACCGGGTGTGAGCACGCCGGTTTACCTGAGTTCCCATAATCAGTACATATACCGTCGCTGATACTAAAAGCTAAGCTTCAGTCTTGCACCTTTTGGTGTAACGGTTATACGTGGGCGGCGGTCTAACCAAAGTTACACTTAGGCGTCTGACGAGCACGAACGTCTGCGGAAGAGAGTAAAATCGGCCGACTTGACCCCGATCCGTAGCACTTGAGTTATCTCCAGACTCCAGCGAATGACTGATAATCCCAAGAGCGTGCCCGCTCAACACCTACGAAGGAAAATATCGTATTAACATCAATTTGGATGTTTAGACACAGCGGACAATCGGATGTGACATTCATTGCATACATACAAAAGTGACCATCGGATAGCGAGGTCAGTTAGTTATCTATAGTAGCTTTCACCCAACCATACATCTTGACGGCGCATAAAACCCTCTGACGATCTAGGAATAGCGTGCGAACTGTGATGTGTTGGAGTTGAGACCAGAAGGGTCACCCACTGCATGATAGCCTAGCCTGCAGAATGAGCGGTCCGTACGCGGTCCGCACACGACCTCCAGGCCAACGCCAAAAATACCGAGCAAGGAATATGCTACATCTTCAACCTTGTTGTTTTGCGTCAGGTTGCCCACGTCATGCGCATCGCACGGACCTGGATAAAACTTGTGTTGGTACCGGTGAATTGGAATGTCGGCGGCTCTCACCAGTATGTCAAATATGATGCAGGGTTCTTCGTCATTTCATCATTTATCAGGGGTATCCAGTGTTTGTCGAGGAACTTGATCTTGGCAGGTGCAAAGGGGTCTTGTGATGCACAGCCCTTGTCGTCCATTAACCATCCATTATGTCCTTGACGGATTTGCTATCGTTTGAGTTGCAGACTCAAGCTCTCTTTCAACCAGAATCACTGTGCTAGTGAGTCAGATTCACTGGCAGATGATGCAAAGGGCTGAGTTGTGATAACACCGAAACATGGAGCGACCCGGCTCAGTATTGATCCATTTGTCGATGCGATAGGTTAAATTCCACGCCATAATCACTGGCCTTCTCGTAAATATTGCAAATTTTAGAAGCTTTTCGGATCCCGGAGCTTCTCCATTTCCTGTAGATAGGCTCCCCTTTGTTGAATCACCAGTGTATCAGATGACACCGAAAGGCCTATGCCATGAAGACTGGATAAAGGCCAGCCTAATGCGCTTCCTCGTGTCATCGCGCTCAACCGAAGCCACATCTGATATGCGTATGAGGTAGATTGCTGTGCAAATTCATCGAAGTTGAGTAGGTCATCTTTCGTATGACGCATGATAGGTCGCTACCAGCTACAAAGCAAAATGAATGTCTCTGAAAAAATGGTGCGGAGCCCAACACAACTCACCGTTCGGCCACCACGAAATGTTCCACCGCATCAGAAGGGTATACAAAAGGTCCCCGCGCTCAAACTCAATCAACTACAAATCATCAGGTGAGACTTGAGCGTCTAGATTGGGGCAACACCCTCACTGACCTCGAGTGATTGGTAAAATCAAAGGTGTTAAAGACAGTACAGTGATTCGTCAATATCGATTCCTCGAATGAAGCGACATTCCGAACCATCACTTCAAGATGGGGAGGCATAAAAATGTGTTCCGTGACGTTGTGAAGATGCTGCATAGCCTCATAAAAAACAGATATTTTTGTACTCAGCAGAAGAGGCATGGTCTCGCATCCATGAAGATCCTGTGTAGCTCAGGCCTAATGTACGAGAGCGCTTCCGTGAACACTGACTCATTGATTAAGACATGTGAGCAATCGAACATGCTCGAAGGAATAGCCTGTACTCGACCCGCTGATACATTCGGCGCAAAAGCGGAGGAGATTTGGTCATCGTTTTGGGTTAAGCCATTACCACTTCAGTGCCCGGTCCTGGCATGTTACAAGTTGCAACTGAACCATGCCACGTTATTTTCACTGCGCACGAATGCTGCAAAGCAGACACCAACATGTACCATGATATGTGCCCATGCAATTCCGTATCTAGGTGTTGGTTAGTTCGATACCAAAGGGGAGAAATTTGATGAATTGCTGGCAAAATTACTTATGTGAGCCGCAATTCTCAAGTGATATAATTTGAGCGTAAGCCCGACCCGCAAGATCGGTCCGCATCTGTCAGTGTAGAAGTCGAAGGCGAGGGATGAATCCAAATAAACCGAAGGAGCTCCGGCAAATTAATGCGTCTGGAAAATGTCCCGTGGAAAGAAGAAGGGCGTGCAGAATGGTGCCGTGATTGAAGTCGTGTGTGACGTGACAACGCGCTGTGTTACGCCGGGTAAAAACGCGTCGCGTCCGCTTTTACATACAGTTCATAACTTCTTAACTGTGAACGCCTCCCACGACATGCCAACACAAACGCCCATCAGACGCCGGGGAAGCGTCATCTTCAAAGAAATCACGCACTTCTCCCTCTCTGCGAAAGCTCTCATCAAAACCTTTCTTTCTTGCCCCGACACACATGGTCGCAGACTTGGATGAGCTTCGATGACGACGAGGATATCCGTCAGTCCCGAGTCGAATTAGCCCAGTACGCGAAAGAGCTTGAGCCAGATGTTCAGCGAAGAGGGCTTGTTCCGCGCCTAACGCTATGAGCGCTGATCAAGTTGTCGTGGCTATTGAGAAGATCAGAACGGCTGCCAACAATGGTGTATCAAGAAGCAGATGCCATAGGTTTCCTCAAACATTATCATCTGCCGATTTGTCATAAACGCGAAGGATACCGCCCTACAGGGCTGACACTACCAAGTGGTCCTACCGGCGGTGTTTGTGCTGATCTTGTTTTCTTTGGTATTATGCTAGCGCTTGCCAAGCAACCCATCAAGGTGGGAAACGGACAGGATGACTTTGAGAATCGCATTGGTCACCTCGACACTTGTGCCAGGTCTGTCTCATTGATGTCTTCTTCGTGAACACAACTTGTTCTTGTTGCGAAGCAGTTATTCTACCTCAAAGGTCAGCACGTACACATCCACTGGAGCGATGGTGAAGAGTTAAGTTAGCTATGCAACAAATAGCGCATAGATTACTTATCTTTTTCCCTCTCAAATCTTTTGAAGAGTGCCCAACTCTATAGCTTATTTTTTGGCACTAATCGATCCCGTCCTGTAATTTAAACCTACACTCCTGTCGCTCCTATGAATGGTCTACAATATTTTCCCTGGTACTTCTGCAGAACTTCGTGTTGGAAAAGTTGAGCATGGCAAGGCCCAGTCCCACCCGTCACCAGTCTAGTCCCACCCGTGGATGAAATGTACCTTATCACGTGATGACGAAGCTGACTTAGGTTGTGCGTGTTCCTTGGTTTGTCACAACTAGTACTGAGCTATTACTATGTCTACGCCAGCTCATGCTCAAGCTGGCCCTCCCGCTGAGCAGGATGAAAGTCCACTCCGGAAGTTTTTTTCAATAGCTCAAGTCAGTGCACATTTACCTGAATTCTGCACAATACCGGAGCTAACCCAACCTGCAGCAAGTGTTTTTAATATGGGCATTCTCTCAGCTTGGTGCGTCACCAATTATTTGCTTAGCAACTCAAGGACTCATTGGAGAATGTTCAGCTATGAAACTTATAGCACCAGCAAAGCCTCCAACTGCCCCTTCTGTAGCGACACCTGGTAATGATGCCGCTCAGCAAGGTGAGGTCAACCCATTCCTTTTGCCCCCCGTACAGGCATATGCGGCGTGGAAACTTGGACAACCTTTATCCATGCACGTATATTTCTCGACCTCTCCAAATGGCGATGTGTTTTCCCGTCAATGGACGTCAGCATGGCGAGAAGACCAGGACGCTGGTCTTCCCAATTTTGTTTGGGAGAACATCACCTTCGGAGATTGGAAGGAGACAAGGGTTGCCACGTATGATATCAATCTGCCACTGGTGAGCTGCTTAATGCTATCACTTTGACGTCCATATGGAAACCTGTACAGACTGTGCAAAAGAATGGATCCTTATGGGCGGATGTTTTCCTTGTCAAAGATGGCGCAAGTCCGGACCCATCAAGTCCCTCTTTTGATCCTCATTCGGTGCATCATGTTCGGAAACGTGAGTTTAGATCTGGCTGGCTTCTAATACGAGTTTAACTTGAGTTTATTCAGTTTTGACGCGGTACATGCCCAAAGTGAAAGCACGCAAAGAGAAAAACTTACTTTCTAATCCGGATGACGATGAAGAGGTGGAAGAGGTTTGTCGCCGTATCCGTTTTCTTGCTACCACTTTTGACAAGTAGGTTCTTCTAGGAGCCGCAAGACGATATTGTAGTATCGTATTGGCACAAGGTAGATCTTAATTTGCTATCTTCTCCCCTAAATAAACCCATAAACAGAACCTCACGTTGGCCCTCGTTTCCGACGAGACAGTTATAGCACTCGGCAAGGTGCCCCCCGTCCTGGTTGAGCGTATGTCTTTCTCAGAGAGTTTAGGACAAATAATTCACTATGATTTAGATGTGCATCTGGTTCCAGGCGCGCGGGATGACACTGGCACCAAAGGATTCTACAAGCCTATAATCTTCCCCAACGACTTCTGGTTACTTCGCTCGCATCTGATCGAAATTAACACAACCACCCCGACGCTGCCGCTAGAAGTCATTTTCCAACCTATGTCATATTTCAAATTCCAGATATTTGCGTCGATGAGCCATGGCTTTGACGAAGCCCTTAAGCAACAGGGCGGTGGCGCAGGAGCGGAACTTGACGAGGTCAAACGAATGCTCACTGAGACTAATCCGTGGTTCCTGGGGCTGACTGGATTGGTTAGCATATTGCACGTCATGTGGGTGCATCGTAGCGATTGCCGGATACGTTACTGATCCTGTGGCGTATGAAGATTTGAGATGCTTGCCTTCAAGTCAGATGTTTCGCACTGGCGTCAGCGGAAAGAGCTGGTGGGTGTCTCTGTCAGGTGAGATATTACGTAGTACAGGTGTCGCTGGATGTCATAATAACTCCTCACACTCCTTCAACAGAACGGTATGTTCCCTTTTCTGGAGACACCTCAGTCTCAAATTGATCGGCGTATTGGATCGCTTTTTAGATAATAACGAACGTGTTCGTTCAGACCGTGGTGCTTTTGTACCTCATTGACAACAACGAAAACACGAGCTGGATGATCCTTATGGGGTCTGGGATGGGTGTCGTTATCGAGGCCTGGAAGGTGCACGAGGAACACTACCACAAGATCGAGCTGGGCTGATTCTATTTGCAGATCACAAAGGCTGTGGATATTAGCATAATCCCTGCTCCGCCTGGCTCCAAACTTCCCTATATGCTTAGTATCAAAGGTACAGTTTCTTGCACGTGCTATCGTGAGTTAACATATGTCCCATTAGATAAGCATGTCCTCAGTGACGATGAGAAGAAAACACAAGAGTGAGTCAATGCATTTGCTCCTGATCTAGGACAAGGAATATTGACATAAGTATTTGGTCAGATATGACAAGCTTGCATTCCGCATTGTGTCATACTTTACTATTCCATTACTCGCCGCTTATACGATCTACTCATTGATCTATGATACCCATAAAGGATGGTACAGCTTCGTGATCTCGACGCTGACTTCATTCGTGTATATGTTCGGTTTTGTAAGTCCACATTGCATGCTGCTACTCGGTTGCTTCCTGACATCGATGAACTATGACAGGCACAATTAATACCTCAACTCATCATCAACTATAAACTCAAGGTTTGTCGCTTGCCCATACGGGGTGTACATCTTGTCCAGACTTGCGGTATTATTTCAGAGCGTGGCGCATATGCCCATGAAGGCAATGATATATAAGACGTTGTCGACAGTTGTTGACGACCTTTTTGCGTAAGAATTTACGATAAATCAGTGCAAAATCCAGGCTCACAAGACCTTTCACGGGACATGCAGGTTCTGCATCAAGATGCCGGTGCTGCACCGGCTGGCGTGCTTCCGGGATGATGTTGTGTTTTTAATTTTCTTGTATCAGGTGAGCATGAGCTATCCTTATGATGATCTGGACTCAAGCCTCGTGTTTGCCTAGCGCTGGATCTATCGCATCGATCCTAAACGAGTGAATGAGTATGGTCAAGTGATGGCGGAGGATGTCGTCAAAGCCAGTGACAGCGGTGAGACAAAGAAGGACAAGTAGACCTGCAAGGACCTCGCCTAGTCAATACAGCGTCTTGGAATGCGCAGTTTCATGTTCTCCTGCGTGTTAACTCCTGTTGGGTCCGCGTACCACCCCACGTTGTGCAGTACTTTGACTTTGACGTTGTTTGCTAAATCAGGTTGCTGTATTATCTAGAGGAGAAATATATCCTGTAATATCCCAATTGTTCTGATGCATCATGCACGGAATGAACCTTTGGTTTTCGCCATCGCTGGAACGATTTCTACTTTTGCGGCTATATTGGATAAAATTAGGCAGAAACACGCGAATTTTACCGCACTCATCGGACCGTGGAAAAACTTTCTTGATTGGGATAACTATGATGGCACTGGATTCATATCCGCATCTCTGACTCCCCCGCCAACACTAGTGTTGTAATCTCCTTGCTTTTCATCTTGCTAGGTCATCGTCAACCATGGCGAATGTCCACCAGGATGGTACAACCAGGGCCTGTAAATGTCTCAATATTCGAATACAATCTAGGCAACCGCCACTGCAGAGCACGCCTCCAGAATTTCTCAAGGACAGTGTAACAGATTCGGACTATACGCTGATATATGTTGGTCAAGATGGTCTCACCGTGGTTAGTCGCATCTTTCATTTGATACAATTTTTTTCACCGTGAATTCTGATTTATATCATAGGCTCATCCTCAAGTGACGATGAGAACTCGCAAGATGGGTCCCTCTCTGGGCGATACAAATCGATGCATCCGGTATACGACGTTGACTTGTTTATTATGTCAGACCCTCGCATATCGTGTACAACAGTTAGTCCCACTGGATGTGGAGGGTCAAGAGGGACCATTACTTCCGACTTATGATTGGGTCGAGCAAGACATACTGATGAGTAGTTGCGGCTGGATTGAGGTACACGCCGAGTGCCTGGTGAGTAATTTTGCTCCTGTTGCTAGTGAGGAAGGCTAGGTCTCTAGCACAATTCCCTCAATCCTTGTACAGTTTCCGGGGATATACCATGACGTCTATGACGTGATGTCATCTCTATGCATCCATCCAGGGTTTGCTGACAGGAAACTTTCTTTAGGATTCTGATGCCGTCTTCAAACTCTTGTCGTCAACGACATATTCCCCGATTTTCAATGTTGCTGTGCCGCCAAGTACCTCCACGCCGTCTGCGCAGCCCTCCTACATCGCCACTACTGACGTGTCGCGCTCCCGAGTACTTTCCGAACCCATATTGTCAAATTTACGTCCCTTGTTTCCACCCGCGCCCTTTGTACCTTCACATCCCGTTTTTGCTCACCTGTCGTCCATAGCCACATCCCAGTCGCAAGGTCTAAGATCGTCCGCTGAGGAGCAATTCACCGCTCTCATACGGGATAAAGTCGCTGAAATTGAGAAGGCCGAAGAAGATTTGAAAAGAGCTGTGGAAGGTCTATGGAGAAGATTCATCGAGAGCTTAGGTCAGACGGAGAAGGATTGGAGCGCTTCCGATGTCGCTAAGCGGAGGGACCCTACAAGAAAGCCCAATAACAACAATGCAGGGGGCCCGGCTATTGGTTCACCGGTGGTTTCCATACGGGACTTCGTGCCTGTTGTTAGCCCCGGTAGAATGGTTTCCCCCGCGTCATCGATACCAAGAGTATCTTCGCTCTCTGCTTCTCTTGCAACTTCAGCATTTCACCATCCTCGTGCTCTTCAGGAACGAAATAATTCTGGGCAGGCAAGCGATACTTCTCGGTCGCCACCGCCTTATTCATCCCATCCGTCATCTGTCGGATCAGCTGACAGTCGGTCACCGTCGACCTCTACTTCATCTAGAGAACTACTACCGCTGCCAACGACAGGTGAAAGTCTTATTCAGCCGTTTAAACGCAGCATGGATGAGGCTCGGGACACGGCTGCGAGCTTCCGATATTTTATAGATATGGAAGCTGAGATGGAAATTATGCGCGGACGTCAGCGACTCCAAGCAACCGGAACGAATACTGCAGAGACGTGGAAGCCGACCGAAGGTGCGCAACCGAGTAACGCTTCCAATTCTGCCAGCGCACCCGATGACGAAGAGAACAAGTCGAGGGGAGCGAAGGAGGCCCGAATGCAGAAGCCAGATCACGGCAGGAATGGCAATGAGTCGAGGGGGAAGCGCAAGGTAACATTTGACATTAAACCAGACGCGCTGATAGCCGACGGGCCGAATCCGGAGAAAAATGGAAGTGGTCAAGGACGTGATGTGCAAGGTACGGAACTATGACGATTTGTTTGCGATTTTCTTACAATGCTTCTATTTCAGACATGATGATATTTGATCTGGATGGTGAAAGCAGTGATCGAGATTCCTCAGACGCACCTGTCCTTCCATTCAAAGAGATTCCTCACATTCCCCGACGGCGTACACGCATCCGCAACAGCACGAGTCATGTTGGCCTGCCAACATCTCTATTATCATTGAGACCGACCTCCTTACCCGCCTATGCTTCTCTGCAAGCCCAGACAACTAAACGTGACTGGACGTTTAGACTACAAGCCCCAACCTCTGAGCAGTTACCCACCGAATGTAACCGACACACCATTGAAGTCGAGGCTCTCGGGCCTACTAGTCCCCAGGAACAAGAAATTTTGAAGTTGGTTGCCGCTGATACCCCGAGTCACAGAGGCGCTTGGAAGCCCAATAGCAGAGCGTGGCAGTTGTTTGTCAGCAGACAAGGTGGAAAGAACGGGTCGGCTGGAGCATTTATACCAGAGGAGGGTGAAGTCGGCGTTACTGTGAGTGACACAGACGACAGTGACGATATAACTTCAGGTCAGTTTTTTCCTTCCCTTCAATCGAGTTGCCATGTTCAAGATTACTTAGGTGCACGTTATCATCCTCCAGGAGTCCCGGGGTCGTTACCCATCAGAATTGGGCCACTATCACGCAAACGAGAACCTCTATCATTGGCATCATATCAACCAAAGACATCCCTTCCTGATCGTGCTAGTGCGATGGTGCCCCCTTTCCCTAATGTGGTTGGTAGGTATTCTGCTTCCGCTTTGCGGAAAGCTTCGTATGCCGCTCGTGATCGTGACCGTTCTATGGACCCTGGAACGCTTGATTTTGTCTCGCAAGAAGATGAGGGTGACGAGGATGACGAGAGTGATGAGGAACCTTCTCAAATGGACCTTCCTGATGAAGCACGGGGAAGACAACGGGCTCTCAAGATACTTGAAGCCCGAAGTAAACTTCCAGCGGCTGGGATGTGGAGAAGTCTGGCGTAAGATCTGGTTCAAGTTAGTGATTTACATTATTCTTTCAATAATATCCGTGCTTCATCTACTTTGCACCTTGATAGCCTACTTGTACCAATACTATCTGTTGTACATGGTACGGATGTTTTGGCTTGCATTGAATCTCATCATGGTTGCGGATGTAACTACTGACTTTATGTAATTTTTGAAATCTGTGGCATCGAACATCACGATAGAACATAATCGCGGAGCGCTCGAAGCCCCAATGAGGTACTTTTGCATAGTTCAAGGCCCTGGTCAGTACGTACTAGCCAGTACTAGCCTTATACTGTCACGATCTCGTTCCTGCAAATCTTGTTAGAGCGCATGGAGGAGCTTCAAGGGGCAAATCCTTAATCAGAACACTCGGAAACCCTCTGATAAGATAAAATTGGATACCGTGAGTTAGCGCCGCGCTCATCACCCTCGAACATCCATGAGCGCAATCAAGGTTGGCGTTATCACAGGTCAGGGTGCTGTTAACTTCATATCCCCGAGAGGTAAAACTAACTGTCAAAACCTGTCAGTCAGCGACACAGCGTCACTGGACGCAGCTGCAGACAGATCAGGTCCAACGATCCAAGACATCGTTCGGCAACGGGGGCATGGCTGCGTACGCTCGACGATTCTTCCAGATGATGAACGTCAAATAAGGGAGACAGTGAAAAACTGGTGTTATGACGACGAAAATACTGTTGACTGGATCATCTCCACGGGGGGCACAGGATTCGGCGTGCGCGATCGGACACCTGAAGTAGAGATACCATTCATATCGCTTTCGCAGGCACTGACTTCCTCCATTTCAGGCTATCGCCCCTTTATTGGAGCGTGAGGCAGCAGGAATCGTTCATTTACTGCTAGCCGAGTCGTTGAAGCGCACTCCGCTAGCAGCACTATCTCGACCTGTCGCAGGTACAATAAAAAATACTCTTGTCGTCACACTGCCTGGTAGTGTGAAGGCAGTCAAAGAAAACCTGGAGGCTCTTTTTGCAAATGGGTTCATTGAACATGCCATCGATCTCATCAGAGGGGGAACTGGCAAGCAGGTGCATGCTGCTATGGGCTCGGGACATGGTGGAGTTCCGCACCATCATCATCATCATCATGATCACCACGTGCCTCAGCCTCGGTCAATTTTATCCCATGATCCTTCTTTACCTGGTATGTCTTTATTCAATACTTCGTCCGCATATTTATGCGATCATCAAATCAACAGTTCATGCTCGCCATCGCGTTTCACCATATCCGCAGATATCCCTCGAGGACGCTCTGAATATAATCGTGAATGAAATACAACCACTGGGCGTGGTATCTCTTCCCGTCAGTGAAGGCTAGGACACATCGAGTACATGCTCAATATCAACAGGTGACACCTGCACTGGCTGGTAACATTCTCGGCGAAGACGTCTATGCTCCGCAAAATGTTCCTTCATCCAAGACCACCAGCGTAGATGGATATGCGCTTCGCTGTTGGTTTTCATATCTGTCGCATATGACGGGCTATACTGATGTACCCGTTAGCGTCTGATCCTCCTGGAATGTACAAGGTTTTAACGTCAAGAACTCACGCATTGGCCGATGTTCTTCCTGAGGGATCAATTTTTCGTATTAACACAGGAGGGCCCCTCCCAGCAGGAACTGATACAGTGATCATGGTTGAAGACACTGAGCTATCATCCACCGCTAAAGATGCTAATGGACAGGATGAAGAAGAAAAAGAGGTGAAAACACTTGTCCAGGTCCCACCAGGTGACAATATCCGAGAACCAGGCTCTGATGTGCTCAGGGGTGACCTTGTGCTTCAGAGAGGCGAGGTCCTAACAAGTCTCGGAGGCGAAGTTGGGACCCTAACGTTTGTCGGGCGAAAAGAGGTATGTCGAGGAATAGGCATGTGTCAGTGCAGAGATGAACTGGTATCAGGTCAAGGTGCATCGCAAGCCTGTCGTCGCTATTCTGAGTACAGGAAACGAGCTTCTAGACCTCCAATCTCCTAAACCACTTCCTTCTGATGGCTGGGGAGGCATTTGGGATACAAACCGGCCCTCACTACAGGCAGCCCTCGAAGGAATGGGATATAGTGTTGTTGATCTTGGAATTGTTGCCGACGAGTATGAGGCTTTATTTTTTTTTTCAACACTGTCATCTGATTCGGCTCTAGCATCAACTCACATGTAAAAGCAATAAAGAAAGGTCTCGAAAGTGCCGACCTTTTACTCACGACAGGCGGGACATCCATGGGGGCAAGCGACCTCCTCAAGCCTGTAATCGAACGTCAGTTCGGGGGTACGATCCACTTTGGACGGGTGTCGATGAAACCTGGAAAGCCAACTACGTTTGCAAGTATCCCGACAGCGCAGGGAGAACACGAAAGGAAATTTATGTTTGCTCTCCCTGGTAATCCTGCATCTGCCCTGGTCACGTTCTATGTCTTTGTCATACCAGCGTTGCGGAAGCTTGGCGGATGGCCTGGTGAAAGATGCCACCTTCCCCGTGTACGTGTGAAGGTACGTATAACTCGACGCCTTCAAGAAGTTTTCTCTTGAGAATTAAACGATATGGTAGCTGGGGGATGCTATGCGACTGGACACTCGTGTTGAATTCCATCGTGTGATTGTGAAAGCTGGGGAGGAAGGTTTGCGAGCAACGAGTACAGGTGGCCAGAGGTCGAGTCGAGTTGCAAGCCTGAGCGGAGCGAACGGCCTTGTGCAACTACCAACAAAAAGGGAAGGTGGCCCAGATAAGTTGGAAGCGGGGAGCTATGCAGATGCTGTCATTATCGGAGAGTTGCAGACATGAGATTTTACATCAACATAGTCATGGCTTACTAGTAACGTTCACAATGAAATCAAACTTGGCAAGCGCAAGCCCTGTAGTAATTTTGTATTAATACATCGAAATATGGTTGAGTGCAGCCCGTAGCTTGAAGGGGAGACAGTAGCATCATTTGGCGCACCTGCTGCATTGGCAATACTACGATGCATATCGGCAGCAGATCGCTTGTTCGCCAGACATGTCGACAGTTTCAACAAATGATGGTCATGCGGCTCTCTCCAGATTTCAAGCTCAACAAAGTGAGTAACGGGGCGTGATGTCACGTCCCGACGCTCTCGTTCGGGACTACCAATTTTATAGTCATCAAAATACCGTCGTTTTGAATACAATAAAATACATTGGATCTCAAGAAGATCGTCTAGAGATTAGAGGAAGAGCGGGATAGAAAACGATCTAACAGGTAAGAATAACTACGCTGAGTCAGTTAGGTGTAACAATAACGATAAAGGTATAGACTCACGTCTCAGTTTCTGGAAAGAACTGAGACGCTCGTAACGTTTGGGCGCTGGTATTAATACGGTAAGCGCTCTCGATTATTTTGAAGGTGAAATTTACTTTGGACCATTTCGGTCCCGACGTCAACAGGTACTCCCTGTTCCTTCCGTTCTCGACCTCCCTCGACCAATGACTTGCGCTCGTACCTGCTCCTTGTCATTTCCTACTCGTCATCTCGTGCCTGTCCTATCGGGTCTCTCGGTCTTCTTCGACTCTGGCGCTTCGGATGCCAACAGATCGGCGCAAGTCTAGTATATGTTACAAAATGGCATGACAACAGCTAGCAAAATCTACATCTGGACAACTTCAAACCCTGTGCTACGACCTAACGGACGTAAGACGTTGCGCTGCAACGTAATGCTGACGCTTTTCCAAATCTGAAGAAAATACTAGAATGTATGAGGGTGAAAAGTGGTGAAAAACATACCATGAGCCCACATAGCAGCTCCGATGCGATTTGATACTTTGAAAACAAGACCGACGATTGGGAGACCCTCAAGTAGCGCAGCGACGAAACCGAACACTGATCGCGACGTGAGTAAACACGCAATTAATGAGATGTCGTGCATACTTCGGTAATCCCATTTACGCTCCTCAATAAATACAGCTTCTTGATGGGCCGTCATCTTCTTTGCGGAGAAGTACTTACCGCAGCTGTTAGTATTGACCAGGAGAAGATGACAATGAGGGCTTACTGGCTTGTGCAAATCCTGAGCGGTGCTCAAGCCTTTGAAAGCCGCAGCGATAAATGTGCCGACAAATGGATACAGTGAAAGCGGAAGTAAGATGACTAAAAATGTAACGCCTCAGAGGATAGCTCTGTGAACACCTTAGAACACATGGTCACCTTTCTGTATGATCATCTTCCAGAACCACATCTTGAACATCCTGTCAAGACGACCCCGACGTTCGTTGACAACAGGTGGGGAATCCCATTCTTCAACATATGGCTGCCAGAAATCGGGCCCCTTGCCGCGCGAGGCTACTGTTTGGTCCCAGACACGTCGGCGGACAACGCGGATATTGCGAGCAACAAAAAAGCTGATGATGCTGGTAACTTGCGATCCTACCAAGAGTATCGTGACGTCTGGTAGGATAAGTACACGATTAGTGTCCAAACGTGAAAAGCGGATGAGCAGGTGCACATGTGGATATGCTAAAGGGCAAGTTGAACCCTAGAAACGTCTCATGAGATAGGTCGCCTGCGGTTTCTTCGAATCGTGTTATGTAGCGCACGGAGAAGATGGAGGAGGGGTTCGTGATGACTGTTTTGATGATGCGGCGCTGGATGCTGTATGACGCGCAAATCTGGCAGGAAGGTGATGAGCATGTGTGCGTAGGGTAATTGAATTTTCGACTCACCCAGGCAAAACCACATATTAGCCCTCGTCGGGCGCCGTTGCGGCATTTATCCCACGCAGGGCCATAGAGTGACCTATCGGTGAAGAGTCGGTACGCACCGACAACCACGTACGAGGACGGGAAGTTGAGCCGCAGCATAGCTCGGTGCAGTTCTGGGGGAACCTCGTCATACTTGGACTGGTGACTCCGAGTCACTGGATGTTTCAAAGCTGGTTCTACAGGCATATATATCCAAAGTTTCAGAAGGTAAGGTCGAGGTTGCTAGTCGTTAACCGTGCGTCGGAATGCTAGACTAGTGAGTCGGGATTCGGAAGTGTGTACTCGTTCTTCTGAAGCTGTAAGACGTTGTCACTCCCGCTTTCTATATTACAACTTTAAAAGTTCAGCCTGAAGAATTGCTTATGCACAAACACAGGGCCAATCCGGATATGAAAACGTTTTGTCCACTGCAATGGGTGTCCAAAGATTCGTCCAGGTTTTTGGTGGCATGATTTTTCACAGCCCGCCGCATCTGTATCAGCACGGCCATTTCCCCCCATCAGGTCTACGATAGCTGCAAATTTTACTGCAAGGTTTCCGAATACTCTTCGTCTGATGCATGGACGTCTTGTGAACTGGACGGCTAATATTCTGACTGTGATCAGTGGGCACACCCATCTAGTGTGGTCAGTCTTGTTCTCGCCCGATGGCGCTCCCATTGTGTCTGGTTCTTCAGATTACCCTGCCGGCTGTGGGATGCAGGAACAGGGCTGCCATCGGGTGAGCCCTTCCGAGAGCACATTTATCCAATTTCGTCAGTCTCGTTCTCCCCCGATGGCACTCGCCTTGTGTCTAGTTCTTGGGATTCCACTGTCCAGCTGTGGAGTCCAACGATAGAACCGCAATTTCAGGAGCACACTGAGATTTACTCCTTTGCATTCTCTTTAGACAGACGTCCCACCACACCTTGCAAACTGGCAACTATCATGTTGACCGACACTCGGAACAATCGCACTATTTGCTTCCCACCACGCTTTGAATATGCACCGCAAAACCCTGCTAAGATACTCGAAGGCACCTCTCATCTTAATCCAACCCTTGTCGTGCTAGAAGATGGTGGATGGATAGCAGGAGCCTGTCGTCGGCTGCTTTGCTGGGTACCGCCCGCTTCCCGAGCAGAACCATTTTATTCTCTTGGGCTTGTATTAATGATACCCATTGGGCTAGATATTGATTTGAGTCGCATGGCTCATGGAGAACACTGGTCGAATCGCCGAGATGTGTGAGTTTTCAGCCTTGATGGTCCCTAGTAGTTGCTAAATCAATATTTCTAGTGCTACTTGCCAATGATCCCGTTGTAGTGATGTCGAGTGTACAATTTTGTTCCATGCCAGTCCTATAACTGCTATCGAGCTTGAATTTCAAGTCGTCCACTATCATCGTGGTTGCAGGCTGCAGCAAGAAGAACATGGCACAAGGTTCCCGCAATCTAGTGCGCGCCACAAGTACTGCAGAGTACCGATGGCGGGATAAATGAGATGGCTATTCTAGTGCTCTTCCTTGTTTCCCAGGATACCTTGAATTTTGTCCTCCACAAACATTTCTCATCGAACACAAGTAATGACGTGATTCTTTTGATTGATACAACGTCGATTACTAGCCTTTTTCATGCTGATTCCAATTATCTCAAATCAAGTTCGACAGATGCTGGAAGTCCTCCAGATCCATGAAGTTCTCCTTTCTCGCCCACGCTAAGCCTATATCACAACAGTCATCATGTTACCTGACTCGTTACTTCTAGCTTCAGAATACACTTGAATTCAAAGGGTATTACAACATGATTAATCACAATCTATTCGATGTCTGATTGTACTTCAACACCAAATGCTTGTCCTTCCTACATGCTATAGATTGATTTGAGTGAGTACTGGAGTGGTCTATACCAGAGGCTTCGCTATTTGTTGCTGCCTCCTGCTGCTTTGCTCTGCTAACTCCGACCCAAACACCGCCCAACCAACATCTTCGCTCTCACCCTCTACCTAGGGGTCCCTTTGTCGTTGGGGGACTCCTCGACTCATGAAGTTTGTGTTCTTCTACAACATGCTGTATTTCATGTTCGTGTCCCTTTTTCAAGTCTTTTTATCCACGCCCATCATGACGATCGCAACCGCTGGTAGGCAGTGGTGGCACATGCGGCGTTGTGACTCGTGAGCATCATGATTGCGACAGATTTTCACCTTTCGACACGCTTGCTGGTGTGGCTCTGGACAGCGAGTAAAATTCATTCCTGATCGTAACATCAACTCCCTCCGTCGATGGGCGGGCCTGAGGATCAGTAGACCAACATTGCTCGATAAATGTCCAGTATTGTTCAGGAAGTTCAGGATAACGAGATCGGGAGGGCGTTTCTGACTTAGCTATGCATAGGACGACTGCACCGACATTTGGGAGGTAATAATAAGGAATTTTGTTGGTAAGGACCTGAAGGCAGAGCTAATGATATTATGGACAAGTCGAGAGTACTCCAGACGTACCTGCAACATGATACCACCAAACGAAAAAATGTCGCTCTGCTCGCTCGGACGAATTGGAGGTCCATCCTCCTTTTCTTGTACAAGTAGCTCAGGAGCCATCCATCGCATGTTTCCTTTGGGCGTGGACGTCCAGGATGCCTGAGAAGCGCTTATGACCTCGGAATACATCAAGGAAAGACCGAAGTCAGCTAAACATGCAGTGCCATCACCATGGATGAGCACATTAGGCTGGAGCTCGCGTCTCAACGAAATGGAAACTGTCGAGAAGAACAGACTTACCCCATTGAAGTCTCCATGGATGACACTGTTGGCGTGAACTATGAGGAGTAGTTACAGCTCTGTCTGGCACTGACAGTAAGGATTTACATACGATATTGCAGACCAGCTATGATATCTCTTAGCTAAGTTTTCCATCAGTTCTATTGCCTACCCAAATCATGAAGAGAGGACTTGCTAGCTGGAATCGTCGAACGAGAGTCAGAACCGCACCCTCGCGCTTCAAATAGTCCGACAAGTTACCATTTTCTGCCCAAGGACTGACTAACGCTATAAATGGACCAAAGCCATGCGTGTAACCATAAATTGGTAGGATATTCGCGTGCTTGAGGTTGGCGCATATTCTGAGTTCACGCTTTATCCTCTACGAAGTGGTGTCTGTGTGTAAGCAATAGACTCAGTTCTTCAGTAAAACACTCGCCTTGATCTTTTTCGCCTTTGCTGGCCCAAGTTGATCGTCAGCATATACATGCAATGCTTTCACTGCAACCTGCAAAATTATTAATTTTGGATAGAGATGGACAATCAAAAGACGGTAAACAAACTTTGACCGAGCTACGATTTATGTTCAAAGTGCATTTCCAGATCTCTCCGAACCCGCCACGAGCAACAGCATATTCTCCATCTTTGGTAATATATTTTGAGAGGTCTTGGAGCACGACTTCAGTGGGAACATCATCAGGCTCGTCACTATGGAGGGAGAGAACTGACGAGGAGGGAAGGAGTTCACGGGGGTCATGGCATAACTGGGGTAGCCATGAACCTACTGTAGAAGAGAGTATATGCGACACAGGGGGAAAAGCCATGGAAGGTCTACTTGGGAGATTTGCTGTGGGACGTCCATTGGAATGTAGTATGTCCTGGCGCAGTGGCTGGAATCCTAGTTCATAATGTTGCCCCAACGTCTTATCAGGCGACAGCTGCACGTTAGCAGGTCACTGCCACATGTCAGTAAGCAGTCGCACCTCAGTAGGCTGTATACGAGAGGATCCGGTGTATCTGTCAGTCCAGAATTCGGACTGACGATGGGCGAAACCGGGTTGTAGAGAGTGGGAAGAAAGGCTCTGTTGTACGTTCAGCGGGCACTCACTAGTGGATTGATTTGCGGCGAGAGAGAGAGCGCCAGACTTTAAAAAATGGTATTAGTAAAGGGTATAAATGAACAAAAGAAAGGCACGAGTACATCATGAAGGGGTAGGCTTCTAGGAGCACTAGTCTGCAAGAAGATGTCAGTATATAATGTTCAGGGTTGACTGCGCACTCTCACTTGTGGTATAGGTTGAATCCTAGCGGGGATCTCAATCGGAGTGTTGCATAAGTAGATGTTGTTATTGTCCAGGGTTGTGTAAACTAGTTGGCGCGAGTCGGGTGAGAGGATAAGGTGGCTGGCGGTAGAAAGAATATTGAATGAGGCGAGTAGCTGGCGGGACTCGAACGCCCAGAGCTTGATGGTATTGTCATCAGAAGCACTGGCGAGGAGAGCACGATCAAGTGACAACGCTAGACCGGTGATGGTTTTAGTGTGTCCTTCGAAAGGGATTCCAATAGTCTCCAGGGTAGAGGCATCAAATTCATAGATCGTCTTGATTGGGGCCCTGACTTCGAAGTTGAATGCGGCTACGATGGTTGTGTCTCTTGCAGTCCAAAACACTGGCACATATGCAGTATAATAATTCGACCCATAGGGACCTGGTGTTCGAGTCCCCGCGTGAACATCCAATTTCCGTGATTGAACATCCCATACTTCAAGGTATTTTCCCCACCATGATATGACCGCGAGCTTCTTTGAGTTTTGCGAGAATCGAACTGCGCCCACCCAGCCGGCACTCACTATGAATGGATCGGCCACCAGTTTGCCTGTTTCCAAGTTCCATATCCGCACTGTGTAACCTTCTGCCGCTGCCAGTAACGTGCTGTCCTCAGAGATATCGATGGAGTTGATGCTCCATGAATAACCTTCAAATGTTCTCACAGTCCCCGTTCCAACCCCACAAACTTTGAGCTCCCCGCATCGGAAATCCCCACCTGCGGAGACCACCCATCGACCATCCTTTGACACCGCCACAGCACGTACTTCCTGCGCACAAACATGCGTCTCCTCAATTTCTCTTCCCGCTTCTAGGTCCCATTGACGAATGGTTTTATCGTCTGACCCGCTGACCATTCGTTTCCCATCTGGAAAATAGGATATGGATGCGATAGCATCTTCGTGACCCTCCAAGGTCCACACGGGTGTCAGAGTCAACTCATTTGCTGGCCCAACAAGCTCTGATGATCTCGAAGCCATCGCTGGCCTACCAGAGAGCCCAGAAAAGCAGTACGGGGGTCGAAGGACCGTCGGTGAGGCTTTCTCGTATCCTGTGTCCCGACGTAGATAGTGGTTCCTAACTGATGCTAGAGTGCTTCCACACTTTGCTTGCTGAAGCTGAGATCATCGTTAGTTTGTTAACGCTGAAAGTTCACATTGATTTGATGTTACCTAGAGGCTGGCAATTTGGGAGAAGAGCGAGAAAACCAGATGATTGAATGTTCGTGTCTCGCAACCCCTTCCTGTACTTGCTCACGCGGCCTTCGGCATGGTGCCTGTGCATAGGCGTCTATTTTTTACCCTCACCATCAAATCTACTTGCTTGGGCACAAGTTATTCATGCATTTTCAACGCAAGACATGAACGAGTTCACTCCAAGGAATGCCACTTTTCAAGTACTCTGTTCACATCATCCGCCTCGGCGATAATATGAATGCTCGCTGCCATTATTGACGACCACCTTTTACTGTGGCAAGCACCTAGGAGACTACGAGCTTCCTACTGCACGACGACGATCTTTCGAAATATATAACGAAGAACTACACTCATGACGCAACTTCGAGCTGGCAGAGAGCAAGAATATGTATGTTCAGCTCAATCATGATGCCACGCGACGTGTTTCCAACAAATTCACAATGCGGTTATAAACAACAGAAACAGTGTTGGTTCAGAGAGTATTGTAACATGATCAGTCACAATGTATTCAATGTCTAATCGTACTTCAACGCCAAATGCTTCGAACCGGAAGTGAGTGGCCGAGCGTAGTCCAAAAGCGCCGTGATACCTTACGTAAATGGCAAAAAAATAAGTACCAGCAAGATGCCACACTTCATGAGCCAATGTTCGCTGTGTTCGCAAGATAATTGTCCTGACCCGAGGTCTGACATGTCAAACGACAAATGTGCTCTGAGCGAATGCTAGAATAGATTACCTAGTCCATTCTCTCTTTCCGCACATCATCACTGATATACCCCTCTTCGTCCTCTCCAACATCAAAGATAGCCGTCCCATCCTCGTCCTCAAGAGCCCGTTGCTTTCCTTTGCGTTGTCGGTGCGCCTGTTCATCATCATATCCGTTCAACGGGATGTTTTCTTCCGATTGAGGAATCTTCGATAAGCGCACTGGTCGACGACGCAAACGACACCATATGCAAAGGCCAATGGCAATAGCCAGAAGAAGGAAGATAAGGACCACTGAGCCTGCATTATAATAGGCTGAAAATAGTACTGAGTTAGCACTCGTTTCCGTACGCAAGAAAAATATATTATCACCATCCCACTGCGCCTTAGTTTGCTCGGGCGTCTTGCCGGGCAATGGCGATGACAACGGCACATTATCGCTATCCATAAATATCGGTTTGATGTCGTCCCCAACTGCGCTTGGTATACGTGCGGACCCGTCAACGATGGCAGAGAAATTCATCCCCATGAATCGCAAGATCATGTCATGCGCAATGTCAGGAACGTCGTATGGCGCCATGTGGGATGCGTTAAAGAGCTGTGGCGTCATGAGTAAAGTGCCTTGGGCGTAGTACACAACATACCTTGGCATACGTGAGGTTTCGTGACGAAACCCAGGTCCCTGCTGGCATACCGTCGACCGTCCATGATTTGGTTTGTACTGTCTGAAGTGGTGGTCGGTTCCAAAGCCCTGGAAATGAGGAAGCACCCACCCCTAGCCCCTTTTCTCCATTCCACGTCATAGACTTGATCATGTTCTCGATACCCATGTAATTGCAGATAAAATCTTGATCACCAGCGAACAATAAAACGGGAATTTTTTCTAGGACTGAAGGAAGGAGCGTGACAGATGATGCAGACAGGTAGTCATGCATCTCAATGCTGACCCGTCCAATACATTCGACCCAGTTCTCAGATTTCGCCTCGGCATGGAACGCCCTAATGACATCTCTGCGCTGAAAATAATTAAAAATTCATCAGACAGTAAGGATGACTCGTCGAGAGAGGACAGACAGAAAGGTAAGTTGTAATATTTTTCAAGTCCGGAGGCCACTGCATACCGCAGAAAGGGTCATCATCTTCCAACCGGACATCATAGATGTTCACGCATTTTGGTTGTCCATCGACACTGTTGTAATAGTAAAACCAAGATTCGACAAGTTTTTAGGAGCGTTACTCACATTCGCGACTTGCTTTTGAGGATAAACGTCAGTAACTCCTCGCATTGAACGAGATGAATGGGTTCTATAGTGGCGTCCCTGAACTTTGCCATGCATCTGTTCGTCGCCTCTTTACTGTCTTTGTAGTGCTGTGGATCATGTCAGTCTCGGTGCGAGCAGAGCTCTTGAGATGATTAGATTACTCACCTGCGAGTTCTCGTCGACAAGTCCATGCGTCACGGCGTAGTCTAGGTATGCAGGGTATTGATTGCGAGCATCTATCCAGCCATTGCCGATTGCAACTCCGCGCAAGGGCATTTTAAGTTCTGATGAGAGAATAGCATCCGCTGTTCAAAAGGGTCAGCGTCACTCAACAGGAAGTAATTCAGGGCTGCTATACCGAAGTACGGAATATATTGTCCAGCATAGCTCTCGCCGCCCAGATATGTCTGCAAGCCGCCGTCAGGTGAGCTCCGGGATGAACAAAGTCACGCACATCTACAGTTTCGTATTCAGGAAATACTTTATAGAATGAGCGCAGAAATTCCATGAGTTGATCAGTCGACTGAGATGGCATAACCACTAAGTTGGCTAGCATTAGGCTCATATGTCTCAACACGTACCTGTTGTAGACTGTGCACATAGTGATTCGTGCTAGTATACGAAAGACCCGTTCCAGCAGGTTGATCCACTGAGAAAGGAGAAAAAATCACTTGGTTGCACTTAGTCGATACAAGAAACCAATAGACTCACCATATACCATAGTAGTGTACTCCTCCCAGCCCCCATCTACAGTTTTAAAGCCGCCCTCTCCATCAACTCTCCAAGGTCCAACTTCCATCATCAGCCCGTCAAATGAGGAACATCCCGGTCCACCCTATTGCATTCAGTTTGCTGCATACCACTGCGGCATATGACACGCACATTAAACCAGAACATCAGCCGTTCCTTATCGGCTGACTTACGAGCCTTTACCATCACGAAGAATAGATGGGCGAGAACGTCCGTGCTGGCTGCTGAATTTGCATCGGGATCTGAAAGAATGTGTCCAGCGTATATGTGTAATGGGTGTGTTGTATCTTGGTGCAGGCCTGGGAGGTAAGGAACATAGAAAGAGGCTGCTGAGGGAACTGTATGTCTTCTACATGAGAATTGTCAAAGAGTGGTTGGTCTGTGCTATACCTTCAGTTGGAGCAGCCTTCACTAGTTGGCTCACGAGAGCCAGAAATGACATGGCACAAAATAGCGTGCCTCGCAAACACCTCCGGATTGACATTTATGTCGCAAGACTTGCTGGTCGCTCGTTGCTGTATGGTAGTATGTGAGTAACGTTTTGGTAACGTTGCTTAAATTTGGAACTCGAGGATTCGAGGTGTTTTTGAAGCCGACTCGGAGTACTGAGTACTGTCAGAGGCCTGGGCGCGCAGTCATATATTCATATATGGTGCCTGCGCACTCATCATGTTGTTACTCCCGTAAGTCTCACAAATCCGTACATAATACATATGAACCTTCCGCATTTACAGGACGGCATAACCAGCGTCTGGAACTACGACAAGAAAGTGCACGACAGCCTTGCGGGTTCAAACTTTCGGGTGCAATTCCTCAAATTTTAACTCTTACGCAAAGTCCGCACTTACACCGTCGTGTAAGAGAAATTCATCATTTGTATCAGATTCGTCATGATGATCAGAAGGCAAAAGTACTTGCCCCATAAAGACACGACTGCCTTCCTTCTATCTGATTACGGGAGACTCAATTCGCCTACATAGTGAATTAGGTCGTCGCAGAATTCGCGAACAAGATAATTTTTCCTTCGCCTCCAGTGATGTGCAACTGACGTTTCCCCGTCATGGCGCAAGTGTATTAGGGCTTGCCTTAGAAACTGGGCGAGATCACCACAGAATCCAGGTACCGAATAACCTCTTCGTCAGTATATATACCGAAAAGGGTCTTAGACCTCACCAGTTCCTCATCACTGAAGACCAACAAGTGGTCAGGTCTATACCTATTGTCACTAGGTCACTTGACACTTGGATATGAATCTGAATGAAATTCTCTATGAGATGAGATGTCCAATTTCCTAGCGGCAGCAAGACACGAGTGTACTTTGAGACTCGATAACCCAGCTGGACTATCCTCATTCGTCTAGGAAGACTAATCCGCAAGACGAGTCATGACTTCAACTTCTTCTTCGAAATCGTAAGTAAGCTTCCAGTGACTCATCTCGTTTGAGTAATTCAGCATCAGGCGTGGATAGGATGGGACAAGGGCGCCGAACGGGCTCGGAAGAGCCTGCGGGCATATTGCGCCGCATGGCGTGCAAGCCATATACGCTTTTGTAGTCAGTTTTGTACACGAATACGCACCAGCTACTAGTAGCTGACAGAGGTGACTGTTTTTAAGAACCGGGGCGGACGCAGTCGGAGACCCATCCACGCTTGGCACAATGTTACACGTGTGCGTGCGTTCCAGGCCACTGCGGTTTTTGCCTGCGATAAATAAGCATGATAGCAAGGAATGGATAGTGACAGTTCATGTGAAATGACCTTGTCATGGTGAGGTGGGCATGAGAATAATAATATACTATAAACACTCTCGACCTTATGTAACTACTGGAGTATTAGTAGTACTTCTTTTTGTTCCATTACTACCCGAACTTACTTATTTTGAGAGATGAGGTCTTTGGCATACGTTGCTAGTTTTCTATCACTCACAGGCCTAGTCAATGCTCAATACTTTTCGGCTGGATGGACCCCAGGACAACCCGTCCCAAGTCAAACTCCCTCATCAACAAACGCCCCACATTCCCCATCCACCCCTGCAACGCAACATGGGCCAGGGAAGATGTCATTTCTGGACAGCATCGTGACTTTAGGGCCTTTAGGCGCTATATCCTCGCTCACTGGTCTCAACATTACTGGAACTCCATCTGCGACTTGGGATGAGCGGATACCTCTCATCACAGATGAGAACTATGCAGAAATGATCGTAAACGAGACACTGACTCCCGAGGAGGAGAAAGAACGAGTTTGGTTTCTCATAATGTGTGTATATCGTATTTGATAGTCCATCAATTAACGTATCCTCACCAGAACTGTCACCGCGGGACAGCCAGAAGGCGTCTCGAAGTTCGTAGACCATGTTTTCGATGCCACGTATAATTATACCCTGGATAAAGGAGGGCTCCCTCATGTGCGCTTTGGACGAATTGACTATCTAAATGTTACGAGCATCACCACTAAATGGGCTGTCTGGTCGTGAGTATTGAACATTTTTGTATATGTTCGTGCCTTTGACCATTTATCAGCGCCCCTTACCTTGTTGTATTGAAAGACCGAGGGCAGACTTTGCGTTTTTACAAAGCCGGTCAGATAAGGCTGACCGACGAAATCCTACACCAATTTCTCAAGGAGGAGGGGTGGAACATCAAGGAGCCATGGAAATCCATCTATGGTCCCGGTGGTGAACGGTAGGATTTGTCTGATTCGAGTATCCCACTGGCGCTTACCGCTCATTTGCAGTGAATATATTTTAGACTACTTGGCACAAATTCTGTCCATAGTCTACGGCGCTCTTGTTCGTGTGCCGAAATGGCTCATGTACATGATGAGTGGAGGTATTGCGACTTTTTTCATCAACTTTTTGCATAAGCCTTCGCCTCCTCAGAGAGCTGCTAAGCCTGCACCCAAGCCTGCTTCTGCACCTGCAGTCCCAGAGCACGCAGTCTCATCGAGTACGACAACTACGTCGCAGAAGGGGTCCGCTAAAAGGAAGGGAAAGAAATAGTTGAATATTTGGGAGGGATATATATACCCATGCATTATTGGAGAGCTCGTGTATTGTCACAATGTACTTCCCATACCGCAGGTTGTACCATTGACTGTTGTGCATCAGTTTCCAGGTGGACTAAGAGAGCACGGCTATCTGGTTTTCCAACATACTTGGTATTTCTCGAGCTTATTGTGGTCCGCATCTCGGACGGTAAGATATATTACTTTCTGGGAAGAAACTCGCGCGATCTGGGTGTATTGTACTAGGAACTAATCAATCATCACGATAATCAGTGAAGCGGTGAACAGACTTGTAGAGGAAAATCTTTCGCTTGAGGTTTGCTGTGGGGAGGCCAGCAGTACTAGTAGTGTCTGGTACTAGGAACTACCTAGCTAGTGCATTGTTGTGTTCCGATATTACGACAGAAATATTGGAGTGAGCCTACGTTTACTGTAACTGTGTTCATCTATCTGGCTGTATTGTAAGCATGTGTTTGGATACAAGACAAGTGCAAGAATCAACGAGCTCTGGACAGCGAGTAAAATTCATTCCTGATTGTCACATCAGCTCCCTCCGTCGATGGGCGGTCCCGAGGATTAGTAGACCAACATTGCTCGATAAACGTCCAGTATTTTTCAGGAAGCTCGGGATAACGTGATCGGAAAGGCGTTTCTGATCTAGCTATACATAGGACGATGGCTGCATCATTCGGAAGGTAATAATATGGAGTTTTGTTGGTGAGGACCTAAAGGCAAAGCAAATGGTGTTATTGACAAGTTGAAAGTACTCCAGACGTACCTGCAACATGATACCGCCGAACGAATAGATGTCGCTCTGCTCGCTTGGACGAGTGGGAGTTCCGTCTTCCCGTTCCAATACAAGCAGTTCAGGAGCCATCCATCGCGTGTTTCCTTTGAGCGTGGATGTCCAGGAAGCCTTAGAGGGGCTTATAACATCGGAATACATCAAGGAAAGACCGAAGTCGGCAACACATGCGGTGCCATCACCACGGATGAGCACGTTAGGCTGGAGCTCGCGTCTCAATTAAATTGAAACTATCGAGAAGAACGGACTTACCCCATTGAAGTCACCATGGATGACACTGTTGGCGTGAACTATGAGGAGTAGTTACAGCTCTGTCTGGCACTGATAGTAAGGATTTACATACGATATTGCAGACCAGCCATGATATCTCTTAGCTGAGTTTTCCATCAGTTCTCTTGCCTACCCAAATCATGAAGAGAGGACTCGCCAGTTGGAATCGTCGAACGAGAGTCAGAACCTCACCCTCACGCTTCAAATAGTCCGACAGGTTACCATTCTCTGCCCAAGGACTGACTAATGCTATAAATGGACCGAAGCCATGCGTATAACCATAAATTGGTAAGATATTTGCGTGCTTGAGGTTGGCACATATCCTAAGTTCGCGCTTTATCCGCTATGAAGAGCACTGTGGTATAAGTAATAGACTCAGTTCTTCGGTAAGACACTCGCCTTGATCTTTTTCGCCTTCGCTTCCCCACGTTGATCATCGATGTACACCTGCAATGCTTTCACTGCGACCTGCAAAATTATTGATTTTAAATACATGGACCGACAAAAGACGGCAAACGAACTTTAACCGAGTTACGATCGATGTTCAAAGTGCATTTCCAAATCTCCCCAAACCCGCCACGAGCAATAGGATAGTCTCCATCCTTGGTAATATATTTTGAGAGATCTTGTAGCATTGATTCAGGGGGGAGATCGTGAGGCTCGTCATTACGAGCGGAGACGACTGCATGCGTATGGGAAGAAGAGGGAAGGAGCTCGCGGGGGTCCGGAGGTAATTGAGGTAGCCGTGAACGTACTATAGAAGAGGGTATCTGCAGTGAAGGGGAAAGAGTAGGCAACTGCTGCCGCATGTCAGGAAGCGGTAGCATCTCGGTAGACTGCATGCGAGAGGTTCCGGTGTGCCTGTCGGTCCAAGATTCGGACTCTGCGAGACGACAGGCAAAATCGACAAGGGGAGGTAGGGGAGAGTGGGAAGGGAGGCTTTGTTGCGCATTTGGTAGTGCCTCACAAATAGGTTGACTCCCGATGAGAGAGAGCGCGCCGAACTGCAAAAGTGGCATTAATGGAGTGGTGTAAATGAAGAAAAGAAAGGGAAGAGTACATCAGTGAGGGGTAGGTTTCCAGGAGCCCTTGTCTGTAAGAAAATGTTAGCACATGGACCATAGTAGTATTCGGGGTTGGCTGCGCACTCTGACTTCTTGTGCGAGTTGAATCCTACCGAGGATCTCAGGGGGAGTGTTGCATAAGTGTATACTGTTGTTGCACAGGGTGGTGTAAACTAGTTGGCGCGAGTTGGGTGAGAGGATGAGGCTAGTGGGATATTGAATGTCAAACGAGGCCAGAAGTAGGCGAGACTCGAATGCCCAGAGCTTGATGGTGTTGTCGTAGGAAGCACTGGCGAGGAAAGCACAATCAAGCGACAGTGCTAGACCAGTAATGGTTTCGGTGTGTCCTTCAAAGGGGACTCCAACAGTCTGCAGCGTAGACGCGTCAAATTCATAGATCTTTTTGATTTGGGCCCTGACCCCAAAGCTGAATGCGGTTACGATGGTTGTGTCTCTTGCAGTCCAAAACACTGGCAAATACGCAACACAAATCGAGCTCCCTTGTTTCCCGATGCGAACATCCAATTTCTGTGATTGGACATCTCGCACTTCAAGGCATTTTCCCCACGATGATATGACCGCGAGTTTCTTCGAGACTTGTGAGAATCTGACTGCGCTCACCCAGCCAGCACTTTTGAATGGACCAGCTACAGTTTTGCCAGTTTCCAAGCTCCATATTCGTACTGTGTAACCTTCTGCCCCCGCCAGTAACGTGCTGTCCCCTGAGATATCAATGCAGTCGATCCAGTGTGGGTTGCCTTCAAATCTTCTCACAGTCCCCGTCTCAACCTCACAGGCTTTGAACTCCCCGGTGTTGTCATTTCCACCTGCAGAGACAACCCATTGACCATCCATTGATACCCCCACAGCATGTACTTCCTCTTCAAGAACATCTCGCGCCTCCTCAATTTCCTTGCCTGCTTCTAGGTCCCATTGACGAGTGGTCTTATCGCTTGACCCGCTGATCATTCGCTTCCCATCTGGAAAGTAGGATATGGATCGTGTAAAAACTTTGTGACCCTCCAAAGTCGACACGGGTGTCAAAGTCGATTTCTTTACTGAGGCAGTGGGCCGTCGCGATCCTGAAATCATGTCCTGTTCCTCCGCCGGTGAGGTTTAGTAGATCAGGACTATGTCTTATTCGAAGGACCGTCGGTGAGCCTATCTTGTATCCTGTCACGGTGGCCTGATGCTGATAGTAATTTTGAGGGATGCCCAACTATTGCCAGCTGGCACACTTTGCTTGCCAAAGCCGTCAGTTCGACAACACTGACAATCCGCTGCTTTGATGTTACCTAGATGCCAGCAAATTGGAGGAAGAGGGAGGATATTAAATATGTGTACGTCTCGCAATCACTTCCTGTACTTCCTAACACGCCCCTTCAGCATGGCACCTGTGTATTGCACAGCGTTCAGTTTTCACCCACTGCCTCATGTCCATTAAATCTGCTCGCTTTTCAGTTCCCTGCCACGGCCATGTCCGTTGTCATCGCCAAACTACGACAGGCGTTATTGCACTTGTGAGATCTACCGTGGGTTCCGGATGCGGTGGCTCGAATCCTAGTTCATAATGTTGCCCCCTGTTGCTTATCAGGCGATGACTCGGACTGGATGCCAGCAGGCCGCTGCCACATGTCATTCGGCGGTCCCATGTCGGTAGGCTGTATGCGAGAGGTGCCGTTGTGTCCGTCGGTCCATGATTCAGACCGTCCGCCACCTCTCTCCGGGTTGGGCTTGTAGTCCAGTAGGGGGTTGCCCTGGTATTTGAGCCAGTGCGTGTTCTATTATTTGGTTATTAGTGCCAAGGGGACTGATGGTAATATGAGGGCCCTTTCTTTTGCGACCACCAGACTGGGCTGCGTGATGACGGGCAAAACTGACAGATGAAGGTTGTAGAGAGTGAGAAGGGAGGCTCTGCTGGGCATTTAGCGGAGCCTCACTGATGGGTTAATTCGCGATGTGTGAAAGAGCGCCAGGCCGAAAAATAAGATTAATGGAAAGGTATAAATGAATAAAAGAGAAGAGTACATCGGTGAGAAGTAGGTCTGTAGGAACACTGGTCTGCAGGAAAATGTTAGCACAAGAACGATAATAGTATTAGGCGTTGGCTGTGCAGTGGTACAGGCTGAATCCTAGCTAGGATCTCAGGGGTAGTGTTGCATAAGTAGATGCTGTTGTTGAGCTGGGGAATCGAGTGAAAGGATAAGGCGGCAGGCGGTTGAAAGAACATTGGATGACTCATCTCGATCCCAATCCCAGAATATCTGGCACATTCGACCCACTTGCTTGCATAAACGATCACGCAAAGGACTGTACTAGAACCATAGAGCTTGTTGTGCTCCAATATTAGAAGAGAAATCCTGCATTGAGTCTACGTTTACTATACAGGTGTACCTAGGTTTATCTATCTGGTTGTACATGTTTGAATGCAAGATTAGTACAAGAATCAATTAGCTCTGGACAGCGAGATATATGTCCCTGATCGCTACATCAGCTTCCTCCGTCGATGGACGGTCCCGAGGTTTAGTAGACCAACATTTCTCGATAAACGACCAGTACTTTCCAGGGAGCCCAGGATAATAAACTCGGGAGGGCTTTTGCGAGCTAATTATGCTCATGAGGACGGTGTTGTTATTCACAAGGTAATGATAAGGGATTTTGTTGGTAAGGACCTAAAGGCAGAGCTGATGATGTCATTGACGAATCGAGAGTACTCCAAGCGTACCTCCAACATAATACAACCGAACGAATAGATGTCACTCTGCTTGCTCGGACGAATTAGAGGTCCGTCCTCTCCCCCTGGTACTAGTAGCTCAGGTGCCATCCATCGTATATTGCCATGGAGGGCGGAAGTCCAAGAAGCCTGAGAGACATTTATGACCTCGGAATACATCAAGGAAAGACCGAAGTCAGCAATACACGCAGTGCCATCACCGTGGATGAGCACGTTAACCTGGAGCTCACGCCTCAATAAGATCGGGATCATCGAGAAGATCAAACCTACACTAGTGAAGTCACCATGGATGACACTGTTTGCGTGGACTAGGAAAAGTAGTTGCGGCTCAGTCTGACAGTGACAGTGACTATCACGTACGATACTGCAAACCAGCTATAATATCTCTTAGCTAAGTTTTCCATCAACATTATGGTCTACCCAACATATATGAAGAGGGGACTGACCAGCTGTAATCGTAGAACGAGAGTCAGAGTCGCACCCTTGCGCTTCAAATAGTCCGACAGGTCACCATTCACCGCCCAAGGACTGACTATCGCTATAAGCGGGCTGAAGCCATGCGCATAACCATAGATCGGTAAGATATTTGTGTGCTTGAGGTTTGCAGATATCCCGAGCTCACGCTTTATCCTCTACGAAGAGGCGCCCTGTGATTTAAGTAATAGACTCATTCTTTCGGTAAGACACTTGCCCTGATCTTTTTCGTCTTCGCTGGAAGTTCTTCTTCAACGTACAGCTGAAATGCTTTCACTGCGACCTGCAAAATTATTTATTTGAGACCAATGGACAACCGAAAGACAGCAAACAAACTTTGACCGAGCTACGATCAGTGCACGAAATGGTGCATTTCCAGATCTCCCCAAACCCTCCACGAGCAGCAGGATAGATTCCGTCCTTGGTGATATATTTTGAGAGGTCTTGGAGCATTACTCCAGTGGGGAGATCGTCAGGCTCGTCATCGTAGATGACTGCATGCACATGGGAAGAGGAGGGAATGAGGTCGCGGGGGTCGAGGGATAACTGGGGTAGCTGTGAACCTACTGTAGAAGATAGTATCAGCGATGAAAGGGAAAGAGCCAGGACATGTGTACTTGAGTGATCTGCTGTGGGTCCCTTGTTGTAACGCGGTGTGTCCTGGAGTTGTGGCTGGAATCCTTGTTCGTACTGTTGCCCTAACGCTTTATCAGGTGATAACTGCATGTCAGCAGGCCATTGCAGCATGTCCGAGTCATTAGAGGTTCCGACGTGTGCACCATTCCCATATTCGAACCATCCGTGACGGACGCCAGGAAGTTGTGGAGAGTGGCTCCATTGTGCATTTGGTGGGGCCGCGCTGATAGATTGATTCGTGGTTGGTGGAGCCTCGCTGGTGGATTGATTCGCAGTGGGAGTGAGTGCGGCAGACTGCGAAAATTGTATTAATGGAGTGGGGTAAACGAACAAAAGAAAGGGAACAGTACATCAGTGAGGGGGGGGCAGGTTAATAGGAGCACTGATCTGCAAGTAAATGTTAGCGCATGAACGATAGCAGTGTTCTTGATTGCGCACTCTGACTTGTGGTAGAGGCTGAATGCTATCGTGAATCTCAATTGGAGTGTTGCATAAATAGATGTTCTTGTTGCGCTGAGTGGTGTAAACTAGTTGGCGCGAGTCGGGTGAAAAGACGAGGTGGAAGGGATATTGGATGTCGAATGAGGCGATGAGCTGGTGAGACTCGAATGCCCAAAACTTGATGGTGTTGTCGTAGGAAGCACTGGCAAGGACAGCACAGTCAAGTGAAAGTGCTAGACCAGTGATAGTTTTGGTGTGTCCTTCAAAGGGGGCTCCGATAGTCTTCAGCGTAAACGCGTCAAATTCATAGATCATCTGGAGTGTAGAGGAAAAGCTGAATGCGGCTACGATGGTGTCTTTGGCGGTCCAAAACACTGGCACATTTGCAGGAAAGCCCCCTTTGGTTCCCGTGTGAGCATCCAATTTTTGCGATTGGATATCCCGCACTTCGAGGTATTTTCCCGATAAGACTGCGAGTTTCTTCGAGTCTTGCGAGAATCGAACAGTGCCCACCCAGCTGGCACTTTTGAACGGACCAGCTACTAGTTCGCCTGTTTCCAAACTCCATATCCGCATTGTGTAACCTTCTGCCCCCACTACCAATGTGCTGTCACCGGAGATATCGATGCAGTTGATCTTCAAGTGACCTTCAAATATTCTTACGGCGCCTGTCTCAACCTCGCAGACTTTGAGCTCCCCGTTGTTGACATTTCCACTTGCAGAGACAACCCATCGACCATTCCTTGATACCCCCACAGCATGTACCGCATGCTTACAAACATCTCGCAATTTCTCGATTTCCTTCCCTGCTTCTGGGTCCCATTGACGAGTGGTCTTATCACTCGACCCACTGATTATTCGCTTCCCGTCTGGAAAGTAGGATATGGATGGATTAGAACCTTTGTGACCCTCGAAGGTAAACACAGGTATCAGAGTTGATTTCTTTGCTGCCGCAGTGGGCTGTTGCGAAACTTGCGATCCGGGAAGCATGTCCTGTTTCTCCGCCAGCGAGGTGGACAATGTGTTATTTGAAAGTATTAGAAGGATCTTTGGTGAGGCTTCCTCGTATCCTGTGGCCTGATGTTGATAACAATCTATAAATCTATAAAGTAAGGGAGAACGGTGGCGGGAAGGGACGGACGCTCGCGTGGTTTCCGCTTGCACCGCGTAGATACGCTTAGATTCGCTTAGATACGCTTAGATTCGCTAAGATTCGCTAAGATTCGCTAAACGCCATGTGGTTTCGCTTACCTCGCTTAAAGCTCGATTTGGAAACTCGCGTGGCATCACGTGCGTCCGCTGCCCGTTAGGGCAGCACTCATTGAAAAACACTAGCACACACCCGTTGTGCCTTCGGCACAGGAAGCAAAAAAAGAGCGCTTCGCGCTCTTTTTTGGCTTCCTGGCCTTCGGCTTCATCCTACTTTGGGTGTCTTAAGTCTTGACCTTGAATACTTGCTGTGCCTTTGGCACAGCAAGGCAAAGGAGCGCTTCGCAGCTCCTTTGCGAGGTGCCTGCGGCACTTTGCCTTACTAATGATCATAGTGCATTTTGAAAACAATTACATTTTTGAGCAGCATTTCGACACAACTAAAACTACATGATACATCACATCCAAGTCGGTTCTCTATATAAAAGTACATCATATGTACATCAATCATCCAACAGGAATCGTAATTCTTCTAAGCACTTCTGTATACACTACATTCGTCGTCTTTGAGCCCTCTTCACTCTCAGGAAAGATAGCAAACACTCTATCTGGGTGAGTGCAGCGAGATAATGCAACATAGAGCTGTCCATGGCTGAACACGGGAGTCCTGCAAATTAAGCCCAACCCACTTGACGCTTTGACCTTGCGCCTTGTTGATGGTCATAGCAAATGCGACACGAACGGGGAATTGGCGACGCTTGAGAGGAATGGGGTTATCTTCAGATGTGGCATCCAGGGTCATGCGAGGGATTAGGACCGTGTCCCGATCATCTTGGCGAGCTTCATTGACTCCATCTCTAAGAATGCGACACTTGAGGACGCGAACGGTCCAAGACAGCAGGATCATGCGAGTTCCATTATAGAGGCCCTCGGAGGGGTTCAAGTTGCGCAACAGCATCAGGGGAACACCTTTTTTGACCTCCAATTTGTGCAAAGGGAAGCCTGATGGGGTGAGGGTATGAAGGAACTCTGTGGGGATATAATTGTATTCCCTCTCGCTGACCGAGTCTGCGCTGGTGAAGACCGCTTTATCTCCAGGGAATGATTCAAGAATGGTGGTGTTGATCTCATCCACATCGGTGTTCTTTGCGGAGAGGATGGTGCGTTCCAGGAAGAAGGAATCATCCACTGCAGGCTGCCCAGGGAGCAGAACTGGAGAGTATAGGGCGTTGATGAGAGACTGGACATCATTGTTGGGGCAGTGCATATGAATAGGGAGGGTCACAGTTCCGTCTTCATTTGTGCCCTCGCCAGCTCCAATCTCAAGGAGCCACCTTGCAAATTCATCAGAGGCAGGGTCTTGACCAAGCCGCATATTTCTCTTGAGGTGGAAGATACGAAGCTTTCGCCAGAGTTGAGATCTGCAAAGGGTAGCGCCCACTATCTGCTCCCTGGATCCATGGGTCACCACCAGCAGGGTCTGTCTAAAGTCTCTGCCGAAGAGCACAGTTATTCCCCCAAAATCAGCCTCTTTGTTTAGAAGATCACGCAACGTGCGGTCAAGGCACTCCAGAATATGACGATGGAGCATCGGAATTTCATCGCAGATGATGAGGGAGGTCTCCTTGAGAAGCTCATGGACGACATCTCCTTTTTTAATGTTGCATGAGCTGTCCTCGTTAATGGGAATGGGGATTTTGAATCGTGAATGAGCCGTACGTCCGCCTGGTAGGAGGAGGGAAGCAATTCCAGAGGAGGCCACACAGAGGACAATCTTTCCTTCAGCATGGAGTTTTGAAGCGATGAGTTTGCAGAGATACGTCTTGCCGCATCCCCCTGCACTATGGACAAAGTATGCGCGTCCGGGTCTTTGCTGATTACGATTCATTGCATCCTCGACCACAGCATTATAGACCACCCTCTGCTCGACATTAAGCAAAGGGACTCCTTCATCCACTATCTGCTGAAGCTCCTGCGGGTCATACTGACACTGCTCAGCGATGAGCTGGTTGCCCTCCATGGCCCCCCATCTTTCTGCCATTCGAGCTACTGGCATTTGAGGAATTGCTTCCAAAGACTTGCCATTTTTGCGGAGCACCCCATCAATGAGATGAAGACCATAGTCATGTACCTGTTCCTCCGTGGGGTCAGGCATGTTGAACGGTGCGTGAGTGAGGCGGTGACGCAGATCATCGCAGAGATTTTCCTTGAAGCGGTTCCAAAGATCATCAGGGCTGGTAGGGTTGCAGTGCAGCAGGATGATGGCAAAGAGATTGCGCATGCAATTTCCTGTGTACATATGAGAGGCATCCCGCAAGCACTGGATCCATTCGTAATCGTCATCAAGCAGACCCCTGTGCCGACACGCTTCCTTGAAAGTCTCATAGAGAGTCCCATCATGTGTCCGAAGGTGTTCGAAGGAGGTAGCCCCTTGAGATTATGGTGAGCTTGATTGATAAAAATTGTCTTAGACATCATACCTTTCACTACAGTCAAAAGCAATCTCAGATAGAAGCGCTCTCCGGAGCTGGGCGCAGCAGCGTACATTCTTCCAATCGCCATTCCTCGCTCCCATATCTTCCATGCACCTTTGCTCCAAACAAATTTTGAGGGGAAATCCTGATAGAGGCTGTCGTGGGCTCCAGCTGCCACCAAGTTCTCATTGGCATTGGCTTTGAACCATCCAGTGAGGCAAGTATCTTTCACTTCTGCACGCTCAAGGACTTCCTCAGCATCATCCTCGGGGTCATAGAACACCATCTGTTCATTTTTGAGATGGACTGGTGTCTTAATAACCGAGGGTCTTATATAAAGTCGTGTAAATGTAATGACACCACAATTACACTTTGGATAAGACTGCTTGCCAGTCCTCGATTAACACGGTCTACGACTTTTCCTATTTCGTGGTAGATAACGTGTGAGTTCTTGGGAGGCTCGCTAAACTAATCTTTGTCAAGATCAACCTAGCCGGAGCTTTACTTTTCTTTATTGAAACTCAAATCTCTTGTCTAGGAATAAGCTTCTAGACACGTAATTCGGTTTCTGGAATGTATTTGCCTAGGAAATCTCCTTCTAGGCTCTGGACTTGGATACTGGAACTAGTGAGACGTGGTCTCAAATATACGAAATATGACCAAGATCGCTTGGTCTATGGACACCTGACTGTGAGACAATGGTCTCAAATATACGATATATGTTCAAGATCGCTTGAACAAAGGGGACTATAACTTGACCAAGATCGCTTGGTCTATGGGACAACTAGTGAGACGTGGTCTCAACAATATGATAGATGACTAAGATCGCTTAGTCAAAGGGCACAGAGCAATGAGACAAAGGGGTCTCAAAGACAATATATGTGACCAAGAACGCTTGGTCTATAGCACTAAATAAGTTTCTAAGGTAAGAAACTTATAATCTCAAGGGAATTCTTTTCCCTGCACTTGTCTCACTTCAAAGGGACTAACTTTGCAAGTGAAATATCTGAGAGGCAGATTGCTACAAATGGGAGATCATATATTTTTTTGGGGGAGAATGAGCTCTCCTTATATACATTTTGTGTGGGAAAGTAACCTAGGTTCACAAACAATAAAAAATAAGGAGGACCAATCAAAATATTGGGTCAAACCCAATAAAAGAATAAAATACAAGTGAAAGATGGAGCTATGACATCATTGTGGAGCAGAACATTCTGGAATGTGGAGTAATGACATCATAATGACATCAAGAGTGACATCATTGTGGAGCAAAAGATTCCAGAACCTTCCATGAGTGAGTCAGAGTGAGTCATTGTGGAGCAGAATATTCTAGAAGGAAATGACATCATGAATGATGTCATTGTAGAGTAGAATAATCTAGAGCTTGATGACATAATATCTTTCAACAGAATACCTGCAGGAGTATCTGTGGAGTCTTATGACATCATAATGACATCATACCCTATGGGTACAATTTTATGAAGTGTCAGGTGAGTCAAAGCATCCTAATGAAAAAGTAAAGTAAAGAAACACTAGAGAAAAGTAGGTAGCAAAAATAAGACAGTTGGCAGGAATTGAAACACAGTCAAAAAAAATAATGCAGTTGGCAGGAATTGAAACACGGTCTTTTTGGATAGGTTTTTTATTGGCTTTGTACTTTTCTCTATGGTTTTCTCTAGCCAAAGTGAATAAGCCAAAGGCAAGGCTATACCTTAACCTTCATTTCCCTTCTCACATCAACTAGGTCTAAATGTGATTCCCATCTCACATTAGACTTTTTCTGTCAAAACGTATTCAGATCATGAAACTTGGGGAAAACTAGAAATATGGACCATGGTTTGAAACCAAGGTATGGGTTGACTAGTCTGAGGACTAAGCTAGCAGACTTTATCTTTTGAGGGTCACCTAGTATTCATGTCCATGCATGATTCCCACATCATGCAGGACACCGGCAAATGGTAGACAGAGGGCCATTCGAGATGCATCGAAAATTTGAAGATGCGCCATGCAGCCTCGGTAGAGCTGATATATCTCGAGTCCAGATATGATTTGACCTCATCCACCGCTCCTCTCATCTCCAACGTAGCGCGGTCGTTTCCCTTATAAATGTATTTGTGGATGTATTTGACAGATTTGATAGAGGCGCAGACCTCGAGATTGATGTGGCAGTTGAATTCCACCAGCAGTTCGGGGGGATGTGGAACAACATCCTTGTTGGTGAAGATGATGTCATTCTTTTGGATGGTGCGACCATTGTCAGGTCTCGCATACTCGGGATAGCCATCATCCTTCATCAGGGTCTGGGGACAGAATGTTTTTGGAAAGTGCTTTTTGCACCGCAAATTCTCTATGCAACGCTGCGGACTGCAAGGGCCATGCAGCATGTATTTTTCCACAACCTGATAGAGCTGAGGATGGATGTTCCTGTCAGGAATCTGAGCGGAGATGAAGGAGTCGATTTGCTCAGTGGTACGGATCTTATAATCTGGCTCCAGGAAGATGAGAAGGTGCATGTGAGGCAGGCCCCGCTTTTGATATTCGATGGTGTACACCAATCCAGCAACCTTCCCATAGTAGCCCTTGCGAACCTTCTTCAGCAGCGCTTGCTGCTTCTGGTAGAAAACCCAAGCCACCAAGTCTGGGCGATCCACAGCGCTCTGACCTATATAAGAAATTGTCAGCACAAAGTCATACACAACGCATCAAATAAGAATCATTACCAGGAAGGAGATTCTCTGTGATTTCAGGCCAACTTCCATTGGCAGTCATCGTCAGGAAGAGATCCGGCTTTTTGCAGGCACGGCAAATGGCTAAAGAATCTTGAAGCAGCTGGTGCATATATCGAGGGCTCCCTGTGTGAGAGGAGGGAAGAATAATGGAGCGACCTGTCTGAGCCAGATCATCTACGCCCTCGTTGCGAACATTATCTGCTAAGCCTTGATAGCAGTCTGCCCTCAGCCGCTCTTGGTTGCTCCTGATCCAGTTCAAATTGCTCTGTTCGATGGAGGCCCAAGCATCGACAATATACTGCTGGAACAATCTTCCACCGCAAAAGATATTGTTGTGATAGATGGGAACAGGGCGTGGATGAAGTCGATGGGCATAGTACAACAGCTGAGTGACATTCTTTGCGACCGTGCGGGTATTTGGGGGGAGAATCAGAGGTATTCCAAGGTGCCAGCCCTCCTCTCCAGATGGAAAGAGAAGGACATAGTGAAGTGGGGAGTACGCATGGCTGAGCTGACTTATACGCTGGAGTCGACCTCCTTGAAGCCGCAAGACGATGTCCCGTTTTTCGGATACCTGCTCAGATCCATCTCCAGGAATGATCACAGCAATTTCATCGGCAGTGGGAACATTATATCTTCGACCATCTGTGCCTTGCTGGAAGTGAATGCGTGCACAAACATCCATGTGCTGCTCTGGAGGCTTCTCTCGCATGACCTGATAAGCCTGCTTGTAAAGAGCGGCATAGGGATTGATTCGATAAAGCATGTCATGGAGCTCCCTGAGAATGCCGCGATCAAGACCTTCATTTCCAGGTCGGGTGGCGCGAATGTTGGTGGCTTCCTCGGGATCGTAGATATAAAGTTGCGCATATGAAGGCTGAATGCCTTCTGGAGGTATGAGACTACCCATGAGGTGATGCAGAGATCCATGAATACGAAAAGCATTGGGGCCAGAGCCTTGGAGGGCTCTATCCTCGATATCGACACCGACCGACGTGAATGCAAGAGCGCTGTTGTACTGCCAAATCTTGGAGACAAATGTCCTGTCAGTATAAGCGCGCTGCAGTTCTGGCGGCCATGGTGGAAAGGGCAGGAGGACGACTTTACCCTCCAAGCAGCATGTACCGAATTTTGGATTCCGTAGGGACGATTTTGAGAGTCTTTCGGATGCAAAGTGCAATGCATGGCACTTGGTGCACTCTACATTAAGAGTACCAAGATTGTGGATGTTTATAGGCTCCCTGTATGGTCGAGCTCCATCAGGGATAGGAACAATGCAGTTGATAACTTCTTGATCCTCTGCCTCACGCTCCTCACGCTGTTGAAGCTCTTGAGCTCTTCTCCTTTCTTCATCAGCAGCATGATTTTCTTGAGAAGCAGGATCATTATATTCATGCAGCGCCTCTTCTAAGCGCTCTGCCTGCTCACGAATCCTTTGTTGTCTCTGGCGTTGGATCTCTTCTTCATCTTGATGTGCTTGCAGATGATCCCGAGCCAGCCTATTCTGCTGCTCCTCTTCATGCTGACCTGCTCGCAGACGATCCTGAGCCAGCCTAACCTGCTGCTCCTCTTCCTGCTGCTGCAATTGAGCCTCTCTTTGGATCCTCTCAGCTCCTTGCTGCTGCAGGTGAAGAGCTGCCTCATGCCGCCATTGAGCCTCTCTATTGATCCTCTCAGCTTCTTGTTGTTGCAATTGTTGTTGCAATTGTAGCTGAATTTGACGTCGTCGGAATTCCTCCTGTGCTTGCCTTTGAAGCAAGTCATTTCTAATGCGCTCATTTTCCATTTGCTCTGCCTGTAAATGGTGTTGAAACTGAATGTTAAATTGATGATGATCAGGTTCAGGTGGTCCATGCAAAGGCAGAGCAGGATTAGGCGCAAAGTAATGAAGAGGATTGTCAAAGTTGTGAGGACCAACTGCTCCCTCATAATGAATGGCACCATATACAGGAGGAGCAGGAGCAGGTTGAGCAGGTTCATTATGCACCTGAGGTACCTGCATGGGCTGTATGCCAGCTGCCATTAGCTCTGCTTGCGCCTGCTCTCTTATCTCCTCTCTGTCCTGTTGCCTACGACGGTTGCGCTGGCAGCGTCTATCATTATGAGCTGCATTCATCTGCTCATTCAGGCGTGCATTATAATCAACAGGAGGGTGCTGATGAGCACGTTGTACATGCGCAATGGCATTACGTGGCAAGCCAGGATATTGACCAACTGGTAGCGGTTCATATGGAAAGTGAGGAGGAGGCTGCCATGCAAAAGGTCGCGGAACAGGCCCTGCTTGTGGTTCATTAGCTGGCATGAAATTCGGCTGTGGTACATGAGGTGGAGGCCTATCATGAGCAGCATGTCGGCGATTGTGCCTGGTAGGGGACGTCATCTGGAGTCGATTGACTCTATCGCGTTCGCGTTGGGAGTGACGCTCGCGCTCTGGGGTAATATGTTCTTGATTTCTAAATAGCATGTGCAGACATTAGCATCATTCACCTTGCACGTAGCAATATATAGTCAGCAACTCACAGAATGGGCATATTTCTGTCCATGTTTGATATTTAAATGGTTGTTTAGCAAGTGCAAAATTTGAGTCGCCTGAGCCCATCAATAAGTCATTTCTATCTTTGTTGATAAGAATCAAAACCCACAAAAAGTGTATCACACTTTGTTACACTTGGCTGCGGGGGAGGGCAATTTAATTCGAGAATTCTATACAAAAGCAGCAGCCAATTGTGTAATGATTTGTGTCACCAAATTGTGTAATGATGTGTGTCACCAAGTTATGTAACAAATTGTGTAACCAAAATCCGTTATGCTTTTGCTATTCTCGATGCTCGCTCCCTTATAGTAGGAAAAGTGAGTTGTTTGTCCGTATTATGGGCGCGGCGCAGTAGGCGTGCAGAACACTGTCCACTATATCGCGTTTGGCAGCATTTTTGGACACCGTGGAATTTTACCTTTTGAAATTCTGAATCAAGACTTTTTTGTTCTCACCATTAGCAAAGTCAAGCGAGAAAACCACGCGAGATTTCCAAAGTAAGCATTAAGCGAGGTAAGCGAAAACCACATGGCATTTAGCGTGTCTAAGCGACCCAAGCGAAAACCACGCGAGTGTCCGTCCCTTCCCGCCACCGTTCTCCCTTACTTTATAGATTTATTATTTACGAAATTCAAATCATAATAAATTTAACTACATTAAGAAAAAAATTTAAGAAGAAAAGACAATTGAGAAATGAGAATGGGGAAAATTGGAGAACAGGAGAATGGAGAACAGGAAAACAGTGAAAAAGGGAAAACAGATGAATGGGAAAAAATAGAAGAATGGGAAAACAGGAGAAGTGGGAGGACAGGAGGAGGACAACAGGACGGGAGGAGGACAACAGGACGGGAGGAGGACAACAGGACGGGAGGAGGACAACAGGACGGGAGGAGGACAACAGGACGGGAGGAGGACAACAGGACGGGAGGAGGACAACAGGACGGGAGGAGGACAACAGGACGGGAGGAGGACAACAGGACGGGAGGAGGACAACAGGACGGGAGGACGGGGGCACAGAACACCAGATACAACAGTAGATGAGAAAATACATATATTCAATTGTACTTTTACTTTTGTCAATTTGAATCCTGCTCAAAGTATGTAACTTATTTTGAAATTTTCATCACAACTGAGTGAATAAAATATAAATTATTTCAAAACCTGCAATGATTATTAAGACACCCAAAGTAGGATGAAGCCGAAGGCCAGGAAGCCAACAAAGAGCGCGAAGCGCTCTTTTTGCTTCCTGTGCCGAAGGCACAACGGGTGTGTGCTAGTTGGAGGGATACCCTGGCAGCTGGCACACGTTGCCTGCCGAAGAAGGCTGACGATATTGAATGCAAGAGTTAGGCGAGGCCGGGAGTTCGAGACTTGTTGTTTTCATGTATTCTCATGGATATGTATACTCCCAAAAAACAGATTCTACGCTTATTTCTATTGGAGGTAGCAATGGCACCGACAATAGGTGCCGAGTCGAGGCCTTGCTTGGTCGCCGCTCGACCGGGTTTTGGGAAAGCCTCCTCCAAGCCAGGCTGTACATTACCCCAGACTCCGACTCTATCCTGCCAGGGCCAAGCTCTTCACGCGATTCAGACACTCGACTATCACGTCCATCGCAAATTGTTTCAAGCCGCATGAGATATTACGCCAGATAAATGTCGTGCAACTTCATTCTTACCCACAAATCACCAGTGCACACCTTAGGAGCGATCACCTCTAGCTCCGAGGCAACAAAGTAAAAAATACAAACCGAAGATGTACATATCGTGGAGGCACACAGTCTCAAAGTCCCGAATATCAAAGTCCCTGATTGCACGTGGCCATGATTGGTTGCTATACATAAAAGTTGTCAGATTGTCTCAAGAATGTTCTAATCGACAAAGTGGGAGGACGCACGGAATTTATCATATGCCAATATGTATAAACACGATGCGTTGGTCCAAGGGCATGTCCGTGTCATGAGCCAATGACTGGACTGCGCGGTGCAGCGCCCAGGCAGCTCGTTTGGAGTTCATTGGGCCATCCCCACAAAAATTTCTGTAGAATGCCTTAACTAAGCGCTCCACAGTATTATCGTTGACCTTCCATAATGTCCCAATGACGCTGTTAACCCCGGCGAATTGCAAACCAGCCGCTAGGTGCAGTTTCACAGGCAGAAAGAAATGCAAATTGATGCCGAGACAGATCCATTTGTGTAATATCGAGAAGCGAAAGCCGTTGGTCGCGCATAAGAAAGGCTGACTCGAAGGGTTCGTCAAATCTCTGTGTCCCGTGACATGCGAGATGGAACCAAGTATTGTCCCGCAACGCACGTAGTACTCTCGATTTCGTGGCATCAATACTGGTGATCTTGGAGAAGGAAGCAGTAGGGAGAGGGGGCAAAAGTCTCCGCACTAACTCCAGCTCAGACTCCACAGCATCCAAAGTGAACGAGACACCATTTGGGCGATCCTGACCAATGGCAACGAAGGGCACCGACAAGGACTTCTCATGACTTCCGCGGGCCTTTATCAGCGCGGTGAGCGATGGCGTGTATGAAGAGATATACTGCTGCGAAAGGGATTTTCCCTTTTGCTTGTACTCGCCAGCAGCATGCAACGGCAAGAAATTGAAGACAGACGTCGGGCACCACCATATTCGGGAACCTGGTCGTGCAAATCCGCCTAGATTCTCGACGACTGGGCCGACGACGAGGTCCCACAACTCTCTCAAAGCTTTTATCAGCGCTGTTTGGTTCCCTTTGGGACCGACCTCTTTTTCAACTGCCACTCGGAAAGCGAGTACCAATTTGGTGAGTTTTTGCAAATCGGTAGAAAGTTGCATGCTAGTTGGAGGTTGCTTGTGCGTGATGATAATGGCGTTACAGGACGACTTGCTTGCGATGAGCACGACAATAGGTCCATCACGAGCTGCATCTTGAAGATCGGAGAATATGGGTGGAAGGAGGAAGCGAGAGAAGCCCTCGATCTTCCGGATCTCTTCTACAGTTCCATTCCAGTCCTGCACTAGACGCCTGTACCGGGTTTCCTCTGCTTCTATATCGACTCTTGGGGTTGCTTCTGCATGATCCGCAGGAGGTTTATCGAGGAGAGAGCTGAGGTCTCTGAATTTCTTCATTAGGGCCACTGCATGATCACCACGAGTCTGGAGGATGTCAAGAGAGGTGCGGAGTCGCGTCATCTGGGTCCATATGACAGTCCTGCCTTGCTCCAACAACTCAACAGCACGACACACGTCACCACTACAAATAGCACATGATGCAGCATCCACAGCAAGTGTACGTGGGAAGTTCTTCATGGCCATATGACGAGACGATACTGAAGCTGTTGTGGACATATAAGCGTCCAGAAGTTGCATGGCAGTCGCATAGGCCTCCAGCTGAGTACCATGTCCGTGCTTATCAGAATGGCGGACCCAGAATAGACTTGCTCGCAGGCGGGAAAGTAAACCTCCAGAGACAACATTTGCTGCTGCTTTGATATGATGCATGGCAACATTCAAACTATCCGTATCCTCGCCCGCGCCAGCAGCGTCAAGCCCTGAATGATGGAACAACAGATAAACCCTAGCCAGCAAAGCATGAACAACTGTCTGACGAGGATCATGCTGATTCAACAGAGTCAATGCATAACGTAGGTTCTCTCGCGACTCGTTGAGGTCCTCTCTGTTGTGTTGGTGCCTGAAGCGGGTGGAGAGTTTATGCGCAAGGTTATTTAATGACCCGCACCGATCTGTGTGACCGACCGGACGCAAAGCCAGTGCTTCTCTATCAAGTGCGATAGCCTGATCCAAATCTTCGTCGTTGCCTCGGTGGCGAAAACGGGTAGAGAGTTGATTCGCAAGGTTATTTAATGACTTGGACCGATCTGTGTGACCGACCGGGCACAGAGCTAGCGCATCCTCATGAAGCGCGGTAGCCTCATCTAAGTCATCGTCGTTTCTTCGGCGGCGAAAGCGGGTGGAGAGTTGAGTCGCAAGGTTATTTAATGACTTGGACCGATCTGTGTGACCGACCGGGCACAGAGCCAACGTTTCTCTGTAAAGACTGATGGCATGATCTAAGTCTTCGTTATTGCCTCGGTGGTCAAAGCGGGTGGAGAGTTGAGTCGCAAGGTTGTTTAATGTCCTGGACCGATCTGTGTGACCGACCGGGCGCAAAGCCAGTGCTTCTCGGTGAAGTGCGATAGCCTGATCTAAGTCTCCGTCGTCGCCTCGATGGCGAAAGCGAGTGGAAACTCGAATTGCAAGGTTATTCAATGACAAGGACCGATCTGTGTGACCGACCGGGCACAGAGCTAGCGCATCCTCGTGAAGCGCGATGGCCTCATCTAAGTCTTCGTCATTGCCTCGGTGGTCAAAGCGGGTGGAAAGTTGAGTCGCAAGGTTATTTAATGACCTGAACCGATCTGTGTGACCGTCCGGGCGCAAGGTCAGTGCTTCTCTGTGGAGTGCGATAGCCTGATCCAGGTCTTCGTTGTTGCCTCGGTAACGAAAGCGGGTGGAAAGTTGAATCGCAAGGTTATCTAATGACCTAGATCGATCCGTGTGACCGACTGGGCACAGAGCCAGTGCTTCCTCATGAAGTGCAATAGCACGATCCAAGTCTCCATCGTTGCTTCGGTGGTCAAAGCGGGTGGATAGTTGATTCGCAAGGTTATTCAATGACAAGGACCGATCTGCATGACCGACCGGGCGCAAATACAGCGCCTCCGTCTGAAGTGCGATAGCCTGATCCAAGTCTTTACCGTCGCCTCGGTGACGAAAGCGGCTAGAGAGTTGAGTCGCAAGGTTATTCAATGACCTGGACCGATCTGTGTGACCGACTGGGCACAGAGCCAGCGCTTCCCTGTGAAGCGCGATGGCCTGATCTAAGTCTTCATCGTCGCCTCGGTGATCGAAGCGAGTTGAGAGTTGAGTCGCAAGGTTATTTAATGACAAGGAACGATCTGCGTGACTGACCGGCCGCAAATACAGCGCTTCCGTCTGAAGTGCGATAGCCTGATCCAAGTCTTCGTCGTCGCCTCGGTGGTCAAAGCGGGTGGAGAGTTGAGTGGAAAGGTTATTTAATGACAAGGATCGATCTGCATGACCGGCTGGGCGCAAATACAGCGCTTCCGTCTGAAGCGCGATGGCCTGATCTAAGTCTTCGTCGTCGCCTCGGTGGCGAAAGCGGGTGGATAGTTGATTCGCAAGGTTATTCAATGACCCGCATCGATCTATGTGATCGACCGGCCACAGAGCCAGCGCTTCCGTCTGGAGTGCTATAGCCTGATCCAAGTCCTTCTCATTACATCGACGCTCGAAGCGAGTTTGTAGTATTACAGCCAGATTACCTAGCAATTTCCCCCGGCAAGGATGCCTAGTGTTGTAGTATCTCAGTGCATCATAATGAAGCCATATAACTTCATCTAAGGCACGAGGTTCATCCCTATGCAAACATCGCTCTGCTCGATCAAAAAGATGATTCAGCGATAACGGAAGCATGGATGATGCGGGCCACTCCTGCCCAAGATCATTTTCATCAATGCTTCCAGTAGGATGTAGAGCGAATTTTTCGATTACAATCAGGGCTGCTTTGTAAATGTGGCTATTGCCATGGCAGACATTGAGGATTTCGCTCAGTAACTCTTTAGCCGCATCGGCATCCGATTGAAATCCCCGTTTTGCAAAGAGAAACAACAGAAAAATTGCACGACGAAGTTGGGTGATGGGTCGGTCTGGATGACCAATGGGACGCAAATCAAGTGCGTCTTGAAAAAGAGAGTTAGGTATGTCGAGGTCGAGGCATGTTCCGTTAGCTTGGAAACTAGCAAACTTGGCGGTGGCTAGATTAAACAGTGCTGCAGGGCGGTAGGGATGGTCCACAGGGCAGAGATCCGAGGCACGTTCAAAGTGCTTTATGGATTGGTCGAGATCCCTTCTGTTCTGCGTCCTGCGGTGTCGTGCGAGAAGACGATATCCAGCATCCGTCCTTAGTGCTAACGCATTCATATCGCGAGATGTAAGCTAGACGTTACAAGCTCTCAGTATCGGAATGGTAGGCTGCATTAATCACTTACGATAGTAAGGGAGCAAAGAACTGGGGCGACATTTTGATCGGAAAGTCGCTGCTCCGCTGTCATGAACACCGAAGTACAAGCAGATACGATTTCCTCCTGCTTTGGCTGGAAGATTATGGCTGTGATGCTCGTTAACATCTGCCAGGGTTTATTTGCAATAGATGGTACTAACGATGCAATTTTTCGCTGCGATCCAGTAATTCTCCGACGGAAATCTCGAATGTGCGGAGGCATTCTCCGTGACAGAGTATGGGATTCAATTCAAATGAGGCATACACGCTGACCCAAACTTTAGAAGATGACTCGCATGGCCTAGAGTTTTTCTCAATACCTGCAAGACAAACGGGATTAAGGACTTACAAAAGAATGTGCTCATGCCATTCGACCACAGACTGGTCTACATGTATAGATTTATTACTCGTCCGATATTCAGCACCGTCAACCTTGACCACCACATGGAAGCCAGCGGGGATCCGTCGGAGACCAAGAGTGAGATCAGTTGCGCGAATGGCTTGAGGAAACCGTGAATACGAGCTGAGTGGAATAGTAGATATTACATACTAGTAATGACGACTTGCTGTACTCCACAGAGGTGTATCTCTCCCGGGTCCCGGGTGTATTCTTGGTAGCTAAGCTCCCCACTAAACAATACGCACATTGTCAGCCATTGAGATGATCAGTACTTCTTATACTTACTTGTCCTTTTTGTACCTGAAACCGAGATATTAAGTCCATACATGTGCTATACAACACGACGACTTACGATTGTGGACATTCTGAACTCTTCGTTTTATTGTCACTATGATCGTTGCCTGACGACTTACTCTGATGTTTTCTCCCTCTCAAGGGCTTGCTACTGGGAGCAGATTTCTCTACTGAAGAAGTCAGAGATGTTTTATGCGATGGCGCTAAAGAAAGGCCGGATTCCGAGTCAGAGTCTGACTCTGATGAGCTGGAAGACTCCAAGGTAGCACTCCGATGACGGGCCATATAGCTAAGGGATGGATGCAAACTAACACTTCAGAGTAGAAAGTGTGCTGAAGGTCATGAAACACTGCGGTGCCTGTAATGTCCTGCTGTATTATATGTGACAGAATCACAGCATGCATGTGGCATCCACTGCACCGTGCAGCGCTGCCTCATTGCAGTGGGCGTTAGTTTTGCACAGCAGGGTGTGGTATTGGTTAAAGTAGCCGAAACGAGAAGACTGCGAGGCTGGGGGCATTCCACACTCGGAAGAATTCGCATAGCCTATTGTGAAGCACTGCCTGAATGTCACCGCCCTTCGACAAAGTGCGTACCGAGAAGGTACGTGACAAGACGGTATGACCGACAAGAGGCGTGCGACGGCGAAATCCGAAACACTGACTACTTGCTTACCATAAGCAAAAACTTTAATTTCAGCCACTTTGGCGTTATCTCGCGTTGTCGTCCGAACTTCTCTCCAGCGCCTTCGGATCTCAACAAAATCTTTCCACGACTTGGGGGAGGTGGTGGTTATAGGTACCTTAGAGTAGTTCTAAGTACGTAGATTAATAAATTCCTTGCGTTGTAGCTGATTTCTTCTGCAAAATGAATGCTTTTTTTTTTTTTCACCACACGTGAGTCGCGATTGCACGTGATCAATGAATGAGACGACGTCATGGACATATGTCCTTGAATGCAATGTCATTTCTGTCGCAACACGCTGCCCATACCACACTTACTTCAGGTGGGCGAGCGCCGACGCTGGATCAAAGAATCGACCATGTCGCAACGTGCCTATCAAGTGCGAGTTGTGTCACCCTACTCTTGCGCCCGTTACAGACTTACAGGCATGAAATCCCGCGCTGGTGCGCCATATGTGGATGCGATATGGCGTTACAATATGATTTATCATCTCAATGAGACCCACCCACAGTATGCGCATCCCAAGAACACCCACGGCCATCCTCTCCCACCAGACATTCTAAACTCGTTTACTCTAACGTCCCTGGAACAACGCGAAGCTGGTATTCCCGAAGTACACTGGCTCGTCCCTCTATTTGACGGTGATAAGGAAAACCACGCTGGACCCAGCTCCCGCAAGCGGAAGTCCAACAACGCCGCCAACGGGAATGCTAAGAAGGCCCGAACAACTGTGTAGTTTCTGTCTTTTTATGCTTTTCTTCACTATGCTTGCTCTGCACAACTCATGGATCACATTCAGTTATATTGGTATGATACATTGCACTATGATAGCTGCTGTATTCTCGATTACTTTTTTACACGTTACATCGCACACGACGCGTCTACACGCGTCTAGTGAAATTTTCATGTGTTACATATTTCCTTAATGGGAATGTTACCCTCACGTCACGGTGGTGGGTCACTGAACTACATTAGTCAGTGTCATGGATCGCACGCCTCTTGATGACCGAGCCTAAAAACAGCCCCGTCACGTGCGACTCCTTCGTGTTGCAAATGAAAATGCAGCGGCCTTAACCAGTGCTTTCATGTCTCAAGCAGTAGGCAACGTACGCAAATTTGTTTCGGTGTAAAGGCAGACATCTGACTCGAGGCCATTGTAGACCGCTCTTGCTTATGCACGAGTATGGCATCATGTCAATGCCTCTGATCGCGTTCTCGGAAAACTGGCGGAACGAATAGCACTCGTGCTCATGGGCAAGCATAAACCGATATACGACAAGAGCTGTACATTCTCTGCATTTTTAAACACCATTTTTTTCACTCATTCACATTCTAGTGGACTGTGGGGATTATGTCGTAGTCACAAACGCAAAGCACATCAAGGTGACTGGTCGTAAAGACGAACAACTGGTGTACCGCAAGCACACGATGTTCCCTGGTGGTTTGAAAGAGACCGAGTATAAGGATATGATGGAAAACAAGCCTTATGAGGTTTGTTCTGTGGTTCGTTGCATAAGACTGTATGCTTACCCGCCCTGCGCGAATATAGATTATACGACACGCAGTGTCCGGGATGTTACCTAAAAACAAACTTCGCGAACGTCGATTGGAACGACTCAAAGTATTTGGAGGGTCGAATATGGGGATATATAGAGGGAATATTTTGAAGCGATGGGAGGATGGGACGTTGACGGAGGACTATATTTTGAAGCTGGATCCAAAGAATAGGATAAAAGCGAAAGCGAAGTAGTGTTTCTCATCCTTTTGCTTATCTTTTATTACGCTGGATTATAATACTACTGCGTTTACGCGACCAGTTGATATCGATATCAGTCGGACTCGGAGTCGAGTGAAGGTGGGGAAGGGCTTTGTTCTACGGAATAGTCCCGCGGTCGCACTCGTGCACCAGCACGAGTACCGGAAAAGCCGGTAATCATCGCATGTGCAATTTGCTCTTGGAGAATTATCCCTGGATACTGGTCAGCGGGGAAAGTGAGGAGTAGTGGTCTTAAATACCTATCGCGACCAAAGCTGAGCCGTCGAGAGCCTTGTACATGTCTTTATGTTCTTCGTTATGGGAAGCGTTTTCGCCATCATCTTCCTCATCTTCCCATTCATCTCCCTCATCCTCCAACTCATCTTTCTCATCTTCCCATTGATCGTCATCGTCAGCATCGAGGGAAGAATCCCTCGTCCACAATGCCGGCTTGCGTGTTGTCTGATCATGAATATTAGACGCACTACTTTTAGAGCGCTGTGTTTTCCTCTCGTCTCGGTAGCCCCTGCTTAAATCGGACAAGACGCCTTTCTCCTGATAGTATCGGCTGGCGAAGTGGTGAATGCATTTTAGCAGCTCCTGCCAATTATAAGCCAGCATCATTGAATGAAATTTGACTCTTACGGGTGAAGGGTCCGGAAACTGAATTTTGATCTCTCCTGATGCAGAATCAGAATCAGATGAGGAAGACAATGATGATGACGAGTTGTCTTCAGAGGGTTGATTCTGTTAGCGGAAGACATGAAGCGGGGGTGAGGGTGCCAAGAACGACGAATCTTCGGTGAAACTGCGTCGTTTCCTTGCCCTCCAATTCCTGCCAGTACGGTCATCTTCTTCATTGCCCTCAATTGCCCTTTCTTTACCTTCCTTACCTTGACCCTACCGTGAATTCATCTTCACCCGACTCATCAGAAAACGAATATTAATTAACTCTCCATCCTCCTTATCTACCTTGGCACTAGCGTTTCTAGTCGTCCTCACGGCCAGCTTTACCCCCTGCATCACGAGCGATCCAATTTCCTCTTGTATCTGGACTGTTTGATGGAGCTGTGCGTGTTCTTCTATTGAGAGAAGATTGTTGGACACGCGATCCGTCCGGGTGGAGGCCGTAGAGTTGCCAGATCATGTGTGGTGCTTTTCCGTCTGATACTCATGCCAAGAGTCGAGGCTCGGATCGGGATCTGACGGACTACGTAAGGCGAACGTTAAGACAACTCCCTGAGCAGATTTCTGTGTCAAAGCTGTAGCCAATGCAGGTTGCCGCTCGAGGGCCAATGCGACCTAAGAAATGTTTAATGATATTCAAGGATAGTGTACAATAGTCTTAGTTGGCTCTAATAGTTTTATGAACCCGGCCCTAAACGCGTCGCGCCTACTATGACAAACAAGTTCAAACATTCGAAACGCGTCAATTACTCCAGCTTCTTTCAAACCTCGCGCGTTCCTCCAGTGCGACAAACATGCCTCGTCGAACAAGAGCAGCAGAACTGGTAGAAGGCGATTCCGACTCTCTAAAGGAGAACTCTGCTCTTCCTAATGGCGGTCGTCAAGGATCCTGTCAAAAAGGAGAAAGTAAGGGACGAGAAAGGGAAAGGCAAGGGAAAACGTGTCGAACCTGAACCCGCAGATGAAGAGTCCGATTATACTCAGGCCGATGGGAATATCGATGTGGATGCTGATGGTGATGAGGATACTGAAGGTGATGTGGATGCTGATGGTGATCCCGAGAACGTGGACGGCTCTCCAAGAAGCCGCAAACGCACTCGCGTGAATGCAGAGGGCAATTTTACTCCCTCCACTCCGAAAAGAGAGCAAGTAGCGACACTTCCTCGCGATACCGACGGGTGAGATACCAGAATATTTATCGCAGTTATTTACGTTTCTCACTGTCGTCTCTTAGCTTCATCCCTGGTTCAATCGTGCGTATTCAGTTGCACAACTTCCTTACGTACGACTGGGTGGAATTTCGACCTGGTCCATACCTTAATATGATACTCGGTCCGAACGGCACTGGTAAAAGCAGTATTGCTTGCGCAATTTGTCTCGGACTTAATTGGCCTCCGAGCGTGAGTTTTTTGTTATTTCTGTATTTATGCCCCACATGTTCTTCCGTCAGATTCTTGGTCGGGCAAATGAGATTTCTAGCTTTGTCAAGCATGGCAAAGAGAGTGGCTACATCGAAATTGAACTTAAGGGCGCAAAGGGTCAAAAGAACCTTGTGATTCGACGTAACCTGAGCGCCAAGTCCAAAGGCTCGACCCTGACTCTCAACGGACAATCTTGTACTGGGAAAGAAATTACTAACCGTATGGCGAAACTCAATGTTCAAGTTGGAAACTTATGGTACCTTGCCCTTTCTGGGCTAAGCGTTTGGTTCTGACTGCACGTGCGCGCACTTTTCAGTTCGTTCTTGCCTCAGGACAAAGTCTCCGAGTTTGCCCAGATGACTCCACAACAGTTACTTAGAGAGACGCAACGTGCCGCGGGGGATGTTAATTTGTCAAATTGGCATGACACACTGATTACCGCCGGCAAGGAGCTTAAGGATCTCCAAGATGTTTGTGAATTCTTTGCTTTAACACCGCGATTAATTTATGGGTACCTTGCAGAAATCCAGTGATGAACAAGAGCGGCTGAAGACGATGCAGGAGCGTAATTCCCAACTTGAGCGAGATGTTCAGCGTTATCAAGAGCGCAAGCGTATAGAGAAGGATGTGAGTAATGTGCCCTCATAATGTTAGTATGTGCTGTTAATTATTGTTATAGATCGCTGTCTTAAAAGTGTTGATTCCTGTCAACGAATACCATGAAGCTAAGGAGCGCTACCAGAAAGCAAAAGACCGCCAACGGGAGTTGCACGCTCGGGTGCGAAAACTGAAGGACAGGAACGCGCCCGCACATGCCAAGCTAGAGTATGCCCTTCCTTACGTTTTATCACCGATCTACTCACAGACTTCAAGACAGCTGGCAGTTCAGCACAAGGAATACGAGAAAGCACGTGAGAAAAAGAAGGCTGCATCTCGTCAGAAGTTTCAGCAGATGAAGAACAAATGGGGCGAGAACGACAAGCTTGTTCGTTTGAGAGTTCATCTCTGTTTGTTTTCTGATCATTTGCCGCTCAGGAACGTGATGCCGAGGACGTTACAAGTAGACTTGACGGTCTCAAACGAGCCGAGAAGGAGCGCGTGAAGAAGATCAAAGAAATTCAGGGGCACAATGAAAAATGGCAGAAAGAACTTGACAACCCACCCAAACTAGAAGATGTAGAAGCCATCAATGCTGAGATAGTTCGTGAATTGCATGAGAAGGCAGTGCAATCCGTGCTAACCATCATTTTCTAGAGGAAAATCAACAGGGAGCACAGTCAGACAACTACGCGTATGGAGGACTTGCAGGAGCGACAAAAGAAGAATGTCGATTCATCCGCCGCCCAACAAGCAAACATCAGTGGCGCATTAGACCAGTGAGAAACACTATTTTATTTAACACGGCAGGCGCATGACACGTTGGTCATAGGCTGAAAAACCTGGAAGACGAGCGTCATCGTAAACTCGAGAAATTGCGGGCCTGGGATAGAGATATGGCCGATGCAGTCGTGTGGCTTCGTAACCACCAGGACAAGTTCAAGATGGAGGTGTTCGAGCCCCCCATGATATGTTGCACCGTTCCAGATCGACGCTATACCGATGCCATAGAGGCATGCTTTAATCAGGATCAGCTCAAGGTCTGTACCACATCCTCCCCATTGGTTTTAGATTAAGTGACCGATCGACTTGCAGATTCTTGTCACGCAATGCGAAGAAGACTACACTGCTCTCAATAATTACTTGAATGACAGTGAACAAGCCGGGCTCCGAAAGGGCGCGCGTATCAACATCTGGTTCAGACCCAAGGTGGGCCTGAGCCCTCCTCCCATGAATGAGGCAGAGGTATGTTTATGTTGCCTCTGTTGAATGATCTAACTTGCTGCTGCAGTTGAAGATGCTTGGTTTCGATGATTATGCGATCAACAAGATTGAGTGCCCTGACGGCCTTCTGTGGTTCCTCACGCGAGAGGTCAACTTGCACCGCACCGTCAGTAAACTAGTCTTATTCTTATTTTAGAATCTATATGCTAATTAGTCTTGTGGTGTCAGGCCATTGGCCTGGACGCTTCTAAGGTCGATGTAAATGCTGCTATGGAAGCTGTTTCTCGAGATGGTAGTGGGGCAAAGTTCATCGCGGGAAGGGTGATGAACACGGTTTCACGATCTCGGTATGGAAAACGAGCAGCCGCCAACATGACGAAGGACCTCCGTCCAGCTCGGAATCTTGTCAACAGCACGAGTGAGTGGTTTGTCATTGCACCTTCTTGCGGAGTTTATTTACAGGGGTACAGTCGACCCTGAGATCAAGAAGAAACTCGATCAGACTATTCAGGAGGCAAGGCAGGCTCTTGAAGTCATCAATGAAGATGCGAACAACCTCGCGGCAGAGGAGCGTGAGATTAGGGCCGAGGAAGCACTGTTCAAGAAGACATTTGTATGTCATTCTGTGCTGGCCGAAAAGTTAATGCCACTTATCATATCTACAGGACGCACTCGATGCACGAAAGAAGGAAGTTAATAATCAAAAGAGGCGTCTGGCTACGCTCGCGGCTAAAATCGGTACATATTGATACCGGTCGGCCGTTTTCATATCTAACCGCACTACAGAAACCAACAAGGACAAACTGAGGGATCTTGAGAATGCACCTTCCATGGAGGATGAACGAGCGAAGCTCAAGAAGAAATTGTTTGAAATATCTAAGAAGCGTGTTAGGATTGTAAAGGAATATACGGTTAGTTTTCTCTATCCTGAATGAGTGAATGAAAATTGACATCTTCTCCGCAGCAACTGATTCGCGCCGCGATTACTGACCAAGTAGAAGCGACTCGTAGTGGGCTTGAATTCCTCCAGGTCGGCGCAAACAAGAATGCGCTTGAAACTCTATGCCAAGAGAAAGATGAAAAGTACCAACGGGCTCTTGCCGAGTTCGAAGAAGGTTCGTCATCAAACTTTCCTGCAATATCCGCGGATATGAAGTAACCGTCAACACTAGCTGATCAAATATTCATTGCGACAAGGCCGACGCGAAGAATAAACGGGATATTAGTCTGGACCTTGTTAGGAGCATGGACGAAGAATTTCAACAACAATTTGCCAAGATGGAAATGGTGAGTGACCCGACGTGATGGTTAACAGAAGGTAGAGATCATTCATACAGGATGGTTCGGTTCACGACCGGACCGTGAATGACCTGAGGAAGGAACTCGATGTTCAGCGCGCCAATCTTGACATGATTTCGCTGACGAATCCAGGCGTTGTTGAGCAGTATGAGCGGCGAAAGAATGAGGTTTGCTGGCTTCACATTTGATATGAGGGTCTTCATTTACGACGACGACAATCAGATCGATGCTCTCACAAAAACTCTGGAAGATAGGGAGAAGTCTACCCGCAGAGTGGAACGAGAAATCAAGAATGCTAGAGTAGGTGGTATTCTTGCTTGCCACTTTCATCTCTAAGTTTTCTGTCAGGACCGGTGGCAACCTGCTCTCGAACAGCTTGTCGCTAGCATTGGAAAGAAATTCTCTGCTGCATTTGATCGTCAGTCGCTAAACCCTGCTGAGCGTCGTGAATTTACGTTTATCAACTTTTCAGGTATTGGTTGTGCAGGCGAATCCGGATCAGCCCCCATGACGATTATGACAAGTGGGCGATCGACATTCTTGTCAAATTCCGTGATAACGAGAAGCTGCAACTTCTGACGGGACAGAGGCAGTCAGGCGGCGTAAGTAGGGGTCATATTTACGCAACGCATGATATTTACATTGAGTCCAGGAACGGTCACTCACCACTATCTTATACCTCATGAGTTTGACGGAAGAGGCCCGAACGCCGTTCTCTCTTGTTGACGAGATAATCAAGTACCCCTTTTTCGCCTGTTTGTATACGTCAAGTGCTAACAACGTTTTCCGAAGGGCATGGATCAACGCGCCGAGCGTGCGGTGCACAATTCCTTGGTTGAGGTCACATGCAAGCCTGACAGCGCCCAATACTTCTTGATCACCCCTAAGCTACTTCCTGATCTCGATTATCACGAGCGCATGAAAGTTCTGTGTGTCAACAATGGAGAGTGGCTCCCCGAGACGCCAGGACTGGGTAATATGAATCGCATGATCGAGAACTTTGTACAATTGAACCGCGACCGTTCCTCCCGAGCTGGTTGACCAAGATGTTTTGCTCACATTTTTGTTATAATACTGTATCAACGTCATCATCGCACTAACCTGCAGTATACAATTGTATCAGTTACCAGTGCTTTCACTCATAATATACTCGCAGTAACATAAAGCTATTATTTGATCTTTCCGCTATCGTGCAAGACATCACTGCCGAACTTCTATAAGATCTGGCACGTTGTTCAGGCTGAACGCCATGGGCGTATCCCTATCACTCCAACTTTACAACACCTTTCAACACCGCGAGCTCCGCGTTGATGATACTGCTAGTAGCTGCTCCAATAGAAACGTTGTTCGCGAGAACAACGAACTTTATGTCAAGAACGGGACATTGGCGTACTCTTCCCACTGACACGCCTGCACCGTTGATAATATCGTCCATCCGAGGCTGAGGGCGATCCGGTTCTTCATGCACAAAAATGGCATGGACAGGAACAGAAGGACACCCAATTGATTGTGCCTCCGGAGTATAAGCCACCAGCGCCTCGCGGACTTGCTGCGGGCTGGGAGGAGGTCTCTGCTGAAAACGTACAGAAACACACATGGTGTGCCCGTCGATGACGGGAACTCGGTTGCACGACGCGGATACGCGTAACGGATGGCGTGCGTGCATGTCAAATGTCTTCATGCCATCATCGCCATCGGCGATTCCTCCCAAAATTTTCAGCGTCTCCCACTCCATTTTCTCCTCTTCGCCACCAATGTAGGGCACGATGTTATCGATGATATCAAGACTTGGAACACCCGGGTATCCAGCACCAGAGATGGCTTGCATAGTAGTGACCAGGCATGACTCGATGGGTCCAAAGGCCTTCTCCAGGGCGCGAAGGGGTATAACGTAGCCCGTCGTAGAACAATTGGCATTTGTAACGATGAAACCTTTCTTGAGGGGGATTCTGCAGCGCTTGCTGCTGAGGGATGATGGACAGATGTGAATCGTTTACGAGTGGGACAATCAGAGGTACAGAGGGGTCTCTGCGGTAATTTTTGGCATTGGAGAAAATAGCCAGATCGGCGCTTCTGAATGCAGATTCTGATTTGTAAAGATAAGCCATGATAGAGATGGTTTATAAGACTATGTACATACCTATTTCTCCAGCTGCATCGGCGTCCAGACCAGAGAAGATAATAGCACACTCCGCAAAGTGCCTTGGATTGCACTCGTGCACTATCATATCGCGGACGACAGATGGTATTGGCACCGTCTGCTTCCACGCAACGGCCTGCGCATATGGCTTCCCGGCCGATCTGGAAGATGCTCCAAGTACATGGATGTTAAACCATGGGTGTTTTACGAGCAGGGTAACGAAACGCTGCCCCACAGTACCTGTCGCACCGAGAATCCCGACTTTGATCTGTTTTCCATCTGGAGTCTTGCACATGACAACTTCACCTTTAGTTCTCCTGAGAGATGGAAATATCAGTTGTTGGACAACTTTCTGCTGTTGATTCGACCTTGTAAGGGCGCAATACAGTCCATCTCGCTTGGTATCGGAAATGCACCAAGATCGTGGGAGATCTTTCCGGTGTCCGAGTCGTGTACCTCAACAGACACGACCGTGACGCTCACACTCGTTGAACGTCGTCGTCGATGGCAACAACTACAGATAATGCAGCTCAACTTATATTTGCGCCAAATGTTTTGCACAACCAAGCATTAACATCTGTCAAATTTCTATCCTCTTGCTTTGCTGGTGCAGTCGCAGGAATCCTCGGACTAGAGAACTGGCTGGGATTCGCGCTCTTTATAGCTTCCATTGTTTCCACCTCATTTATCATATGCTATAAACTGCAGAGGGAAACCTACGAAGTACCTGCCTGGTGGACTTGGGGAGCTGGTGAATCCTGGTCAAGACAACATCTTTACCTTTTCTTGTATGGACATTGTTTTACGGTGCGCACTTAAGGCCTTTTTCGCCGCTGTACGCGTGTTTACGCAAACCTGACTCACTAGGAATCATACATGGTACGAATCCTCGGACAGACGGATCGGTGGTAATAATTCTCATCTAATTAACAGTGTATGACTGAACGGACAATTCGCTTTTCCGTCTGGTTCAGACCTTTATCCACGTGTGTTGTTCCATATCATTTCGGGAATGAGCTTATCGATGCCAGTACGTAGAAGTGGAGCTCGCTAGTCATCGGCGACCTGGATGTCTTCTCAGGAGCGCTATTGTAGTTTGCATACATTTGCAGACACACGAAGGTCGCGCACGATTAATATCCACAGATGTCCTTGGCATAATTTAATATTTCACTCGATAACCTAGAATAAGAGCCATTTGCCCATCGCAGAGGCCCTGAGGCAAGGGGATCAATAATATCACCGGTTCGGAAGCAGGAGCCACGAGGAGCCACGTGGGCTTCTTTACGCGGGCTTCTTTGTGGCCGTGCCTAAAATCTCTTATTCCCAATCTAGCATGCTCTTGTGCGTTGAAAAGGTAAGTCAGCATCCGGCTGGAATGTAACGACCCAGAACCCACGTCTTTCCTCCACATTTTCCGTCATGTCTGGCTCATACGTCCTCCTCCAATTCGGATCAGATATCTTCAACCATGGATTTGAGGATCTCGAGAGCAGACCAGCATTCACAGTGTACGTAACTCTTTTGGCGCTCTCGGCCTAATTTTAATCCGTAACGGCCGAAAATTAGGACAACGGTAACAATGTCTGAGGCTCAGCCTTCAGCGTCCTCTAACATGTCATTCCAAAGGTTGACAAAAGAGTAAATTTAATTGTTCACATCGCTCGCGAAGCGGCCTGGAGCCAGCAGCATCCAGAAATCATGGGTCCCAGCAATTCTTTCTTGTATTTCGGCCCATCAAAAACACCAGGATACCTTGTGTACGGTAATGGGCCGGAGGTCGCCATGGTCAATCACCTACGACACAAGAGAGATGCTAGCACGTAAGTGTTGCAGACATCACGTCTTCAAAACATGATGCAAAACAATCATAGATCACGCTATTTTACGGCGCGCAGAATGGTAAGGAGCTGAAGTGGAAAGTTTTTCCTCAAAAGATGGAGGTGAGATGTTGCTAGTTTTCGTGCCTTTCGTCCTTCTCATCGAATTTTCAGTGCTTTGATGGACGCTCTACAGTCGCTACATGGGAGCTCAGTCAGCCAGAAGATGTCTTCAGCGCTCGCCTGACAATCCAAACATTCAGGCCTTACTATGGTCACTGAAATTTTAACCACTTTGTTTCTGAATCGCATAGCTCTGGTTTTAGACTGGAAGCTGTAACAATTTTTCCCTTCATGATTCATATTCGATGTAACATACCACGTTCAATCCTCATTTTGCCTTGGACTCGCATCCACATGCTACTGTGTTTTAGTTGCTCTCACATCACATACTCCACAATACGTGTATCGAACACAGTTGGCCATCTTATATTCATTAGCATCTGCTTTCTCATGTTATCAATTTAATATCATTCTACTATTCCTACTCTTCAGCACGCAGCTCGCTTTGCAACTCTACAAGGCGTGACCATTCTGCCTGATCTTCGAAGTCTTTGGAGCGTCCCATAAACGTCCGAACGATGCTGCGCCCCTGGTGTCTCCCAATTGATACCTTGTACCCGCGGCCCAAAATTTCTTAAACATCCATAATTTCCTCGACTTCATTTACAGCTTCTCGCCACTTCTCGACGTCAGTTTCTCCCTTCTCAAACGTTCCAGCCACGCTACAGCGATACCAATCCAGGTAGGCTTTCAATGCATCTTCCCACCGTGATTGAAAAGTCAGAAGACGTGCGTAGGCGCGGAAGATGCGGGGTGAAGATACACGGGGAAGAATGGTCCGGTCAAAAAGCTCCAGTAATCTCCTGAGCAGCCCGTGGCCCTCGTTGGAATTACTTACAGCATCCCGTCTGCTATCATCATCCCCAGCTGACTGATCGAGGACAGCCGGCACCCTGGTAACGGCATTTACCAGGCGCTCAAGAACTTCTTCATCGACACATTCTGCACCGGTTTTTGCACTCCGTTCTTCAACAATACGTGTCAGTGCACGGCATGCCTCTGATAACTCCCCAACATCCATGGCGACGATCATGTAATTTGTCCACATGCGCCAATTGTCGTAGCTATATTTCAAGCCCTGTTTTAACGCACGGAAAGCCAACATCCTGTTTGAGAAAGATTTGGCTTTGCTAGGCTGGTTTTCCTAAACATAAACTTGAGTTTGTATAGGGTGAAGAAGATTCATCCCCACTTACCCCATTCATATCCGATTCGAAGTTATTCTGGGAAGAGTCCAAACGGAGGTACATACTAGCCAAATTATTCCAGCTCTCTCCGTCTTCATCGTCGATAGAGACACATCGACTAAATGAATCTCGGGCCCCTCCCAGTTTTCAAGACGAATATAGGTACACCCTAGGATAAACCAAGAACGAGATAATAACGGATTAATCTTCACTGCACGCTGCAGGCAGGGAATGGTCTTTTCGAATTCTCCGCGTGCGAAGTAGTAGCCTCCAAGAGACCGCATTGCACGACCGGAAGTCTCCTTTGACAACGCCCATGCGCGTCCATAATGCTCCACTGCATTATCTGGTTCCAGATCTCCTAGAAGACACCACAACTTTGCCTGTCGTGCTGAATCTAATTTGCCTCGCCGCGGCGAAGGCAAGTCTTTACCCCGCAAAATCACACTCTCTGCTTCTTCTTTGCGTCCCTCAAGTAAATCACGGACAATGACGATTGCTTTGTCCGTCCTCTCCATAGACTGCCAGCATTTAACTACCTCCTCCCACATCTCGAGACGCTCGAAGATTTCCAAGGCTGACTTTACCACCCCTAGAGTGAGAAAACGTAATGCCAGCTCGCGTTCCATCTCCCACTTGCTTGGAAGCGGTATTGAATGAAAATAAAGCAACCGTTCTGGCAAAGGGGAGTCGGCAGTTGGCATCTGGTCTACGAGGGCTTGGAGCTGGAGCACTGAACGCTCAACAGTGCGTGTGCGTGTAGACTCGAGACGAGACCGCAGAAGCAGAGCCATAGTGTGAACTGACCAGTTCTTTGGATGTGATATGACACGGGCGACATAGGGGGACATCTGTTCGCTTGTGAGGCCGTGCGAAGGGGAGGTATTGCGTACATTGAGGCAAAGCGACAGAAGTATACATTGATCGAGTGGGTGTAAAGGGGGTTGTGAAACGGGATCTAGATGACTCAGCCGACTGGTTGTGGATGAGGGGGCAGATGATGTGAATATAGTCTGCTCAAGAAGGGTGTCGTCATTCAATCCCAAGGTAACAGGCGTACGTGACTGATCGGCAAGATCATCTGGTACGGCGTCGGCGGGAGAGTTGTCCCTTTTCCGACTTTCTGCAAGTAACACCAATTGGCTAAGATCATTTTGTTGAAACTTTGTTCGTCTCCCGAGCGCTCCCGTGAGTTCATACTGTAATCCCGTAGCACGTGCCGCTTGAACAAATAGATCGGAAGCCGCTTTGTCGTGGCAAAAAATATGTTCAAGTCGACCCTGCTCTAACTGCAGACGGCCAGCAAGATCGCAATCTCCCGTATCTCCCGTAAGGGTCTGCAACAGAGACCCCAATGAATCATGAGCGTCCATTGGAAACGGCACTGCCTCATCCAGTAACTGCTCGTGGATGATTGTTGTACGTAACCGCCACCAGCAAACGGATATACAGTGATGATATGGCAAGGCGAAAATGAGTTGAGCGAGACGCAAAAAGGTGGCGTGTTGTGCGAGGTGGTAAGCAGGCTCGCCTCCGTAAGCAAGCTCGGTCACCGCCTTCATATCGAGGACCGCATTAGAAATCAGGGTTGGATTCATCACGTCAACGATTACTTCTGATGGGTTGATGTTGAGATCCGGGCCAGTCCAGTTTGCCTGGATGAAAGCATGTAAAGATGCGACGGCTAGAATGACCTGGATGAGCTCTTTTTCTGCTTCATCTGTCACGGATGGTAACTGCCACGAAAAAGATTGTTCATAGCTGTTATCCTGCAGCCCAGATGCCCTAAAAAATTCTCGGGCCCAAGTTGAAGTTAGCACTTCCCGAAATTTACCATCAAGGACATCTTTTGCGAGCGTTGCAATTGCAGGACGCGATTCCAGCTCTGTGTGGAGCTTGGAGTCCCATTGCCCGCTCAGCAGGGAACTTTCAAGAGCATCCATGATATTTCAGTTGAACTGGCGTACACTGACGAGAGAGATGAAGAGATGAAGTATTTGAAATCGATTACTCACAAATTACCAAGTTCGGTGTTGCCCGTTGAAACGTTGAGCGGCTATGCTGTGTCATCATGATCTTTCATAGGAGGGTGTCTTTTTCGAAACTTCCAGAGTTACAATCGTTTCTCTCGAGGAATATATCCTGTTGATCACTCGTTCCAAGCTCGAGGACCGTCATCTTTATTTGCTTTAGCAAGTAGTTATGATTCAAGGAGCGTTGAGTCGCCAGTTTCCCCATCAGAGAGTTTTGATGAGAACGACCTTAGCGGGTTTAAATCCATCATGTCAGGGCAGTACTTACCTGGTCCGGGCCTCGAGGCGTTTGGGTCATCTTCAGATCGTTAATGGATTATCTTTGAGCCAGTTGGTCCCCCACCAAGCCAGCCCTGCCAGTATACGTACACCCTCGTGCTATTACAGCTACTTTCATATCAGATTTCATTTTTTGTCGCTTCTGTAATCTATTTGCTTGCGCAGCTGGACAAACAAAAGGGTCCCGCTTATTACGATACCTTGGTCGGGCGAATTACCCTTGAATAGCATCGGGGGGCGCTCTCAGGCCTGCCAGTGGACATTGCCGTATACACACTCAGGCTCCCGTGGCTGTCAAAAAGCAGATTGCGTCTGCGCTTGTCGTAGTACTTGGCTTGTGCACAAGTGGATAGTTGTCGTGACTACTAATACAAAATCGTATGCTTGATATGCGATGATCGCAAGCTGAGGGAGCGTATTCTGCCCTCAATCCACCCGAATAGTATCGTGCAAGGTGGGACCCTGTTGTTTGTCCAGCTCCATAAGTAGATAGAAGTGGTGAGTCAAAAAAAAAAAATGACATATCGATATGAAAGTAGCTTTAACTTATGACTGGTATACCCACAACGCGGCTCGCTAGCCCACCGGAACCAGTTGATGAAGTCTATTGGAAATAAGGCTTGGAAAGGTTGCATCCCTCGGAGTCTCGTTAGTAAACACATGCGTGAGTCTGGGACGAATTTGGGATGGGAAACGCGTGTGCTTCTCTGAAACGTACAAAAATGGCTAATCCAAGCGTACGGTATGCTGCTAGATCATGAGTGTACGAGAAAACACGTGCCACTATGCTTCCCTCACTACTGGTGTGACGTTACTGAAGAAGCTCTTTGGGACAGAGGATACACCCCTCGCATAAATCTGGCTTGTGTAGACCTGCGCCATAAAGTTAACCGTGAGCAATAGGGAAAAATGTCCACTCACAAGCTCATCGTAGATGATAGCGGGTACTTTTTTGTCGCAGAGCGTGGAACCCGGATGAATTTTAATGACCTTGGGTACGTTCAGTCTTCTGAGTTCACAGAACGAGGGGTAAAACTCACAGAATGACCCATCGTTTGCTTGTACGTTCCATCCGGCTGTAAAAACGCTGACTGTTGAACGAGGCCAGTGACAAAGCATCGCAGCACCGGTTCCTCGCTATCTGCCGTAGAAGTATGCCAGTCAATGCCAACTCGTTGGCACGTCTGCCTCAGCTGATCTCTAATCTTCGTCGCCTCCACGAACGTTCTTTCGTTCACAAAGTGCTGACGACACCATTCTTTTCTCGCACTCTTGCTATCGGATGCGGCAACTTCTTGGTATGATCGGAGGGCGTTGAGCATAGTCATATGGTCCCCGCTCGCATGACGAAACTTGCCCCGGACTTCTGCAATGACACCACGCTGGTCGGAGATATCAAGGAAGAGCGCGGAAGAGGATGAGAGAAGGGACACAATATCTATTACCTCGGAGGTGCAGCCGTGGGTTTTGGATGCGAGAATGATACGCGCGAAGTATGGCTCCACAGGGAAGGATGCCATTTGACGTCCTAATGTGGTTAGAGTCTTGGAGTTGTCAAGCGCACCAAGAAGCCAGAGAGTCTTGAGTGCGGAAATGACTGAAAAAAGTCAGGGTTGGTTGTGGAGTTTTGTCAGGGGGGCGCACCTGACCCAATCTCGGGAGGATCCATGAAATCAACTGCTTCAAAGTCTTGACCGAGGCATTTCAACTGCAAGACACTCTGAGTTAAGCTGCATCGGCGAATTTCCGGCTCTGCGGAAAGTGCCATTCCATTGAATGCGTCTTCCGTGTACAGCCGAAAACAAAAACCTGGACCCTACTTCACGTTAGAGATACTAAGAGAGAGACAAGGTTCAGGGCATACTTCGCGACCGGCGCGACCAGCCCGCTGCATAGCAGATGACTTTGTGATATCTCGAGTTAACAGGGTATCAAACCCTACCGAAACGGTCAGTTGCGAACTCAAATAGACAGTCACCCCCATTACCTCCACCTGTGTCCTTCGACAGATATCTTTTTTCTTTACACTTGCCGGTATCGATTACGTATTTTATTCCAGGTATCGTGATGGACGTCTCGGCGATGTTAGTAGCAAGGATACATTTGCGGGTATTTGTAGGGGCAGACGAAAATATTCTAGCCTGCTGCGCAGGCGGCAAGGCAGCATACATCGGGCATGTTAGGACCTAGATGAGGATCAAAGTGAGAACGAGAGTCATCAAAAACGTAATAATGTCGTACAGTCATACGCTCCTCAGGGAGTCTGCGGGCATACATTTTTATTGATTTGTCTAGACTTTCGATATCCTCTTGGCCTACACGATATCAGAAGTCAGCATTATGCCGAAAAATCAACACACTTACCTGGAAGAAATATAAGGACATCTCCTGGAGGTCTATCAGTATGGATCTGAAAGAACGTCCGTAGAGCAGCATCAACATAGTCCGTCTGGCTGACAGATGTGTGGAATATCTGAACAGGGTGTTGTCGACCCTTGACATATAGTATTCGAGCACTAGATTCGCCATAAGCACATACATCGCATGCGGATTCATGCACCAACTTGTTATAGAACTTGCTGAACTTCTCGGCATCGAGTGTCGCACTCATGATAATGAGCTTTAACGGGTTGAGGGCTGACGCAGGACCCTTTCCCTTCCCAATGACATCACCACCGCTATTTCTAGCGGTCTGTATCGTTTTCAGGTTTGCTATTAGGAAATCCGTCCGAAGGGTTCGTTCGTGCGCCTCGTCTACGACTATGACACTGTATCTCGACAGCAACCGATCTGACAGCAGCTCCCGCACGAGCATACCGTCACTGACATATTTTATCCGGGTGTCGGAGCTAGAGGCCTCGTCGAATCTCACGGAATATCCAACAAGTCCACCGACAGTGACATTTTTCTCTGCGGCTACGCGAGCAGCGAGGGACGTTGCTGCTACTCGACGCGGTTGGGTGACAGCAATCATGCCCTTTCCTGCAGTGCCCGATTCGAGGATGTATTGAGGGACTTCTGTACTTAAGATAGAGTCATGAGGCGTAACAGCAGTGGTATGATGACTAGCAGACGCACGAGTGGTTTTTCCTGACCCTGTCTCTCCCAGTAAAATTGTTGTATCATTTTGCTGTATTTCGCGGATGAGAGCCTCCCGCCCTGCCAAAGATGCTGAGCAGATATTCGTATGATAGATGTGCTAATCACCTCGAGCTATTGGAAGTTGTTCGCGCTGTTTTTGTAAGGGGTTCACTGTGCGCGTTTTCGCGGTGGATACGTCGTCCTCTAGACGGATTCTGGCCTTCTTTCTTGGAGTATGGATGGACATGGATTTGGAATAACTGCCAGGATTTCTCGCGTTGCTATTGGACAAAAACTTATGTCCGGTAAAATGATTGGGAGTTCTTCCTCGTAGTGTCAGAACGTGGGTGTGCACTCGTGGGCTGGTGATGTGAAGCGTGTGCGCTGGGTAAGTTGTTGCTTGACTTCCTCGAAAAAGTACTAGTATCGGAGATCGGGAGTCGGGAATTTCACCGGATCAGAAACCTTATTATCACTGTTACACGGTCACCCAGCCACAGAAACTCTAGTATACACGACCGTGAAATATCACAGCACTTCGCAAGTCGTATCGTAGCAGGTGCACAGTACATCCTTTTGACAAAATTTATGTTCTACGGATCCATTGGCTGTATAACATGATGAATTTCTCTTCGAAACCGTTGATCTCACAAGAATGACATTAGCTCTGACTCGTCTGAGGTTATTCCAGGATGAGTTGGAGATGAGAAACTGAACCGGAGTTGAATGCAATCGCGGAGCATGTGTCTACTAACACCGTGTTGCTGACTGACGCAGTTTTGGGCCTTGGGCCCCGGACATGGGAAGCTATGCGATAACGCGCTGACCCTGTAATGACATGAATGACTATTAAAAACTGCGATCATGAAGTGATACTTTAAGTAGAATGCACATCATTTTACTGCAAGCCAGTGAATCGGACCTAAGAACTCCAGATGTATCTTATTGCACAGCCAATTGTATATTGGATTCTGGCTACTTTGCCAAGAAGTAGCTTTCTAGAGGTTGTTTTCAGTGTTGAGGGTCGCCAAATATGCCCTGAGTTTAACCAGCGCATGGTATCGGTGAGAAATGATATTCTTCTGTTCCTTGGTCATTTCGGCGTAACTTTGTCCCAGTTTCAGTATTTCAAACGACCGAGCAAAAAGAAAGGGAGAGCCTCACGTTTGATCAAAGCCTTTTGGTTGGAAGATGGGGTCCCACCCGAAATCGCCAGGTCCCCTGGCAGGGACGATCGTACCATCCGTGCGGCCCTCAAAGAGGATCGGCTCAGTGCCCGGACCCGCACTGTATGCAAAAGTACAGAGCGCATAAGCGTCTTTCGTCGGGAATCCTACGAGCATGTTATTCAAGCCTACCCAGATGCATTCAGAAAATCTCATTTCACATAATGTCTGTGCAGCCACCGACCTTCATGGCCGAGTGTCTTCATAAAGTGCTTGATGTATGGACCAGGTAGCCCGTTATACGCTACGAAGCACAATGCGGTATCCTCGGTTATGCACGGCTTGCCCAGCTGCCAGAAGGTATAAGCATTGTATTGTAAAGGCGTATGCATAAGTCAAGGGGTGACTGACCAGCTCAGCTGCACGACGGCATTTAGCTATGGCGACTTCTTGGGTGGTGCCCTGCAGTTCGGGTACTGGAGAGTAAGCTGATCAGCAGGAAAATAAGCCTTTGATCAGAAGAACTTGCTATCTAGGTCTTGCAAGTCCAATTCTATTGGCGTTCCTTGAGATAAAATATACTTGGTCTCTTTCAATTTATTAAGATTTCCAGTTACGAATGCTGATCAGATGGAATATCATCAGGGATACATCAAACATAGCTGAAACAATCAAGACCTACTCAAGCGCTTGAGGGCCATCGTACGTGACCGTGACAGCAGAAGAAGAAGGAGGCCATTATGGCGAAACTGACTCGACCACCTTATGCTCTTGCAACACTGAATAATTATTTATGTAATATTCATGCTTGCTGAGTTCGAGTAAACCAAAATGATATCACTAATAATGCTGAGTCATCTTAGCCAGGCGAGCCGGTTCGTGTGTTTGCGAGCACTAGTACTTATTTCTCATCAAGGTTAACGTCGACGGGCTCGTGGAATTTTAACGAAAGGGCCGTGGCATCAGGTCACTCGACACAACTAACCACTTCTCACATTCATACTACCACCTATACTGACCTTTCCAATTAACAGGTGTCATCTTTCCGCCGTCCCTGCTACGTGTCCCGCTGACTTATAGACACGCATTACTCCAGAAGCCTTTTGACCATCATTTTTGGCAGCAAAGCATTCGTCTGTGGCGAGATACATCGCTACAATGCCCGACTATGTGTATGCACTTCATGACTTTCAACCCGAAAACGAGGACGAAGTCGACTTCCATGCGGGTGAGCCCATTGAGGTTATAGAGAAGGATGATCAATACAGCGATGGCTGGTGGCAGGTGGGTACTTCCTGATCCATTCACCTTGCGCACAGTCTGCACGGTATGCATACACAACTCCGCAGTGCAATTTCAGCCCACTTAAACTCCACAATGTCTTGCACTCTGCTGAATTCAATTGTATTGATTGTGTCGTTTCATGGTATTAACTCATGCACGTACTTTATTACCAGGGACGCAATCTTGCAGGTAAAATTGGCCTGTTCCCCAAAAGCTATACTACACCGGCTGCTCCTGCACCTCCACGCGCATCTTCACCAGAATCCACCGCTGGCCCTTTCATGAACGAGCCCCCTGATGTATTACAGACGGTTGATGAAGAAGCAGCTTCATTCATTGGTAGCGACGCCGAGTACAATATTGGTGTCGCCCTTGGCGGACCGCCTTCAGGACATCAGGAGGAAGTCATGCATGCTACTATGACGGACGTCCAGAAGGCCATCGAGCAACTTGGCCAAGATGATCGGGATGGAACTCGCAGCTTCAGCTTCGCTAGCACTCGGCATGGAGACACGGATACAGAAACAGACGGAAATACCAGCTTACGGGAGGACGGAGAGGACTGGCACCGCAGTGCCCGGGACAAGCTTGCAGAACAGGCACGTAAAGTCGTGGAAGCGAAGACCGCTGCGGGAGTGCAGATCCGGTCGGTTGCTCCTCCGATAGACATTGAAATGAGTGATGAGAGTGAGGCGGAAGAGGTTGACGACTCATTTCAGAATATACATCGGGTGGCACGTGATCATCCCCATATTCCTGAGGAAGATGAGGAAGATAATGACAACAACGGCGCAGTAACTCTGAGTCATGGGAGAAGGAGCTTTAGTATGACTTCACCTGTGACACCCCCTCTGCAAGATTTACCATCCCTTTCACCCAATGATGGTGAACAAACAGCCAAAGTCCATAAGACGACATTTTCTGTTACCTCAACTTCAACCTCTCGCGCCATCTCCCCAGCGCCTACCAACCATGAACGCACTGGTTCTCAATCTCGGTCCGCTCCCGTATCTCCTATGGTTAACATATTTGCACCTGTTCCTGTTTTGGCCGTCGAGCCATCTTCCATACAGTTGCCTGCTTCTCCAGAACCCACAACCCACGCTACTCCCACGTCTGTGATTCGCCAAGTTTCCAATGCTGTTTCCTCCCCCACTCCACGTGTAGTGAGCCTACCATCGAGGTCCAAGCACAACAGTGTTGCATCCAGTGGTCAACTCTCTACTACTTCCACGCCGCAGATGTCGTCTGAACCCACACTGGAAGGTAGTCTGATGAAGCCTGTTCCTCCATCGGAGTGGAGCGTCGAAGAGGTTGTTGACTGGTTGAAGTCCAAGAGTTTTGGCCAGGACGTCTGCGATAAGTTCATAGGTAAAATTCTTCTTTTTCTTGTACAACTCGAACTAATTTTATGCTCTATAGAACAAGAGATCACAGGCGATGTTCTACTAGAGCTTGACATAAACCTTCTCAAGGCTGAAATTGGTATCGTCGCATTTGGAAAGCGTATGCGCATTGCCAACGCTATCGCCGAACTACGCCGAACCCCATCAATCATCTTCCCAGACGTCCAGTCGCTACAACATCCTCAGTCCTTGTCGCACTCCCATTCATACTCCTACACGCATTCGCGTTCTGGATCGACTCACCAGTCATTGAACAGCCCTATGTTCGCGAACACAGTGAGCTCAGCTATTACTGCGCCGAACTCAGCGACGTTTGGTTCGATGTGCAGCACCGAGAGTCCAGCTGCAGACATGAGCCAATTTGTAGAAAGAGTATCTAGTTTATCGAGCGCTGGTGTTAGTGTCATTGGAGGCTCGCTGGACAATTACGTCTCGCCTAGTACGGTGGGGCTTGGACTCGGGGTCCCGCCAAACGGCAACGAACACAAAGTTGGTGTTTCATCTTCTACTGTTGTTTCTATCGCTTACGCATTATTAGCGTACGGCGTCGGGTCAACTTGGATCATCGCCTAGTGATAGTGCCTTGAACAAACGATCTCAAGAGGACGCGCGCGAGCCTGAAGAGTTGCAAGATGATGATCGTGGCGCCGTGAGTGAGGTGATTTCGTATCTTCTTTCTGCTGTAGGTAGCATCAGTTAAACCTTTTCGACAGGGAGAAAATGTACCATCTGTCGCCAAGCAACGCCTGCACCTCTTTAGCCGTTCCACAGAGTCCACGTCTACCACGAAGAAGGGCGATGCTTCCTCCAATTCCACCAATAATTCTACCACTGCACTCTCGACTTCAGTGCCCTTGGCGGTGACGGTGACAACACCCAGATCATCACGGAAACGGGAGCTGCTGGACGACTCCAGTATTGGCAGCAAGCATAGCCGGAATAAACGGGATGGTACGACGAAAGGCACGGAACGGCATAGTTTGTTTGGAAGCACTTTCACCGCTTCCCTCGGAAAGGCCAGGAAGCCTCCGCCAAGGATCAGTCCGTACGCACTGAGCTGTTATATAATTTGCTCAATCACTCACTTCCAGGCAGGTCATTAATTGACAACGAAAACCCAATGGAGAAATCTTCGAGTCTCAATCTTTCACGGCTGTACAACAGCAAGAAGTCCTCGAATCGCCCATCGACATCAGACGGATCGGTTTCCAGCACTCTTCGTAATCCCTCACGCAGCGATTCTCTTGATGAGAAGAGGAAGTTGAAGGAGAAGGAGAAAACCCTCGAGAAACTGAGAGGCAAGGATGCGGATAGTCAAACGCTGAAAGAGAAAGAGTCCCCTACGGTACTGAAAAAACACGTTGATGGTTCCGATAGCCAGTCTCGAGGTCCTAGTTTCAAGCCAGGAAAGAGTATCATTGACCAGATCGGCATCCCTGACCACCAAGGATGGATGCGCAAGAAAGGCGACCATTACAATGCCTGGAAGGTACGGTACTTCGTTATCAAGGGCCCACATCTCTACATCCTACGGAGCGACAGCAAGACGGTGGGAGTCAAGCCTACTTGATCATGAAGTCATACACTGATGCAAGTTGTTCAGGAGGTGAAAATCAAGGGCTACATCAATATTGTCGGATACAAGGTTATTGCGGACGAGAACGTCGATCCAGGACGTTATGGCTTCAGGATAGTGCATGACACCGACAAGACGCATTACTTCAGCTCTGACGAGCAAATTGTGGTACGCGAGTGGATGAAAGCGATCATGAAGGCCACCATCGGCAGAGACTATTCGAGTAAGTTTGAACCATCATCTTCAGTTACTTACCTAACATTTTGTTAAATAGAGCCTGTTGTTTCCTCCGTCAATATACCCACTATCCCTCTAACAGTTGCCCAGGCGATGAACCCTGCCCCCCGACCGCCATCTCCTACCGCTCGCGATGCGACACAAAAAGCTTTGCGCCGCGAGAATCCAAACCAGCTATCTTCTCGTGATGCTCGTGTCCTGATGGGTTTACCATCGTCAGATGCCAGTGACGCGCAAGATAGCGAACGGACGCGTCTTGATTCCTTCTTGAATGAGCAGGCCATTCCAAGCCAGCCTGAAGACAAGTCATATGCGACGAACCAAGCTCCTCCCCGCCCGACTAGAGAGGCACGCCCTTCGACAACTACTGCGGTTTGTCTACTGCCTTTCCCGTGCAGTGTGATACTGATCTTATCAACCTTGTACAGCTGAATTCTTCTGATGCGGGTCTAGTTGAATGGGCTAATTCACACTTACCAGCTGCGCTACAAAACCACGATCCCACTAGCAATCTTTTCAGCGGTCTTGCTCTTCTTCGTCTCTCAGAATCAGTTTTAGGGAAATCGCCCTCACCTCCCGTGCTAGACTCGGCATTCCCATCTGGCCCCGGCGATGACAAGCTGGACGGGCTATTCCGCCTGTTCGACTTCCTCCTCGACAACGACGTAAAAATGGGCAGCGTAAGCATCAATGACGTCCGACAAGGGAAACGCGATAAAATATTACAGCTGCTCAAAGCACTCAAGGCATGGGAGGAGAGGAGGATGGACATATTGAGATCTATTGGCACGGGGACAATTCAGGCTGGTCCTTTCGCAGCCCCCGATATGAACACTTGGAAAAGATGAATTCATTTCGGCTGCTTAAAATTAGAGATCGCGGACTTGATCTTCAGACACTCCTTTGCGCTACATATATCATGATGACCCTCGTATACGTTTGGATTATTTTCTCTGGATACCCCTCGAATATCACATCACGCAGACTCAGCTTACTACATTATTGTACATGAAATAAACCAGCTTTCCAAGCAGTCGGGTATGACGACCGGAGGATTGTGGTATGTGTAAGGAACTGACATGCACCAAAGGTCAGAGTTTGGATGATTCAGTTGGAACCATGTTGGTGTATACAGCTGATGCGACCAATCGGTGTCGTGTCACGTTCCATACCTGTTGAAGCCAAACATAAGCTCATAACACAACGAAAAGGCTCGTCAGAATCTTACTTCACAACGACCCGAGCGTGCCCGGCTACCAAGGGTAAACGTCGTGCACACGATGCGTAGCTTGTCGCCCCTGACATAGCGGTTTAGCAGAAACTAATCAATGTGCCATTGGAACGTACGGCACTGCTGGTGAGTGGAACACAATATTCAAAGCCTGTTGTACACCGAATGTGCTATAAGCGCCTGTCGAAGCCCCAAGAACGTAGATGGGCATTGGCGAGCAACTGTGTAGCCATATTAGCTCCAGCCTGACAGACATGAGTAGAAAAAACATGCATTTCAATGATCATGGCTAAACAACCACCGTGCATGGTTCCAACTTCATTAAACATGTCTAAGGACGCCCCCTGATATGTCAACGAGCAAAACATATATCAGAAATCTAGAGCACCTTCGTCCACAATCACGTCAAAAACGGTACGTCCTTCAAGTTTGTTCGGCTCCTCTGCCTTTGATAATACAGATGCTTCTGCTAGTTGCATCCGGGACACGAACTCGGCTTTGAAACCTCTGAAGGGCTTGCCAGTCGAATGCGAGACGTTCCCCGGCTGCGCCAGAGAGTTTAGCAATGCAAGCTTTACCTCCGGAGAAGCATTCCCCTTCACTTGGGAAGTGTCGATATTGTCTGCTGGCTTCATCTGGAGGAAAGAGCTAAGGCACAAGCGGGTGTGAATTTGCCTGCTTGATATATACTTGAAAACTGAGCATTGATGCTGCAATCCGATGTCAGTGTATCAGCTAAACACTTTTTTCCAAGAGTCGCGGTGCCAGCTGGCCTAACCTTGTTTACCAGTCTGCTCAGAGTAGTAATCGCAATTGCATATGGACCATCACATAAGGACTTCAGGTAGGTTAGCATCCATTCTCGTCTTATCTTGCATGGAGACTTCATCGGAGTTTCAGAATGTACGAATCTAGGGTATCACGAACCTAAAAACTTGCACAGAAGACTACTTGTTTTGCGTTGAATGACACACCTCGATTGTTCAGGGAAAAACGAAGACTCTGGCTGCTGCTCCCAGGGCAATGTCCGCGTTGAATCCGTCGACGTGTAACGCATGCGGCAAGTGCGCCTCATCACAAGTGATCTGAAAGCCTGTTGCTCATCGCAGGCCCTGGCTCTGTTCGTTAATGACAAAATCAGGTACCCGCTTCCGGTACACTTACGCTAGTATTTACAATTGGAAAGTTGGCCGAGTGATTGAGAGACCGAATGAATGGTAACCGATAGTACATTGTGAGCCACTGGCATGCCCTACTAGCCATTGTTAGATATGTCTAAGCATGTAGTAATTTTCGGCATGGGGGGATGACTAATCGCATGTCAACGGCGACTCCCCCGGATAACGCTCTCTCGCTGTATGCGTCGACGAGCGAAGGGTGGGGGACGGGGAGGAAGCCAGCGGGAGTGTTTGCGTCGTTCAGGGGGGTCATTAATTGTCCTGTTAACATTCCGAAGTCGATCGACTCCCAGCATGGGTGCTTGGACGTATTCATAATTAATATTAATTTAATACATCAGTGGCAGTGATTGCCACGGCCCAGTAAGCATACCTGTCAGTTCATCAAGTTGAGAGTTCACCGCCTCGCGTATAAATTAGCCAGAAGCGACATAGTTGGACTGCAAGTTGAAGGAGCGAACACGGAATCGGTGTCAAGGGTTACATATAGCGGCGCTCATCGGCACTATGTTCGGAAAAGGCAGTGGATGCTGTGCGTAAAGACCGCGAGCTCGACAAGTAAGACAATGAACATGTAAAAACGTACCTTTCTCCACGTAGTTTGCGGTGCTCAACCTTTGCTATCGAACGGTAACATGTCGGTAGTTTCTGAAAGATAGAGAGCCAATCTGTTTCGGAATGCTAACAGGTCAGACATCACTCCGTTTCCACAACGTACCCAAAATTTCCCACCACAAAACGTTGAAGAAAAAACGCTTCTGTTTCAAAGAAATTTCCGGCCCGTTACCCAAAGATTAACGAATTTCATTGATTGACTACTGCTCGTTCGATTGCCTAATCACACAGGATGGTAAGCATGTAGTTGGGGAAACTAAGGTTACGCGACATCAGCTTATCAATGAATATAGTGCTTGAGTTTCATGCAGAGTACGAACAGGCGAGAGGTCAACTTTCAGAGCAGCCATCTGATCATATGATGAGGTTTGTGGTATGTGTAAATCAACATAGCACCTAGATTCGTGACTGCGCCCATGTAAGGTCAGAGTTTGGCAGGTTCAGATGCCTTAGGTTCAGATGGAACCATCTTGACATGCACAGCTGATGCTACTAATCGGTGTCGCGTAACATTCCATACCTGTGAAGGTAGACATGAATCAATGAAGCAAGAGACTAAAATTGCCAGAATCTCACTTCACAACGACTTGAGAGTGCTCGGCTACCAATGGTGAGGGTTGTGCTCACAACGCGTAGCTTGTCTCCTCTGGCAAGATGATTCAACAGAAAGTGATTAGTGTGATAATTGAACGTACGTCAATGCTGGTGAATGGTAGATGATATTCAAAGATTGTGATACGCCGAATTCGCCATGCCCGTTTGTCGAGGCCCCGAGGATGTAAATGGGCATAGTCGAGCAGCTACACATTTGCATTAGCTCTAGGAAAACCGTGACAGGCGGAGAAAAACATGCTTGTCAATTATCATGGCCAAACATCCACCGTGCATGTTTTGAGCACTATTGAGCATGTCTGAGAATCTGTCGAATACAATAAGCACAACGAATACGAGAAACAAAAGGTACCTTCGTTCACAATCACCTGGAAAACAACACGACCTTCAAATTTCTCAGGTTCCTCGGTCTTTGACAATATAGATGCCTCTGTTAGTTGTAGTTGGGATGTGATCTCTGCTTCGAGACCTCTAAAGGGCCTGCCAGTAGATCGCGAGACGTGGCTCAGCCGCTGCATGGCTTGCAAAGCCCTGAGTAAGGTGTTTTTGATTTCTGGAGAAGCATTCCCTTCGACTTTGGAAGCATCGATATCACTTACTACTGGACTCATCGGAGGAAAAGGCCAAGTCACGTTCGGGTGTGAATTTTACCTTTTGGTAACCAACTTGAATTTTGGGAGCCCCCAAAGTGCGCCTGGTTGCTCATTGGATGTGATTCCGAGTCCTGCAGCGTTTAGAACGTTGTTCTAAAGGCCTCGTGCCGAAGCTTGGAGCTGCCGTCAAACGTTGGCAGTATATTTTGCAAGTCCGCATGCCAATATAGTAGTAAGCTGACCCTGAGGCCTGCCAACTGGCTGAGCAATATACAGGAAGTTCAAGTTCAGACACAGACAATTAGCTCTAAGTTGATTGTTATAGTGATTCCAATTTCCCCACAAAAATCTCTTCTAGAGTCCCGATACACCATGTCCCGGAGGTCTTATGAGGTCAGTTCTTACAATCTATGTCTCTCAAGATCATGAGGTCGAGAACTAAATGAGTCTAATGGAAGGTGGTCGAAGGATTCTTTGTGCAAGAACTTGGCGCTCGTTACGGTCAAGGCGAAGTAATGTTTCGTGACGATGAGTATTTCGCCTAGCTGATGCATTCCATGATCCCGCGATTTCACATCGAAGGCTGTAAGTCTCTGTGTATTTTTATAGACCATAAAGATTTGAACTCCAATTTTTGGACTCCAGCTTCCTGCTCGGTTTGGGCTGATAGATCGTTCCGAGGATAGATGGAAGACGCTCAGAGAAAAGATTGACCAGCTTAATACGTCTTCTCCCGTCAGCACGCAGTACAAGGTGTTTTTCGTGGGCAGACACGGTGAAGGCTTTCGTGAGGGTCTCACGTCGTTGAAGATAACATTTAAAGAATTGATCAAAAAATTACCCACAGACAACGTAGCCGAGGCGAAGTATGGCACGGAGGTGCGACCTACTCGCATCGTTGCCCATTCTATCTTAACATCTTCGCTTCCATATCGAAAGAGATGGAACAAGTACACTTCTATCATCCCTACCCTTCAATGAAGTTCCCTGACCTGATTATATCCATCAAGCTATTGGTCGAAGGAAAACGGCGATGGAGAATTGATCTGGGGACGTCAGTGTTATCACCCGTTCATTGAATCGTGCTGCCTCAACAACTCGTCGTAGCGGATCCAGAATTGACGACACTTGGCAAGGGTCAAGCAGAAGCGGCCCATAACGCATGGAAAGAAGAACGTAGATTTGACATTCCCCTTCCGGGGAAGCTCTACTGCAGTCCTCTGACACGAGCTATCCATACAAACAAGATAACATTTGACTCCATTATACCGGATTCGCAGCGAACCATGATCATCGAGGTATCAGAATACATGAAATCTTTGTTAGGTTTACTCACTCGCGCTATAGAACCTTAGAGAAACAACTGGCGTCCATACCTGTGATAAGCGAAGAACACGCACTTATATCGAACAAACTTTCCCTAACTTCGACATAGAAAAGGAGCTCGCAGAAGAGGACGAACTATGGGACCCTGAAGTGAGAGAAACCCACACACAAATCGATGTCCGAATGAGGCACGTACTGGAAATGATTTTTGACAGGGACCAGGATCAATGTGAGCACCATGCCCCACCTATTCATTGATGTAGACTGAGCACTCGACTAGTCATCTCGTTCACTGCTCATGGGGGCATCGTTAGTGCAATGCTGCGGGTCGTGAACCACAAACAATACATTTTACCCACTGGAGGTTCGTATTCGAACCTGATTCGAGAGCGCGTGCTTATTCTGAGGCAGGGGTTATACCGATGGTTGTCAAATCGTATATATCTTAGAATTGCTTGGGGAAGTCATTGCTCGATACTTTGAGGATGATACCACACAGTGGTTGGAGAAGCGCCGCTGAATCGTACCCTGATATTGCTTTTGTCCTGCTGGATCTGAAACGAACGTTCACACTGTCCACAGCTTATGTGTATATTTAGATTATACAAGCTTCCACGTGTGATACCATATCCTTTCTCGCTCTCGCCAACACTGAGGGCATCTGTTAGACTGTCACCGATGTACGCTGACGCAGTACACGATGCAGGTACGCCTTTCGACTTTCAGTGAAGTAGAGCATAATGAATTCAGCAGAGCAGAACATATCGCTCGTGCAACTAGTCCATGCTCAGAAGGCAGTGACTCGCTCTTTGATGAGCCTCAGATTGCCATGCGCACTGCCCCACCGATACCTGGGCTTTTCGTTCCACCCATCAGATTGCCTCTCGAACTGGCGAATGACATCGTTCGGGAGTGTATGAGCCTTTACTTCGATGGGCGAGACGTCAATCAGATCATGCTCTTTGGACGCACAGTATCTGAGCACAGCCAGAATATGGAAAGCGGCTTACCAACGTTTCTGAACACACTCCTGCAATGGCTAGCCGAAATGTTACGTGACCATCTACCCAAGAAAGTGCACGAAATGTTATTTCCTCCCAAGGATGCGCCACAGCGCGCACGGCAGGCGATTCTGAATCTATATCGTCCTGGAGAAGGCATCTCACCTCATATCGATCTACTGAGACGGTTCGACGATGGAATCATAGGAGTGAGCTTTGGAAGCGGGTGTGTGATGAACTTTGAGCGGGTTAAGTATCAAGAGGAAGAGCTGTTCGGAGGGGCCGGGCCGCTGGATAGGAATCATTGGGACCTCTATCTGGAAGAACGCAGTATTTTGGTCCTATCGGAGGATGCGCGCTATGATTGGACTCATGGGATTGATGGAAAACAGGAGGACTTCGTCAGTGGAGTAGATGGACAAGGAGAACCTGAGTGGATTGAGAGGGGAACGAGATTGAGCATCACATTCAGGTGGCTGTTGCCAGGCGCAGACATCGTCGGAGGACCTGAGCCATGATAAGTACTTGGCATCTAGAAATTATCAGCTGCACGTGTCGAAAGAAGATATGTACCATGTCAGAGTAAGTCATGTTAAAGAACGGGTGATAGAAGACAAGCGATACGACAGCAAGTGAAAATCAAGTGATATATAACAACGCACGGACTCCTACACCTCATGATTAAACTCCTTTGCTAGAGCACATCTCTGATACACCTCTCCAAGGGTACGATCTCAAAAGCCACCACGTAGAGCAAGAACAAGATGAAGAACTGATCCGGCCGTGATGTTGAACTCCTTAGCGGTTTTATCATCAGGCCTTGATCAGAAATAATAATGCGGTGAGTTTACGCGGCGATCCCGTAGAAGCTAAGATGACGCACATTTGTCTCCCTCCGAAGATCAGTCTCTGTTGTTGTGGTGGCACACCGGACTGCTCTTCGACTTTCTCCTTTATTCGAGAGATCTGTTCCAACAGAGTTCGTAAGGTTTTAAACGGTGCCCTTAGATGCAGATACCTTGTCGTCAAGATCTATGTCCAACTCGATCTGTGTATGAAACTTCGTTAGCAGTCACTCTCGGATTGCGAGGATTAGATTTAGCACCTCCTTGCCAGTGAGCGTCTGTCATCAGGTTAGCGAAACATTTCCTTGCAGACACGTCTGCGTCCTTACCTTTACTTTGATGAGCATGGTCGAAGATCTAATTGAAAGGATCAACCCCCTTTAGGCTTAAAAAGTATCAGCCTCTGACTCAGCACATATGACATTTCATTTTGAATTTCCACGGCCTAACGATACAATTGAATTCATTCGCGGTCTACTTTCCTTGTCATCAGTGAATTGATGAGTCCTCGATATTGTAGCCGTGGGAAGTATAACACGATTTCATTTTGCTCTTGCTAAATATTACTTTTTATGTTGTGAGCAATTTGAGTTTCACATACATACCCATGGATGCTTGCAAACCCTAGTGCTGCCGTGGTCCGGTCCAGAACCACGGTTCGAACCGGACTTTTGGTCCGGTTCTCCTTGGTCCGGTCCATGGTTCTCGCATCAGCCAGAACCGGACCGGAAGATGGTTCTTGGTTCTTGGTCATCCCGAACTGTTCCGTTTTGGTTCAGCATTCCTGAACCATTCTGAACCGTGGCTTCGACATCATTTGCCTCGATGTCAAGCTGACCTTCGGGATTTGCACTCAATCGGTTGGTCAGGCTGCCTTTTAGCCTTTTTGAATGTAAGTACCAACTATTCAGACTGCATTTCCCACCCACTGACATATGTTTTACTATGTTGCAGCTATCTCTGTCTCTACATACGTCTTCCTTGATGGTTACTATGATTCTCCACCGGCTTTCCACATTGCCTGATCTCCTGGAATATCATTGTTCTTGGGTGTGCGGTGTCTTAATAACCGAGGGTCTTATATAAAGTTGTGTAAATGTAATAACACCACAATTACACTTTGGATAAGACTGCTTGCCAGTCCTCGATTAACACGGTCTACGACTTTTCCTATTTCGTGGTAGATAACGTGTGAGTTCTTGGGAGGCTCGCTAAACTAATCTTTTATTAAGATCAACCTAGCCGGAGCTTTACTTTTCTTTATTGAAACTCAAATCTCTTGTCTAGGAATAAGCTTCTAGACACGTAATTCGGTTTCTGGAATGTATTTGCCTAGGAAATCTCCTTCTAGGCTCTGGACTTGGATACTGGAACTAGTGAGACGTGGTCTCAAATATATGAAATATGACCAAGATCGCTTGGTCTATGGACACCTGACTGTGAGACAATGGTCTCAAATATACGATATATATTCAAGATCGCTTGAACAAAGGGGACTATAACTTGACCAAGATCGCTTGGTCTATGGGACAACTAGTGAGACGTGGTCTCAACAATATGATAGATGACTAAGATCGCTTAGTCAAAGGGCACAGAGCAATGAGACAAAGGGGTCTCAAAGACAATATATATGACCAAGAACGCTTGGTCTATAGCACTAATAAGTTTCTAAGGTAAGAAACTTATAATCTCAAGGGAATTCTTTTCCCTGCACTTGTCTCACTTCAAAGGGACTAACTTTGCAAGTGAAATGTCTGAGAGGCAGATTGCTACAAATGGGAGATCATATTTTTTTGGGGGAGAATGGGCTCTCCTTATATACATTTTGTGTGGGAAAGTAACCTAGGTTCACAAACAATAAAAAATAAGGAGGACCAATCAAAATATTGGGTCAAACCCAATAAAAGAATAAAATACAAGTGAAAGATGGAGCTATGACATCATTGTGGAGCAGAACATTCTGGAATGTGGAGTAATGACATCATAATGACATCAAGAGTGACATCATTGTGGAGCAAAAGATTCCAGAACCTTCCATGAGTGAGTCAGAGTGAGTCATTGTGGAGCAGAATATTCTAGAAGGAAATGACATCATGAATGATATCATTGTAGAGTAGAATAATCTAGAGCTTGATGACATAATATCTTTCAACAGAATACCTGCAGGAGTATCTGTGGAGTCTTATGACATCATAATGACATCATACCCTATGGGTACAATTTTTATGAAGTGTCAGGTGAGTCAAAGCATCCTAATGAAAAAGTAAAGTAAAGAAACACTAGAGAAAAGTAGGTAGCAAAAATAAGACAGTTGGCAGGAATTGAAACACAGTCAAAAAAAATAATGCAGTTGGCAGGAATTGAAACACGGTCTTTTTGGATAGGTTTTTTATTGGCTTTGTACTTTTCTCTATGGTTTTCTCTAGCCAAAGTGAATAAGCCAAAGGCAAGGTTATACCTTAACCTTCATTTCCCTTCTCACATCAACTAGGTCTAAATGTGATTCCCATCTCACATTAGACTTTTTCCGTCAAAATGTATTCAGATCATGAAACTTGGGGAAAACTAGAAATATGGACCATGGTTTGAAACCAAGGTATGGGTTGACTAGTCTGAGGACTAAGCTAGCAGACTTTATCTTTTGAGGGTCACCTAGTATTCATGTCCATGCATGATTCCCACATCATGCAGGACAGCGGGTGTTATCTTCCTGTTCCATGTACAAAATAGGGTCCCTACAATGAATCTGTGAGTTATCTCCCTCAACATGTCTCATGACTCGTGCGCACTGAATTCTGATGGCTCCCTCAAGGATGCCTCAGATATTGTATTTTACAATGATCCCGACGATCACGCACCATTGCCACAGGCCCCACCGAAAAATGCCTTCACCGCTCTGCTCCAATCTGGGCACACACCAGCGCTAACTGTAGCTGGTTCCCGACGTTCTACTCACACATCAAGGCCCTCTGCTCATGTTCGGGATGCTGACAATGCATCCTCAAGCACGAGGAAGTGCGCGTTATCCAGCGCCACTGATCCTCCAGCACCGAAGAAAGCCACTGCCTTGCATTTTTTGTCGCCTCTGGACACTGATGAAGAGGACAAGGACAAGGGCAATAACCCTTCTTCCCCCCCTACCCAAGAAGGTTCGTTTTATGAAGAATATGTTCTGCACCTAGACAACAATGACAATGACAACGACGAAGCCCAATCTGGGAATGGAGATGATGCCTCTCAGATGACGGTATGTATCTCTGTCTACATTCATTGCTTCTTAACTGACACTCATGTTTAGGTCTCCAAAAGTGAACGTATGGCAGATCTCTGTACCATATTCACTTGCACCTCTGATGGGTGGGTCTGCAACTTGTGCAAGTAAGTTTCAAGTTTTTGATCTATTTTTCATTTGTTTCTCACTTGGTGTAAGGGCTGCTGGTGAACCTAGCCAAAAGCACACATTCCATGGTGGCACCTCAACATTGTGGACACATGTTGTTTGCAACAAGGAAACTCATTTCCAGGTATACAAACAATGGTGTGAGGCAGGGGGCATTATAATGCACCCTCGTGCAATCCCACCCGGTGAAGATCTCGCGGAGATGCAAATGACTCTCGACACCAGCCTTGTCTCGAGGCCGCCTGCATTTACCAAGGACGGCCTACTGGAATACATCATGGAGCTCATCATGACCGAAGACGAGGCCATCCAGCTAATAGACAAGCCAGCATTTCGACGTTTGCTGCAGTATGCATGTCCATCTCTTACCGAAAAAGATATCCTGCATCACATGAAGTTAACAAATACCATCAAGGCTCGAGTAACCTCTATTGTTCAAACTATCAAGGACTGTCTGGCGGTATGTTTTTTTCTAATTATATTGTGACTAGTTCTTTAAAACATTTTGGTAGCATGTTGACAGCACAGTTTCTGTGACATTTGACTCGTGGACTTCAATTATTGGTGAACCATTTTTTTCCATCACTGGGCATTACATTTGGAACCTTCCCGACAAGCCGCTGCAGTGGGAGTTGAAAAACCAGCAGCTTGATTTCAGCTGTGTCGAAGGCAACCACAGTGGCCATAACATTGGTCGCATACTTGTTGAGATCATAGATAGGTTCAGTATTTGTAAGAAGGTGAGTTTTTTTTAATGTTTTGCATGGACATTAGACTAACTTTACTTGTATGTACAGGTTGGATGGATGACATCCGATAACACCTTGAACAACAACACCGCCATGAAAGAAGTGGCGAAGGTCATCAACGAGGATGGCACTCATTGGCTTCTGTGTTCTTGCTGCATCCAATGTCAAGAACACATCCTCAATCTCGCTGCACGTCACTTTGTTGATGCAGTCGCACCCACCCCTCAAGCAACATTACTCAAAAAGATCCGCGGCACCATTGATAGTGGTGATGAGACTGACATTGACAGCTTGACCGAACAGCTCGCTACACTGGAGGATGATCCCAAGGCTATAACCAAGGACAGGTTTGATGTTGGGGATGCCATTGGAAAGGCACTTGCTCTCATCAAACAGGTGAAGTCTTAGTTTTCATCTTTGAGTTGTTTTCTGATGCAAAATTTAGATTCACAAATCCCCACAAGCCCGCGCTTTCTTGAAGAAGTCCTGTGAGGAAGAGGGCATCCCCATTCGCAAGATCTTGGCCTGGGTGAGAATGCGCTGGGCATTGTAATGATGTCCGGCGCTGGGCTCGGAACCAGGCAATCCAACACCTACATTTATACCATTCCCCGACCTCCCTTGACCTTCCGAAGGCCGCACACACTTGTCCGAACCTTCCACAGGCACTTCTTGTGTTCTGAGGCCCATCCGAACCTTGCAAGTTACCATACCATGTCCTATCCTCGTCCTTTTGACTTCACTGGTGCGTTTTCCCTTATTCTAATTATATGTTGACTATGTCTTAGTGCTACACGGATAAAATTCCATCAGCATCCTGTCAGGAGCCTCGGAATACGTATAAGCAGTATGCATCATGGCTTATTACATGTATACTTGCATTTCTGCTTGCCTCACGGCTTATTACATAGGTTCGGACTTGCTTATCTCGCTACTGGTTTTGCCTATGGATTCCGGTCTCTCACAGAAGTAGGATATAATCTTGCTCGCTGGCTACTGATACTACACTTCACTTCCTGTACTTCGAGTCGTAATTAGTAGAGTCACCTTGGTATAATCATAACTGCACAATTGATCTTTGTTCATTCGGAACAATTGTTTGGCTAGACCACTGCCAATTTTGCACTTCGTTTATTCTTGAGTTCCGATAGATTAGTGTTGTTCCGGACTTCGGACGTTTCACAAAGTCTTATACTGTTATTCGACACATCGACATACCAACACATCGACATACTGACATATATTGACCTTCGGACAGCTTTCGCAAGTCTTGGAAGACATCACGCTACTTCAGACAACACTTTTGCAGCTTCGGACAACCTTCGGTTGCATCAGACAAATTTCTCGGTACTTCAGAAGTAGCCTCGGAACTATGGATGAACATTAAAGAGGTTTACTTCCAATATATTGTCTACTCTCTGACTGTATAAGACTTCCCTTGCATTATCAAGGTAGTTCTTAGGTTGTCTCTTGGGACGAAGCATACTTGCATCTCTCAGGACTAGGGACTCGCATTCAGTAGAGCCCAGCCCAGATCTATTCTTTACAGTGTCTCTTTTCAAATGCCTGGAATGTTTCATGTCTCTTCATCTGGCAATCAACCGCTTCACCCTGCTTGCTGATGAGAGTCCTGAAGTCCTGACATTGTGCAACAAATCTTACAGTGACTTCACGCTTGATTGGACTGACTGGAAGAAAATTCGGCTTGTGTGTAATGTCCTCAAGGTAGCTATTCTTTTTTGTTCGTCTACTTGTTTACTTACTTATGTTTAATAGGAGCCCGCAACTGTGCAACAATCATTCTCTTCAGCCGCACACCCAACAGCCTCCCAAACTATACCTACCCTCAAGTGTCTCACCAATACATGGCAGACAATGGCCAACAGCGCAGAATATTCGCTGATCGCCGATGCAATTCAGAAAGGCCTCAAGAATGTGGGAAAGTACTATGAGAGAACTAATGACTCAGATATATACTTTGTCTGTCTGGGTGAGTACTTTTTTTCTCCTGCAGCGTATTTCTAATGTAATTACAGTTCTTGACCCCAACTACAAGTTGGCGTATGTTGAAAGTCGTTGGAGCGCTGCAAAGGTCACGAGCGGGAGGGTTCACCTTCAAGCCCTGGTAAGTTTTACTTCACTTAATATTCTGTCAGCTGATTGTTGTGTAGTTTAATAAATATTACGAAGTGTCTCCAATGTCGTGCACCACGGAACACGCTGCTGTGCCAATGAAAGTGTTGCAGGGTGTTTGGTACGGCCAATTCTAGATGCGCGATGCTGTCACAGCACACCAAGCAGCAGACAATTGCACGTGTGACCCGCTTCAAGAACTCTCATCATATCTCACTTCGCCATTGGAAGAGACAGATAATATTGTGGTGTGGTGGGGGGTATGTTTTTCTTTGTATTATCACATTCTGAGCTCACTCTATTCATTAGCTACACTCACTTCAGTATCCAACACTATCTTGTATTGCGCACAATTATCTACCAATTCGAGGCAGTGCAGTTCCCTTAGAACGTGCTTTCTCTAGCGGGGGGATCACATCAACACTTTGCCGCAATGCACTGGCCCCAGCTACATTCTCCGCACTCCAATTATTGAAGGCAGGTTACCACAATGGTCATGTTTTAGCAGCTACAGAGGCAGAAGAGTTTGCGGCTATGTTAGACTAGCTACTCAATGTGTAGACTAGCATTTTGTGAACATTTTTTTTGCACTCGCTATAGAAAAAATTTCAGTTTGGTTCGAGTTTGGACCGGACTGCAAAGAACGGTGTAGGTACAACAATTCTGCTGGGCTCTGCAGAATAATGTTGGGTCTTGCTCTGCCTGCTACTGCTTGAGACAAGCATGTTCGACCCTAAAGGGTTTCTGGACTAGGTATGGACTCAGAGGAAATAAAGGGATGGCAAAAAGTATAGTAGTAATCTCTGACAACAGGTAGAGGGTAGGTAGTCTAGTAGTCAGTAAACAAGTATACTGGTCTAGAACATCATGGGTAGTATTCAGTAGAATTCTTGGTGAGGTTTGGAGTGCAAGTGTCAGAGTACTAGGTCAAGAGGAACATGCTTAGGTAAGCAGTAAAAATGCGAACCTAAGGTAAAGGAATGACTATCTGAAAGGTGTATCAAAATTGGCCCTTTTGAGCCCAGTGCGGTGACTATCATTACAACAGTTCTCAATGGTCCGGTTCTGGGTTTGAAGATTTTGCAGAACCAGACCATGGTTCGGTTCTCAGTTCTCGTCCTGGACCACGGCAGCACTAGCAAACCCAGCTTGACATAAATGATTCATGACCATGCTGGGACATTCCATCTTTGTAGCCAATGAGGGATGGTAACATACCCAAGTCAATCGGTTTGAGCTTTGTCATCTTACCCGATCTCATTTTTTAATTACAATGTTATCCAAGGCTTTGTCATGGAAAGTGCCTTTGATACTCATCAACAGATATAGAATACCATCAGATTTAGCCTCAAAGCTGCGACGTTCCTCCCTTGCAGCCAATGAGGGGCGGTAGTACACTCATCCCAATCATTTCGTGCATTGTCATTTGGCCTTATTTAGTTGTCGGATTATAATGCTATTCAAGACCTTCTCATGAGAAGGTACCTTTGTTGCTCAACAACAAATGTAGAATGATATCATGCACACCATAAAAAAGCTGTGACAAGCTGCCATCACAATGTGCAAGGGACAGCAGCGCACTCATCTTAACCTTGCTGATTTTTCTCAATCTTTCTGGCTTTCAGGTTATTTCTAAGCACATGGCAAAAAATTAACTTATTTTCTAATGTATCTAAGCACGCATAACCGCCATCATGTTGTCCACTACGTCATGCTGTAACTTAACTTAGTAACAAAGGTTTCTGTGGAACTAAGTCTATAGAATCTGACACATGTATTCAAACCATATTAGTACTTGGTATTGACGCTGGGGCGAGTAGACATGGCCGGTTGCGCGAGCCCTACCACCTTGTGATATCAACCTCAGCTTCTCCAAACAGGCTCATTTCTTGATTACAAAGTCCCCCTTGGAAAAATCCTCTTCACCTCTCTCATATAAACCTGGAAACTCCCTTCTAAGAAACCTAAGAATATGCTTGTTGATTTGCTTGAATTCGAGGAGGAAGCCGTCATGGCCATCAGGTGATGGGATGACTACAAGTTCTGCATCAGGTATGTGTGTCGTGAGTTCCTTTTGTTCAGAAGGAGTAAATCAGCAAGCATAATAGAAGGTGCGACAGCGCTAGATTCTGGGACAGGGGTAACTTGAGGGCGACGTCCAAAGTGACTCTCAAAAGAGTTGTGCAACCAATAGGTTAAAAGTGTGGCCATCCGAGCAGCAGTCACACCCATTGAAGGCTGTTTTGTATAGTATCTGTTGTCATAAAGTGGATCGCTGTAAATGCTTTGACCTTGTGCCTCTCCCCAACTGATACACCATGCAGAGTGTCGTGCAGATGTAACCAAAGTAATAATATGGTGGACATAACCTGGAGGGGTGCACAGAGGCCATTTGAGTACAGCCATTCTGCCCATGGAGCCTCCAATGACTACAGCGACACTAGAAATCTCAAGATGATCAAGAATGAGCTTATGCAGTCTGTCAATGAACCAGGTCAGAGACCATTCAAGATATTGAGAGACCGCTCACCACATGTCATCGTGTATCAATGTCTGAGGGAATTCTGGGCCATAAGGCTTTCCCGTCTCTGGATCGATTGTCACAGGAGAAGCCGATCCGTATGGTGAACCCATAACATTAGCACAGAAAATGAAGAAGGCATATTCGGAAAAAGTGAAAAGCAGCTGCGCTCTCCAGTCAGTATAAATACATACTACATGATATGAACGAGATGTACCGAGATGTAAGTGCTTGTCCCAGGCTTTGAGGAATGAGGCCATACAAGCAGAGATGTTAGAGGAAAGCATGGAAAAATGAATGCGGAAGCCATGCTGTTGAGCAAAGTTGCATACTAAGTTGGATAAGTATAGGTAAAGGTTAGTCTTCTCGCGTGAAAGCTTCAACACTGGCTCTGCGAAAAATGAATCAGTCACAAAGTGTAGTCTACACATCAGGTAGAAACAAACCAGTCTGGGTCTTGAAATCAGGGATGTCGTGGAATGGTTTGAATAGGAGTTCTATACATCTCTTGTAGAAGTAATCAAGAAATTTCTAAGTTCCTGGGTCATCTTTCGGATGAAGTAGCTTGACATTCAAACCAGCCTGAAGCTGCTGTGAGATGGTTCACAATATGTGAATCAGACAACACTTATGGGTGTCAATTCAGGACCATCCTTGGGAGAGACATCCAACATGGTCTTCAGGGCATCTTCGACCTGACATTGGGACACCAAATCCTGAGTATGTGTCAATACTTTGCACATTATTTGTAAAAGTGTCTCAGCTTGCTCTCCCATCGGCCATCCCTCCTTACTCTCCCTCTCAATAGCTGAGGCTTGCTTGGTGGTGTGATTTCAAACACCATTTAAATCGTGATCGAGCAGTGCAGACATCACTTCACCTGCAATGCTGATTGTTGTTTTCACTTCTGGGTCATTCTCTGAAAGTGAGAATGCCCACTGGACAGCAAATAGGATACCCCAATTGACAAGGGATCGAAAGAGGGAGATACAAGCAGCAAGTGGCACATTTTTACCCATGATGCAAAGCTGCTGTATAAGCACCAATACTTCTCTATGGAGGGTCAACTCATGCTCCGAGAGATTATCTGGTGGGCTGAATGAGAAAGGCCTTGGGGTTGAGCCATTTGCACAGGTGCCATTTGGTTTGCTGTCAACATCCATATCCTCGCACTTCTCATCCTTGTCTTTCCCTCCTGTCAAAACCTCCTCGTTCACATATAGTGACAATATTTTGTGAAGAAACATAGTATCCTGCTGGACATGGTTGATTATGTTGATTTGGTTGAAGATAATGCAGGAGTTGAGGACATTGAAGGTGGAGTTGTCGAGAACGCGCGCAAGAACAACATCTTTAAGAAACTGTAGATGGTAGGTGTGGTGGATTTTCTTCTGGATCATGATGTCTTGTATGGGAATAGGTTGGTGAAATTTAGAGGTTACGTGCAGAAACTCTCGGTAGTTTGTTTTGTGATTTGGGAACTTGGGGCTATCTTTGAGGAAGTCGGGTTGAGTTTTGTGCACATTATGCAGGAACAACAAGAAACATACATTCAAGCATGCCTACAGCACCAAAGAATACACTGTCATCGAGGATATGCTCGTATAGTCCATGATCATGAATCATCACTACTACAAAATATCATCAATAAAAATTTGTCATGGTGGCAGATGAACACATATATGGTTTGCATGAGACTGCACAGTGCCTGGAGATTCTCTGTGTTCTCCAAGTCTTCTGCCAGTTTGAAGACTTCTATCATCTTCGTGATATATTCCTGCTCAAAGTTTAGTGGGCTAATCATGAAGAATTTGATAATTTGACAGCAAACCTCGCGCAGGATATACTCTCCCTAATAGCCTGTCCATGCACTAATGTTTTAATGGCACATTCAATATCAGGAATATTCCCAAGTTCTGGTTGAGGCAAGTGGCCAGAGCGGATAATTGCTGCTGTCGTAGAGTGGTCGCTTCGAGGAGATGATGAACCCCCAACTAGTCATGTCATGGTTCGGCTATGGCCGGCTGGGCTGGGCTCTTGCAGATTTCCCAGCAGTTCGGTGATTCTCATGAACCAAGTCACCTATGTGCGACTTGGTCCAGTCCACAAACCACCTGGACCAGCACAAATCAGCACAAGCCAAGAACGTGGGAACAATGGCTTGAGCCAGCCTCAAGCCACCTCAAGCCAGTCTGGTGGGGGTTATGTGGTGAATTTCATTTTCATATTCCAACTTCCCTTCATCTCAGGCTGACAGGCTCCCACTATTTGGTCAGATTCGCTGTCTACTTATCGAGTCGATTACCATGAATAAGGTCCCGGTTCGAGTGGATGGGAGATTTAGATTGGGAGATGTTTTAGGATCTGGCTTGTATGGTGTGTACTATATTGTTCTCATGTTGATTCAGATCCATTTATCATATACCACTTAGCCATTGTATATTCCGCATGGAACATCATCAATGATGATCGTGTTGCCCTCAAACTTGAAACTATTGTCAGCCGCCCATCTTCTGTAGAGCGTGAATATCACATTTTAAAGCAACTTGAAGGTGGAATTGGCATCCCCCACACCCTCTGGTTTGGCAGAGAGTCAGTGTATCATGCTCTTGTTCTTGAACTTCTTGGGCCATTGCTCCACCAACTCTTCCTTGCAAACGGTCGAAAATTCAGCCTTCTCCATGTCGTGAACATAGGGGATCAATTGGTGAGTCGTTTGGTCTGAGGTCTTTACAAATAGGTTGATTTACTTTCCTAGCTCTCACGTCTCGAGTACATCCACTCGCATAACTATGTTCATGGCGACATCAAACCGCAGAACATCTTGATGGGTCTTGGAAATTTGAGGCACACCACCTTCATCATCAATTTTGGTATCACGAAGACATACTGGAACACCACAACCGGTGACCATGTACCATTTCGCCATGGTCAAAGTCTCTCTGGCACTCCTGCATTCACCTCTATTAACAATCACTTAGGAGTCGAGCCAGGTCATTGTGACAACCTTGAGTCGCTTACTTATATGTTAATCTATTTTTTGCGTGGTTCCCTTCCATGGTTAACCAGTGACAATGAGAAGTTGTCTGGTTCTACCATACTTAAACAGAAAGCACGTGTCACCATTGCGGATATATCTCAAGACATCCCCGTTGAGTTTGCGACTATCCTAATTTACACACGCTCTCTCGCATTTGCAGAAGATCCCGACTATGATCACCTTCGTTCACTACTTCACGGTCTTCACACCTCATTACCCGCACCAGCCACATCCATGTTGGACTTTGGCCTGCTCAGTGATCCTGCCATACACCCCCCTGACCAGTGCTGTGTGGCCAAAGCAATCCCACCATGCCTGCTAAAGGCAACACACAGATCGACTTGTGTGTGAGTAGTCTGTTTCTTACATCAAGTCTTTGAACTGAAGCTTACCTTATTTGCAAGGCTATGCCCGCGTAATGGCTCCCCATGGCATGCTGCATCAACTCCACAGTGGAAACAGTAACCAGTTACTGAATGATGCTGTTGAATAATTCATAGATTAGCATACTTGTAAGTTGTCTGTACATACATTGTTGATATATATAAACACGGAGCGGGTTGATCCTGCTGTAATATATCTACAATAATTTGATTGGCAACACTTACACATAGCGAAAAGGAATTGCAGATGTGTGTGTGGGGTGCACGCAAATTGCTTCTGTGAATCCTGTGAGTTATGTGTCACATCACACATTGCAATGCACGTGCAACTGGAATGTTTGAGTCTACCTCATCGATCATCCCACTGGCAGGGTTTTGATGTCTCCTAGGCTGGAGGATGTCGCTTGCAAGGCTCTCAAACATAGCCTCTTCTTCGGCACTGATGTCAATAAGGGTATCCAGGATGCAGACTTCATTTTCATATCTATCAATACTTTGACCACAAAGAGTGGTGTTGGTGCTGGGTCCTGAGCCCTGGGTAATGGCTTCACTGCAGACTTGAAGTGAGTTTTCAATTTCGTTGTATCAGCCCTTCCACTATATGATTATGTGCTGATGCAACTGGAGCTCAGCTGCATCAAGCTTGCCACTCACTGTATCACAACTACAGCCACATCATCAAAGATAATTATCAAGAAATCCAGATAAGAGATACAATACTGCGACCTCAATTATCCAAGAAAAGCTCGGTGCCTTCAATGCCCCCTTTGTAGAGGGGAAGATCTGGATGAACAAAAGCATCATGGGCTAGCGACACCCTCAATCAAGGGACCTTTCATCAATATATTTATCTGACTATGATCCAGAAGGCTACATGGAGCCGATTCACTTTGGCTATGTCCTAGAATTTGACCCCTCAGATTATGCTCATCAATGTGCCCTGTTTCACCCTGTGATATGACTCAATCCTTGCATGCCTTTGGGATTTACCACTGGGTGCGTGCATTGTTTCTGGGGTTTCCCCACAAGAATGTTTATATAGACAGATGATTCAGTTGTTGGATCGTCACTACCACTACTACCACAATGCCAGGCCGTCGACGCAGGGCAAATAAAGCCCAGGCAGCTGCTGTTGCTACTTCCACTGCTGCTCCAATCCCTGTTGCTACTTCCACTGCTGCTCCAATTCCTGCTGCTGCAGCAGCAAACACTACCACCCTCCTAGACCCCCGTCGGTGACAACTTCCTATTAGATACAGAACCAGCGATGCAGCTCATGCTGGTCCAGACGAGGGAGAAAGCTTTGACCTTGAGAATATCTCGGCAGATGAAGAGGAACTGGGCAATCCTCCTGTACTCACTGTTATCGCACCAGTGGGCAATCCTCCTGTGCCCACTGCTATTGCACAGGCAGGCTCTAATCCAAGCCCACTCCAGACCATCATGAGCACTACCCGGACCAACCCTCTGGCCACTGGTAATCTCAAGCAGACCAAAGGGCCAACTGATATAGCTCAGTTCTACCGGATTGATTCCAATACTAAAGTCAAAACTTGCACCCCTTGTGTGTAAGTATCATACCTGTAACCTTTTGTTGTTTCTTACACCCACCATCAGAGCACTACATGAGATTGACGGAACGCACAAGGTCCAGGTATACACAGGTTCAACAGCCAGTTCAGCTCCCCATAACCATGCTTTCATTCACCACACCGAACTCTATCTGGAAGCAGCAGAGCACTTTGGCTGGCACATAACGATAAAGGATCTAAGTGAATGGCTTGCTGAAGGATGGACACTCACAATGATTTGCGAACAGCTCAAAAAATCACCTTGCACAATGCAAACACTTGGCCCTCCACCTAACCAGGGATCTGATGTCTTATGGCTGGTGGGAACCAGCTCTCAAGAAGATGTAATTCCAGACTTCACACTTGACGAGATGCATTGCCAAATTGTGAAGTTTATTGTTGCCGATGATCAGGTGAGTCACAGTTCACCCTTAAAGCCACCATTAACAGCTTCCACTAGGCAATAAACATGATTGAGTGTCCTAAATTTTGAGGCCTCATCCGTCTCTTATGCCCAGAAATTGGCGAGACTAGCCTATTCCACCGCACAAAGGCCCGCGAAATGATCATCGAGCAATGGCAGGAATACTTTGTCGCCTTGAAGAAAGACCTTTCTGTAAGTGCATAATTAACGAAAGTCCTACAAAGTATCTTATTCCTTCTAGAATGCACAGGGCAAAATCTGCTTCACATCTGACCTGTGGTTGGATTTTAAGCTCCAGCCATTCATGGCCATCATGGCTCATTGCATTTCCAAGGCCAATGCAGATTCAGCGCTTGTGTTAAAGGCGGCCCTCATCGTGTTCCATCACATCCCTGGCAGTCACAATGGAGGGTCCCTAGGTTCCATGATATTGTACCTGCTTGCACATATTACAGTGACATATTTCCATATTATATGGGTCACCCGACCTACATAATATCCCATATAAGATGGGCCAGGGGACTAGGGGCCGATGTTATGTATATCCCTGATGTTGATGGATGGGCCGGGAGGGATATTATTTCCGATGGAGACAGGTGGGCCCATCTATGCTGATATTATATATATCCTCGAAGATGTCGGGTGGGCCGATGTAATGGTTTATTGTATAGATGGGTGGGCCGATGTACAGGAAGTATTTTGTACATGGGTGGGCCGAGGGAGTGGTGGGATATGTATTATATAGACAGGTGGGCCGACATACTGGAATTATTTTGTAGACGGATGGGCCAAGGGAGTGGTGGAATATTCATTATATAGATGGGTGGGCTGAGGTAGTGAGATATCTGTCTGACATTCATGGATTACCGAGTCCCAGATGCCCAAAAACCGAATCCCATTGTGCAACATCCATTCCAGACACCCGAACACCCCAAGCTTGAGACTGGAAACTGGAAACTGGTGAAAATGTGTGAAATTTCTATTTCCTTACACCAAACACATGAACACCTGAACACCCAAAGCCTGAAGCTTGAAAGTCCAGTTATCAAATCACCAAGTGCCGAGTCCTGATAGACCCGAAGCCTGAGACCCAAAATCCGAAGCCTGGAACCCAAAAACATGTATGCAAAATGTCCATTTTTCATTCATTGCACAAATCACCGAGTGTCAAGTGACAAAACCCGAAACTTGAGACCCAGTACACAAATCACCAAGTACCGAGTGCCGAGGGCCGAACCCCAAAGTCCGAAACTTGAAAACATGTATATAACATATCCATTTTTCAGTCATTGCACAAATCACCGAGTGTCGAGTGCCAAAACCCAAAACTTGAAACCCAGTATGCAACATGCCCATTTTTTATTTACATTAAACAAATCATCGAATGCCGAGTGCCGAGGCCCGAACTCCGAACCCCCAAACCCGAAAATATGTATACAACATATCCATATTTCCCTCACTGCACAAATCACTGGGTGTCGAGTACCGAAACCCAAAACTTGACACCTGGTACACAAATCACCAAGTGCCGAGTGCCGAGGCCCATGCCCTGATGTCCGAAGCCCCAAACCTGAAAATATGTATACAACATATCAATATTTCACTCACTGCACAAATCAGCGAGTGTCAAGTGCCAAAACCCGAAACTCAAAGCACGGTACAAAAATCACCAAGTGCCAAGTGCCAAGTGCCAAGTGCCAAGTGCCAAGTGCCGAGGCCCGAAGCCCCATGTACGAAGCCCAAAACCCGAAAATATCTATACAACATATCAATATTTCCCTCATTGCACAAATCACCGAGTGTCCAGTGCGAAAACACGAAACTTGAGACCCGGTACACAAATCACCAAGTGCCGAGTGCCAAGGCCTGAAGCCTGATGTCCGAAGCCCGAAACCCGAAGCCTGAAACCCAAAAATATGTGTACAACAAATCCATATTTCACTCATTGCACAAATCACCGAGTGTCAAGTACCGAAACCCGAAACTCGACACCCGGTACACCCATCACCAAGTGCCAAGTGCCAAGGCCTGAAGCCCCATGTCCGAAGCCCAAAACCCGAAAATATCTATACAACATATCAATATTTCACTCATTGCACAAATCACCAAGTGTCGGGTGCCAAAACCCGAAACTCAACACCCAGTACATGTGACTACAACTGGACATGAATTCTGTATTTGTATGTATTATCCATTGATGTAGGGTTCAAATAACTTGGGAATTGTATTGACTACCAAGGGTCGGGACTCAGGACTCGCTAGTCAATATAGGAAAATGATAATGAAAAAATGAAAATTATTATTATGCTTAACTTTCTTAATGAAGGTTGTAGTCTGAGTCTATGTGAGTGTATTGGTGGTCCTACCAAGTATTGGTACTCAGTGTAGTGATGGTTGTGGTGCTGGGCTCAGAATCACTGATTTTCATACTCATGTCGTTCTTGTCAATTGGAGATTATTTGAAGACTACATTAAATGTTAGTCAGTGTTGAGTATGATAATGAATGAATAGTCATACCTCAGTCTGAGAATAAATAGACTGAGGTAGGATGATGCAGGTATGAGGATTATATATTTGTCTGGCATGTTAGCAATGATGTAAAGATGAGGTGTGCATTTGTACATGTGTGCAGTAAGTGAGCATAAAGATAAAAGAATGAATATTAATAGTGAGACTTACACATTATGTTGAGATATCCAACATGACAAGCCTGTGATGGGATCAGAGATCTGGAATAACACCCATATATGTCCATTATAATAGCCCTAATAGTTTAGAAAGATCCATGAAGGATTGATCTATGCTTACATGTAATAACACTGTCTGTAATATTCAATAATGTGAAGACGAGTAAATATGCACCAGTGGGGATAGATACGACTAGACAGGACATAGGAAGGATGAGTCCGATGCAAAAACGTTGGGTCCGAAACTTTCAGGCCAGGGTCGGGCATCGGGATCAGGATCGGAATGTCAGGGATGTGTCGGATAAATACTGTTTAATGTGAGTATCAAAAACACGGGTTTTGAGCCCAGTGCCACAACTATCATTACACCAGGTACTGAGTACTGACTTCTAAGTACCGAGTACCAAGTAATGCAATAACCAATTGACAAGAAAAGACTACCAATACACTCACCTTGACTTGGACTACAACTTTCATTTTTTCATTCTCGCCGATGTTTCAGATTTCTTTAGCTTATATCTTGGTCAAATGATAACCAATGGACAAGAAAAGACTACCAATACACTCACCTAGACTCGGACAACAACTTCCATGTTTTCATTATCTTTGCATATTGCACACCGGGTTTTGAGTTTTGGGTTTTGGCACTCAACACTCGGTGATTTGTGCAATGAGTAAAAAATGGAAATATTGCATACATGTTTTCGGGCTTCGGAATTTGGGCTTCAGATGTCGGGTTTTGGGCCTTGGCACTTGGCACTCTGCACTTGGTGATTTGTGTACTGGGTCTCAAGTTTCGGGTTTTGGTACTTGACACTCAGTGAGTTGTGCAATGAGGGAAAAATGGATATGTTGCATACATATTATCAGGTTTCAGGCTTCGGGTTTTGGGCTTTGGACGTCAGGTTTTGGGCCTTGGACATCGGAGCTCAGGCCTCAGCACTCAGCACTTGGTGATTTGTGTACTGGGTATGAGTTTTGGGTTTCGGTACTTGACACTCCATGATTTGTGCAATGAGGGAAATATGGATATGTTGTATACATATTTTCGGGTTTCAGACTTCGGGTTTTGGGCTTCGGACATGGGGCTTCGGGCCTCGGCACTCGGCACTTGGTGATTTGTGTACCAGGTGTCGAGTTTTGGGTTTCAGTACTTGACACTTGGTGATTGATGCAGTGAGGGAAATATGGATATGTTATATACATATTTTTGGGTTTCGGGCTTTGGACATCGGGCTTCGGGCCTTGGCACTTGGTGATTTTTGTACTGTGCTTTGAGTTTCGGGTTTTGGCACTCAACACTCAGCGATTTGTGCAGTGAGGGAAATATGGATATGTTATATACATATTTTCGGGTGTCATGCTTCGGGTTTCAGGCTTCGGACGTTGGGCCTCGGCACTCGGCACTCAGCACTTGGTGATTTATGTTATATACATATTTTCAGGTGTCATGCTTCGGGTTTCAGGCTTCGGACGTCGGGGCTCAGGCCTCAGCACTCGGCACTTGGTGATTTGTGTACCGGGTCTCAAGTTTCATGTTTTCGCACTGGACACTCGGTGATTTGTGCAATGAGGGAAATATTGATATGTTGTATAGATATTTTCGGGTTTTGGGCTTCGTACATGGGGCTTCGGGCCTCGGCACTTGGCACTTGGCACTTGGCACTTGGTGATTTTTGTACCGTGCTTTGAGTTTCGGGTTTTGGCACTTGACACTCGCTGATTTGTGCAGTGAGTGAAATATTGATATGTTGTATACATATTTTCAGGTTTGGGGCTTCGGACATCAGGGCATGGGCCTCGGCACTCGGCACTTGGTGATTTGTGTACCAGGTGTCAAGTTTTGGGTTTCGGTACTTGACACTCGGTGATTTGTGCAATGAGTGAAATATGGATTTGTTGTACACATATTTTTGGGTTTCAGGCTTCGGGTTTCGGGCTTCGGACATCAGGCTTCAGGCCTTGGCACTCGGCACTTGGTGATTTGTGTACCGGGTCTCAAGTTTCGTGTTTTCGCACTGGACACTCGGTGATTTGTGCAATGAGGGAAATATTGATATGTTGTATAGATATTTTCGGGTTTTGGGCTTCGTACATGGGGCTTCGGGCCTCGGCACTTGGCACTTGGCACTTGGCACTTGGTGATTTTTGTACCGTGCTTTGAGTTTCGGGTTTTGGCACTTGACACTCGCTGATTTGTGCAGTGAGTGAAATATTGATATGTTGTATACATATTTTCAGGTTTGGGGCTTCGGACATCAGGGCATGGGCCTCGGCACTCGGCACTTGGTGATTTGTGTACCAGGTGTCAAGTTTTGGGTTTCGGTACTCGACACCCAGTGATTTGTGCAGTGAGGGAAATATGGATATGTTGTATACATATTTTCGGGTTTGGGGGTTCGGAGTTCGGGCCTCGGCACTCGGCATTCGATGATTTGTTTAATGTAAATAAAAAATGGGCATGTTGCATACTGGGTTTCAAGTTTTGGGTTTTGGCACTCGACACTCGGTGATTTGTGCAATGACTGAAAAATGGATATGTTATATACATGTTTTCAAGTTTCGGACTTTGGGGTTCGGCCCTCGGCACTCGGTACTTGGTGATTTGTGTACTGGGTCTCAAGTTTCGGGTTTTGTCACTTGACACTCGGTGATTTGTGCAATGAATGAAAAATGGACATTTTGCATACATGTTTTTGGGTTCCAGGCTTCGGATTTTGGGTCTCAGGCTTCGGGTCTATCAGGACTCGGCACTTGGTGATTTGATAACTGGACTTTCAAGCTTCAGGCTTTGGGTGTTCAGGTGTTCATGTGTTTGGTGTAAGGAAATAGAAATTTCACACATTTTCACCAGTTTCCAGTTTCCAGTCTCAAGCTTGGGGTGTTCGGGTGTCTGGAATGGATGTTGCACAATGGGATTCGGTTTTTGGGCATCTGGGACTCGGTAATCCATGAATGTCAGACAGATATCTCACTACCTCAGCCCACCCATCTATATAATGAATATTCCACCACTCCCTTGGCCCATCCGTCTACAAAATAATTCCAGTATGTCGGCCCACCTGTCTATATAATACATATCCCACCACTCCCTCGGCCCACCCATGTACAAAATACTTCCTGTACATCGGCCCACCCATCTATACAATAAACCATTACATCGGCCCACCCGACATCTTCGAGGATATATATAATATCAGCATAGATGGGCCCACCTGTCTCCATCGGAAATAATATCCCTCCCGGCCCATCCATCAACATCGGGGATATACATAACATCGGCCCCTAGTCCCCTGGCCCATCTTATATGGGATATTATGTAGGTCGGGTGACCCATATAATATGGAATTTGTCACTGAAGGGGCTCCTGCTTGATCGTGCAGAAACTGCGACAAAGGTTGGTATTTACTTGTATCATGTTGCTTGCTCTGACATTGTTTAGACTGGGCATTTCACTCTCAACAATGCATCCAACAATCACACTTCAATGCAGGAGCTCTCAACCCTACTCGGGCAATGTGGGATTGATTTTGATGCTATTGAAAACAGGATACCGTGTTTCCCACACGTGATAAACATATGCATAAAGCACATCATCGACGAATACACTGTTACTGACTTCTCCATTGTGGACGATACATGGACAGTCAAAAATCAGATCATCAAGAAAGCAGATTATGTCCAGGCGTTGTGAGCTAAGCCTCTCGAGCAAGCCAGGAACATTGTGTGATTGATTTGCACATCAAACCAGTGGCGCGACAGATTTCGGGACACCATCCTTAGGGGTAATGAGGAGGGGTGGTTTCGAGATGACAGGGGTGAGCTTACACAGCTCCCAGTCATAGAACTCCTCCTTGATGAACCTACTAGATGGGATTCAGTGTATGTTATGTTAAACCATTTGCGGACACTCCGCCAGGTGAGACGCCATACCATCAATCATATATCATAGACTAACACTGGCTCAGGCGATAAACACATTTTTTGATGCTTGGACTCAGTGCAACATATCTGAGAAAAGATTGAGTGAGATGGATTGGCAGTTTCTCCAGGACCTGGAAGTGATCTTGGAGGTAAGTACTAACACATTTGAAACACGTGATCCATTTAACCATTTCACACCAGGCACCCCATGCCGCCCAGCAAAAGCTCTCCAGTGAAACCACTCCCTCACTGAGCTATGCCGTTCCAGCATTTGAAGAAATGATCAAGAGCTGGAAATATATTGGCCTGCATGTTCCTCACTGTAAGCCTATCGTCAACATAGGCTTAACTTGGGCAAGCAAATACACCGATTGGATGGGTGCGACACATGCTTATGCTGTTGCTATGTGTCAGTCCTGTGTTTTGTTTTGATAAATGTTGATCTCATGATTACTTATGTAGTTATTGACCCTGTGATGCGGATGTCATGGATGAACAGTCAATGGGAGGAAGACCACATTAATAAAGCCAAGGAGTTTATTGTGAAGCTGGTATGTTTATTTAGCATATGAGCACAACTTTCGACTGATTTGTCTTGCAGATGCATCACAAGAGAGCAGAACACTCTAATTCTGCGTATTCTGGACCTGTAGTGGCTCCATGACCATTGCCACGCACGCTAGGCTCACGTCGCTATGGAATTCCCAAGGCGCATGCACATGCACCACATCACAACGATTGTGGTCAAACAGTAGACCAGGAGTTCACAGTGTATGTCATGGCTACTCTTAGTCCCCAGGGAACAGGTATACTTGCATTTTGGAATATGAGTCCATTGCCTCCTCAAGTCGCACCATTTGTCATTAACTACAAGTTGCTGACCAGGCTTCACAGACCATGTTCCCAACCATATACTCAATTGCCATGGACTATGCCCTGGTACAAGCTTCTGCTGTGCCATGTGAGCGGGTATTTTCATCAAGTAGCGAAACCCATATGAAAAAGGAATCACCTCAGCCCCGTTTTGATGGAAGCATTACAGATGGTTAAGTTTTTCCTGAAGAAAGAACATCTTGACTTCACCACAGGTTGGGCGGCCTCTCTACGAGACATGAAACATGAAATGGTATACAACAGAGGTTCTAATGAGCAGTTGACACCTACTGCCAGCACAAACGACACTCTTCTCAGAGCCATTGTGGAGCATGAGTGTGATAACACCAAGGACACTGCTACCATCTATGACAAGTGAGACTTCTTTTTTCATATCTGACTCTTATTTCTTGCTGTTTGTCATTTACCATTTACCATTTACCATTTACCATTTACCATTTACCATTTACCATTTACCATTTACCATTTACCATTTACCATTTACCATTTACCATTTACCATTACCATTTACCATTTACCATTACCATTTACCATTTACCATTTACCATTTACCATGTACCATGTACCATTTACCATGTACCATGTACCATTTACCATTTACCATTTACCATTTACCATTTACCATGTACCATTTACCATTTACCATTTACCATCTGCCATTTACCTTTCGTCTTTTGCCTCTTGTTTGCACTATTTTTGCTCACTCAATGCTCAACATGTTTCACGTGCTTCTGCGTGATTGGTTTCAACCTTTCTTTGCAATACTTGTACCTGAGTGCATTGATCTTCCTTCGAGCTTGGGCCATGCTGATCCTCATTCGAGTGCATGCCATGCTGATGCATGCTAGTACCTGCCAGAACCACCACTGAAAACTCAGGGCTTACTTGAGTAACATCCCACAGATGATCATAACAATAGTGACCTCACTGACAATCACAGCAGCTTCAATCATCATCCTTCTGAAAGTGATGAAGCCTCTGGCAATCACTCATTATTTGATGTGAGCATTTTACTTTCATTGTGTCTATCTATTGTGGAATGTGATATTTGTTCATGTAGATCCTCACTATAAACACTACTGTTTGTGGAAACAAGGATGCGGGGTATGTATCCTTGTGACATAGTCATCTGAATTGGCTGACAGAGAAGCTAGAACCTGCCTTGGGACGTATGACATGAGCCAGTCCTACTGGACTAATGTTATTGTGAATAATGCATACAGGTCATGGTTCTGGATGGTGTATGTAATCTCATTTGTCTGGATGTCCACTCTGACAATGATTCTAGGTGCAATCAAGTCAGATGGTACCAGGTTGGCCCTCCTGAAGGCCAGCCTGTGATTGTGAGCCATGTCCTCCAACCTATTTATGAGGAGGTACATTTATCGAATTTGAAACATAAGCATTCTTTGAACTCACGCGCCAACTTGAAGAACATCTTTTGTCCTCGATCGTCCTCAAACTTACTGTCCTCCAATCGTTTGTCATTCCCCTGCATTGACTCCATCTTTACAACTCACATACTGAATCTTAGATATGAACATTGAAGTCGTGAGTATTATGATACATTTGTGTGGCAAAGTACGTCAAAGCAGATTGCCGTGTTATTCTTCCCGCCTCCTGCCCAATATCCTCAACACCCTACACAACCATCTCTTCATTGGGGACTCAACATGTTCCTCCATGACACCTACTCCCGCCTGCATCAATCTGTTCCCTTGCAAACCACTCACACTTGCTCTCGCTGCACTCATCCCCCTCATCAACACCTCATAGGAACAATAAAGCTTCTTCAGGTTGGCCTTCTGAACACTAAACTCGGCGATCTGACTTACATCAGCTTGAGGGCCCATTGCGATCACTGATATTGGATGTTTGTTGGATTATTTCACAGTGATATTGAATACTAGTGTGCACTGTGCACTGGTGATAGATTGGATGGTGCATTTTCATTTTTGTTTCTGGTGTATAGACGCGCACAGCACCAGCACAGCATGACATCAACGCACAGTTATGTGTGCTTTTTCATTGCACATAACACGAGCAATGTACTACTAACTTTCACATAGTCCATCCTATGATCTCCGCTTCCTCAACGTCATTCCTAAGTGCGCAAATCCCTCAATGCATATCCACACGGTTACTAATCACTCAATTAAATAGGTGATATCTACCTCAGAATCATCATCTCCGGCGAAGAAGTCACCATCAAACTCAAGTCTGTAAAAGCCAAGCACCCCCAGCTTGTGTCACGAGTACCGTTAACAAACCATTATTCTTTCTTAAATCTTCCTAAGTGCCAATACACAGCGCCTAAGTCAAACCCTAACCCTACCCCGAAAGCGTCTACCAGTTCAGAGATTCCTTTAGCGCCCATGACACGTGTCTTCGATGTGACTGATGAAGAAGATGAGTTCTTTGATTGTGAATAGATTAGATTAGATATGATAAGATAAGATATGGTCACGTGATGCTTCTTTAATATTCTACAATGTTCTATGGTACGATTCCCTTTTCTATTTTATGATTGGCTAGTAGTTGTAACTCAGTTTCAATCTCCGTTTCAATAGTTATATATAGGTAGCACGTCTTGGTCGATAGTTCTCTAGTTCAAACCTCTTGTATCTACAACTGTAGCAATCCAAGACGTACTTGCTCTTCTCTCTCTTGTCCGATAACCTTAGTCGAGTCCTAGTCTCTGCCCAAGCGTTAATTTGTTATTTGGGTTGTGACAGCTCGAGTATGAGTCAAAGGTCTACAAGACCCTCACTGATGGTGTCAGTGTTCCCTTCGTATGCTGGTTCGGCACTGAGTGCGACTACAATGCCATGGTCTTGGACCTTCTTGGACCCTCTCTAGAGGACCTTTTCAATTTCTGCAAGTGCAAATCCACCCTCAAGACTGTCTTGTTCCTTGCAGACCAACTTGTGAGTAAATTCCACTGCAGCCACCGTCTTTGAGAACTAACACACCACTGTATCACCACAGATCTCCCATATCGAGTACATCCACTCACGCAACTTCATTCACCGGGATATCAAGCCAGACAACTTTCTCATGGGCATAGGGAAGTGTGGCAATCAAGTCAATGTCATTGACTTTGGTCTTGCAAAGAAATTTTATGATCCAAAGACTCACTTGCACATTCCATACAGGGAAAACAAGAATTTGACTGGTGCCACTCGCTACACCTCAATCAACACACATTTGGGAGTTGAGCAGGCTCACCATGATGACCTCGAGTCTCTTGCCTACGTTCTCATGTACTTCTTGTGCATTGCCCTCCCTTGGCAGGGACTCAAGGCTGCAACTAAAAAGCAGAAGTACGACAGGATCATGGAGAAGAAGATGACTACTCCCATCAATATCCTTTGCCATGGCTATCCCAACGAGTTCAGCATTTTCTTGAACTACACTTGCACACTTCGCTTTGACGACAAGCGCAATCGTACAGATGCCACCTTCATCCGTGTCAACAGCTCCGTGCTTGTGCAAAAGTATGTTGTTGAGGGTGCGTGAATGGTGCGCAAATTGTTTGTATCATTGTACACATGTAGCCAGTAACTAACCTTCCTATTAGATATCTTTCTGAGCGCATCCTTCTCCAGCTGTACTCCCCCCTTCCTCCTTCACCACATCACGCCGTCTCTTCAACATCCTACTGAACCATCTCTTCAATGTTGCACTGACCTGTTTCTTCATCTGCTGCTCCACGACATCCACAACAGCCTCGGTCTCCAGAGTCTCCACAACATCAGCTTGTGCCCTGCTCTTGCCTCCATTTGCCTTCAAAATCTGCTCGCTTTCCTTTGAACCTCTGCTTGTGCTGCTTCAACCTTGCGAGCACTTGCAGGACTGCAGTACAACTATCTTGACTTAGCTTCCTGGACATCGGATACAACAACAATGACTTATGTTATTTTGTGGACCCATCTCAATTCGTAATCGATGTTGATCGTCGATATCTGATAGGTATTAGGTATGTTCGGTGGTGATCAGTAGAGTAGGTAGGTAGGAAACTCTAGGAATCATATTGTCTCGCAAATATGTCCTTTTTGGGACTTTGACCCTAAGTTGAGGGCAAATGCTTATATTTTAATCTTAAAGATGGCTCGAGCTGGCTGAAAGACCAAAAATGTGGCTCCATGGACCAGACCAGGCTGCTAATTACATAAGCCACAACTAGGTACATGGTCTGGCTTAATATGGCTGCACCCATGGCTAAAGCCGGAATAAGCTGGAACTGTGGCAACACTACCCCCAACACTACTTTCTCCTGAAGGCATGTAAGTTAGGTAGTACAACAGGAAGTAAACCAGAAAGGAAGCAGCACGGCATAGGGTCAAGGGTTGTACATACCAACAACATTCATGTGACGCTGGACCTCAATGATGAAATTCCACACCTCTACACACCCTTCTGCGTCCTGGAAGCTCAAGGCATAATCTGCACCATCCAGTTTCATCCAGACAATCAATGTATCTGGTGGTCGTGTGAGTAGGTATCAGCAAATCCCCTTGTAAATATATATACCAAACGGACCTTGTTGGCATTGATAGACGTCAGTGGTGCGGATGTGAGTAGTCAGGATGAGTTTGTCGAAATGGACTTCTGAGCGAGCGATAAGGAAAGCCTGGTTGGTCTTGTTTTCAAATTATCCATAACAAAAAGTGGTCCCTTGGTCAGCCCATTGTGAACCAATAAGCTTGTAAACCTTTGTAGAACATGGCAAACATTGGTCAGAGTTGGCACTTAATGAACTCATGAAAACAAGATAGGCATGGATGAACGAGCAAGAGTGTTGGACCACCTGGAATGCATAAGAAATGTTTTGAAATTCTGTGCGCTGTAATGATAGTCGCAGTGCTGGGCTCAAAACCTGTGTTTTTGATACTCATGTTAAACAGTATTCGTCCGACGCATCCCCGACATTCCGATCCTGATCCTGATGCCCGACCCTGACCCGAAAGTTTTCGGACCCAACATTTTCACATTGGACTCGTCCTCCCTATGTCCTGTCCAGTTGTATCTACCCCCACTGGTGCATATTTACTCACTTTCGCATTACTGAACATTACAGACAGTGTTATTACATGTTATCTACAAAAAGGTGCAGTACACATGCTCTTTTACATACATTCGGACCTGATTTTGTGCTACTGTTTTCACCTAATGCACTCCAAAATCCTACATAGACACTATTTAATATCTAGTACTTCCTACCTATTGCATTACTTACTTTTCCCTACTCAGTAGTAGGATGGAAGTCATTGGATATTAGTAGTACTTCATTGTATTGCGAAATATCTATCCGCTCTTTTTCTCTGAAACATTCTGACACATCCAACACTCATTTGACCGACAATCTGACATACTTCCGACACATTCCTTCACCGTCCGATGCATTCCTGACAGTCCAGCACATAGTCCGATGCCTGACCCAACTCCGATATTTTTGGACCCGACAGTTTCTCTTCAGACGAGTAGTTCTTAGCTTCAGATTATCTTCCTATTATTGATAACTAACTATCTAAACTAATACCAAACAGCTACCCCTATAGGATCGAACACACTTGCTCTGCAAGTATAGCAGACTAGGTTGTGCTAAGATCTACCTAAACATTGTTGACTAGGTAGTACAATTTCTGCTGAGCTCAGCAGAAATCAGCTTTCTACAGCACTTTAAAAACTCATGCCGCGAAGATAGCGGAGATGCTCAAAGACAAGTACTTATATATGGACTTGAAGTTGTCAACAGATTTGTAAGTATGACATCGACACAACTTGAATACAATCCGATGCGCAACGAGGAGCTAGTATGACTGTCAGTCCGACAAGACAAAAACATATGCAAGCTCTACTAGTCAGTAGATATGTAGTAAGGCAAGAGATGTACTACTAATTACTACCAAACGTGCAGTTACCATAGTGTAGGATGCATGTTAATCAACAATGCATCAAATCTCAAGCATTCATCCTCGGGCAACATGCATAGACGAGACTTCATGGATATGTAATAGACCTTGTTCTCCTCACTGCCAAGGTCGAAAGTTGCAGACCAAGGACCCGCTTGTTACGACTTGGATGGTATCTGTTGGCGACGCTCAAACAGAGCTTGTGTTGTCAACAGTCGAGGACGTCCTTGGGCTAGCCCAAGGTTAGGGGTCGTACTTGGCGGGTCTTCGGCAAGTACGATTTGACGCCTATGTCCAAATCGGGTAGCTTATGTCACGCGGATGCGAGACGATAAGCTATATCGGCCTAGGCTTACGACACCCGAAGGTTAATCGTAAGGATCGTCGTTAATTAGAAGGACAGAAGTCCGACTAGTTAACAGGGGCTTTGCTCGTCAACGAAGTCAATGAGTAAAGGTCGAGACTATAGGCTTATCTGCGAAGAGCAGATAAGAAGATAGAATATAGACTGCTGGCGAGGCAGAAGGATCACTCTGGTGAGAGTAGGAGGTCAAGAACCAAGTAGATTCAAGTTAGGGAATATGGTACATGGTAGCGAGTTTATATAGAGGACAGGAGACGTATTAGTGGATGATAACTCGTACTACCGGGAGAGGCAATCGGTAAAGGGTAAGACCATAACAGGAAGGCACGTTCGGTCTAGGTAGAACGTGCTAGATAAGAAAGTGAGTCAAAGATCGAAATAAGAAGTGAAACGCGCAGGGGCACAATCGTGCAGCTGCGGATCTAAGTATAAGTTGCATGTGCGACTGCGCACCGAGTCAGAGATCAGAAAAGGGAAAAGGGTAAAGGGGATGTGTCGTGCATCAGATCATAGGCTACCGTCCGGACGGTAATGGCAAATAGACTGTCCACAGGATCAGTCAGGTGGTGGAACGGAGCATGGGTATGCTTCGTCAGCGAAAGGATCCGGCCAGATGTACTGGCTTTGCTGTAGCAATAGGTAGAGAGCGAAAGGGAATGCGAGGATGACAAGGATGACCAAGGTTAGGTCGGGGTAAGGGTATGACGCGAGGGCTGATACGAGGAGGATCAGGAGAAAAATGGTAGGGGCCCAGGCATCTAGATGTTCTTGTAACACCGCTAAAGCTTTTTTCAACGACCAAGCACGCAAGGTTACTGCAAGGGCGATGGTGTTGGTAAGGGGGGGTATCCAAGACTCTGTACCGAGGGGTATATACCAAGAGTATTGCTTGCAGGTTATGATGTATTCTAACAGGTCAAAGATGGCATTGTGGCCACATGGAGTTTAACACAACATAGTTTGCCCATTGTCCATGGTCACCTAAATGTAGAGTATGGTGAACACTGAAAACGTAAGGTTTGATCATAAAAATCGGACCTACCTCAACAATTTTGTCTGCAAATAGAAAGTCAGATAGCAGGGATGTCATATTTGCGACCTGCACTGCTTGCATTTTGTCTCTTGAAATGGATAGATCAAGGCTCAAGTTGTAGGCTGATATCCAAGAGATACTGGTGATTTCCTCGAAGTCGCCATGTATCTTTTTCAGTACTCCTTTGAGCCTCGTAAGAAGCTTCTTAGCGTCCAAGCCTGATTTCCAATGGGTGAGCTCATGCCCGTGATTGGCGTTCTCAGTGGTATAGCGCGCAATTGTCGCATCTAATGTGTCGTTGGCGATGGTGGAAAGTTCAGTTGGAGACGGAAAGAGATTGTCTTTGAACAGCTTCTTGAACATGTTGCTCTGAATGTCCCCTTTGAAATCCTGGAGTAACGTCACTGTTAAAAAGATGAACAATGAGGACGCATGTTCCGTGGACAGAGGTGATTCCTGGGTGACATATTTGGACTTGAGGAACTTCATCTGGGTAGAGGCGGCAGTTTTAGTTTTGTGGGAGGTATGCCTACCATGGATCAACTTTCTTGTCACTTCAGGTATGGGGTCAAGAGGGGCCTGAAGGTTTGAGTTGTTGGATCTCATAAAGTAGTAGACATTGTTAGACATGGCGGGCTGAGAGTTGTTTGAGCTGTGGGATACCACGGAATGGTGGGTATCAGGAAGGGGAGGAGGATCATTCATGCCATGTGATACAGTGAAATTATAGTTGTGACCACTGTCGTAATGGCCATCCACATCGTGTCCTGGGAAAGAATGTGGCAGCATCATTTGCATGCCCTGCTGGCTGCTACCTGAGGGCACCAAGTAGTTACCGTGTTGAGCTTAAAGATCGTCAAAGTTAGAACCACAGAAATCAATGATACACAAAATAAATACCATTCAAGTTGGAGTCATAGTTGTGACCGCCGTCATAATGGCTGTCCGCATGATGCCCTGGTAAAGAATGTGGCAGCATCGTTTGCACGCCCTGCTGGCTGCTACCCGAGGGCATCAAGTAGTTACCATGTTGAACTTGAAATCGTCGAAGTTAGGATGGCAGAAACCAATGATACACAAAATAAATACCATTCAAGTTAGTGCTATTATTGTGTATTAGCAGCTCGAGATAGCCACTAACTTGACTCAGAGCATATGCTGCAACAGAGAATCGGGAACCGGGACCATACTGCTGGACTGGCTGCTCCAATCCAAAGTCGATGTTGCCTTGGGTGTTTGGGTAGCCATTGTAATTGTGATGACCTGCACTGGGTCCTGCGTGGACTTGAAGATCGTGAATGTGGCAGAAGGCTGATGCAACACAAAAAAGCTTACCATCACCGTGACCGAAGGTGGCATGTAGGTTATCTGGAGTATGTCCTAAAACATTTGAGGCATTTTCAGCCTGAATGTTGTACCCTAACTCGAGATTGTGAACTTGGTGGGATAAATGTTAATGTCAATGTCCAGATGTTGAATTGAGAAACGTACCGTTCCGCCTGCTGGAAAACTGAGTCCAGGCTGTGACTGTTTGACTTGAAGTTGGCCTGATTCAGAGTGACCCGCTGAGAGGTGTGTCAGGCTGCCAGACCATGTCATTGCAGATTAACTAAGAGCCAGTAGGTCGCAAATGTACTGTGTCTGCCATCCAAAATCTGATGTATCCATTACCAGAGAGTCTGATTGATAATGACTTGCAAGCAGTGAGTGGAGGAAGGGGGAATTTTTGACCATGATCCTTCGTATCCCAACTGGTAGTTGAATCTTCAAGCTCAGCATCCTGGACGCAATACCGAATCTATTGGACAACATTATTAAGAATCAAGACTTACAATAATATTATTTTGATATCATTGAATCAAGATCTTCATTCCTGGCCCCTGTAACTCGACATGGTTGGAGGAACCTACTTGTTATTTCCTGTTTGAGACGCATACACATTTGACAAATTGACATGTCAGAAGGGCAGCCTACATTAATTTCCGCTATCATGAGGTTTGGGGTGGAACAAGGCGCAACTCATCACCTCATGTCATCGCCAAATGGAGTTCAATTGAATTGTACGGCTATATACCGATGTAGCGATGGTCGTGGTGTTGGGCTCAAAACCACATATTTCCATACTCACGTCAACACCTGAAACATATGCGCACATGTCCGACACACTTTCGCACATGTCCGAGCCACTCCATATCGGATCCAGCGCATCGGACCTTTGGACATCACATTGGCCGATCGCACTTCGCGTGCACTTGTCCATCCTGTGTCCTGTCCATCCGAACTAGCCTCACTAGGTGCATAGTCATTCCCGTGCATGTTTTCTGACATTCAGACCACGGTATTACATGTCCACAGCACCTCATGTCTTATTACATAGGACATTGGACCCGAAATATATTGCTACTATCTTCGCCTGTAGTATTCCGAATTTCTATGTACTTACTTAAATACTCTGTAGTGACCCGTAGCAATCATCATCCAGTAGTTAGGAGCTGTTTCCCGACTCTGCGGATCACCCAGAATATTCTTGTAGTTCTTAGTTGCATTGCGAAATATTACCATTCGTTCACCGTCATACTCCGTCACTTGTTATACTCACGCATACTGCTCACAATCCGACACTTGTTATAAAGTATCCGACTCATTATTGTGAAGTCCGAAAGTCTGAAATCTCGGACATCGCACTTTGGCTTCGGACATTGGATAAGTACCTTCGGACATCATCGGATTACCTTTGGACATCGTTTCGCACCATCGGACATTTTGTTATTTGCATTACTGACACATTTTTACTACTAAAACCAATTAGTAATTCCTTTAGGATTGAATGCACTTGCTCTGCAAGTATAGTAGCATAGGTTGTGCTAAGATCTACCTAAACATTGTTGACTAGGTAGTACAATTTCTGCTGAGCCCAGCAGGAATCAGCTTTCTACATTGTATAAGGCAAAAAGATAAGTAATTTGAAATGCGGATAGTAAACTCTGACTTGGATTCTCACTGGATGCATGGATTAGTACCGCCTCTAGGGAACTTGAAAGCTTCGGAACTTGGAACCTCAGACAAGGTTGTATAGCCAGCGTCAGTGATACTTCATGTGGCTTTCACAAAAAGTACTTTGGATCCTGTTTTTTTTTATGGTGTCTTACGGAGCTCGAGGTTGTTCTTGGGAGAAGGCAACTGACAATCGAGAACTCAACAGACATCGCGCGAGCTGCAGTTTTTTCAGGAGATCTAGTGTTCTTGCAATACAGAAAAGACTAGAGCATGCGAGGAATGCGACTTCAGTATATTTAGCTGCAAATATGTCCACGAACGCTTCACAAGTGAGTTAATTGGCTTCCAATGAGTCAGAGCTGAATCACTAAACTTGTCAATAGAGAATCTTACCATTGAAGCCTTTCAGTGCCCCTTATAAGCCCATGGCCAGGCCTAGGTCTAGTTCAGCAGCTTGTATGTCCTCTGATGTCCCCAGTCCGAGTCTCAAAGTTCCCGAGTTGCAGCACCCCTTTGATAACTCTGACTTGGAAAGGCGACAAAATGTTGACTTTGACATGGACGACAGGCTTAATCTTGGAAATGGATGTCATCGTGAGATCTTATGTCCGAATATTTGATGTCTGCTGATCACTCTACTGAGTTTTAGAAGTTCCCATACTTCCTAGGAGACACATTCCAAGGTCTTTCAATGATATCAAGCATTCAGCTGAGGATCTCAATGAGTGCAATAATGTTCCTGTTCAACCACTCCCAGCCCAGTCCAGAATCTGGCGTGTCCTTCTCATGCTGAGAGATACTCTTCAGACTGCCTTTAACTTGGTTGGGATCTGTCGTCTATACCCTCGCCATCCTTCATTTGAGCCCGATAGATTTGTACCGTCTTCATTACTTGCCAATTCATGTCCGATAATTGTCCAAGGAACTGATTCTCCATCAAAGATCTTTCTGCCACCCTACCCATTTCCAAATATGACCATTTATCACCTCATGATGTGGATGAGCTCGGGCAGTCACCAGAAATTGGAGAATGAGGTCCAGCGACTTGTCAGTGATGTCCCCCAAGCTGATGATTTTGACATTAAGCATCTTGAGGGATTTTCAGTGAAGAAGAACTTGAAAGAATTGGATAAAGATAAGGGCGAGGAGAAAGTCACCTTCCCAGATGACTGGATCAAGACCGATGTCACCATCGACATCCCTATGAGATCGAGGGAGGAAAGACCGAAGGCATATAGTATTTCCAGATTCCATTATTGCCCTCTTGTTGAAGTGATCCATGCGGCATTTGCAGACATCCAAGCAGGTGCATTCCATCTACTACCTTTTAAGCAACTATGGAAGGATCCAATGGACAATCACCAGGAGCAAATATTTGATGAGCTCTACACTTCTGATACCTGGTTAGAAGCTCAGGACGATCTCCAGAAGTTGCCCAAAGAGCCTGGCTGTTCATTAGAACGCATCATAGTGGGTCTTATGTTCTTTTCTGATGCCACTCACTTAGCAAATTTTGGAACTGCTAAGGCATGGCCACTCTACTTGTATTTTGGCAATCTGATGAAGTACGTGCAATCATTATCTTTGGTGAGTCCCCCTGATTTGATTCTCAACTATTAACATGAACAGTTTTTGTTAGCTTCCCGACAGCATTAAAGATGTATTAAGCAACCTGTCCAGTATATCAAAGACTGGCATGGCCTCGCTTCATACACACTGTTGTAGGGAGTTATTTCATGTGTGCTGGGAAATCTTACTTGATGAAGAATTTCTTCGAGCATACTGCCACAGTATCATTCTGACTTGTCCGGGTGGAGTCCTGCGGAGAGTATTTCCAAGAATATTTACCTATTCTGCTGATTATCCAGAGAAGTACAGACATCCTTTTCCTTAATTCAAACTGTTCATCACTTTTCAGGGTTTTAATCACAACCATCAAGGATATGGGCACATGCGCATGTCCTTGCTGTCTCACCAAAAAAATTGTTTGGTTCCCTCGGTTTACTTAAGTACATGAAAAATTGTATAGCTACACTTTGAGTGTATGCTATAATGAAAGTCGACAAAGCACACAAGTTTATTTACCAGTGGGGATACACTGTTCTTGGTTCAAAGGTTGAAAATGCTCTTGGAGAGGGTTCCTGGGTACCCACCACATAAGCGCAAACAGTTCCTCACGACTTATAATTAGCTGAGATCCGTTCCCCTTGAATCAATTTGCCAAGAAGCTTGGGCGGCTCAGCCTCAACCCATTTTGCATGCTCATTGTTGACCTTATGCATGAGTGCGAATTGGGTACTTGGAAGGCGCTGTTTATGCACCTTGTACGGCTTCTTTATGCTCTTTCTGGGGGTAGCCAGCTAGTGGCTACTCTTGACAACAGGTTTGCAAATTCATAGAATGCTGTTACTATTTACTAATGAATTGTCAACTCTCAATATTACCGTAGATTTTGCCAGGTCCCCACATTTGGTCATGGTGTGATTCAAAAATTTGCGAACAACACATCCGAGATGAAACAATTAGCAGCGCGTGACTTTGAGGATATCTTACAGGTTATTCTGTCTTTCGTTTTTTCTTAGACTAACTGACATGTTCCCAAGTGTTCTATTCCAGTTTTTGAAGGGTTGTTTCCACCAGGCCATGATGCAATCATGCAGTCTCTGTTGTATCAATTCGCATAGTGGAATGTGCTCGCTAAACTTGGAATTCATACAGAGTCTACGGTTACTTTTTTTGACGAGATATTTAAGAAGCTCTGTCAGAACTTGCACAAGTTTCAACACGACACATGTGCTGCCTTCAATACCATCGAATTACCGAAAGAGAAAGCAGCTCATGCACAAAGACTCGCTCAGCACGCAGAACCCAGTACCACCTCTCCAGAAGTAAATGGATCAAGGGTAAAGAAGTTCAATCTTGGTACTTACAAGTTTTATGCAATGGGAGATTATGTTAGAACCATCAAGCTCTTTGGAACAACAGATTCTTTCACCACTCAAATAGTATATGCCTGTTTTATTTACACTATCTACCTGATGTTCAATTTTGCCAGGGAGAGCTTGCAAACCAAGCCCTAAAGGTGTTTTACCCACTAACCAGTAAATTTGACATGCCAGCGCAGTTAGCTAAACACGAGTGGAGGCGCCGTGTACTTCGACATGTTGCAGAACTTGGAAGCACATCATTCTCCTCTAATAGTCAATCACCTGCCAAAGCCCCGCCTTTGGTGCTCTCTCAAAACCACCACCACATCGCGCATACTAAAAGCAATCCAGTCAACCTATTCCCCTTCCTTCAAGAACATGATGGTGACCCAGCAGTCAAGGTAGGTGTGGTATTGCGGTTGGAACACTTTTCTCACAATAGTCATCAGAATTTCATTCCAAGGCTGAAGGACTACATCCTGTACAGGTTGCGCAAGCTCAACACCAGTTATTGCGACCACATCTTTACAGATGAAGAACACAACTCGGTAGTTATCCCTAACAACACTATCTACTCAGTCCAAACCATGCAGGTGTATTATACTACATACAACCTCACATGCGAGTATGATATGATCAGCCCTAGGACCCACGCTGACATCATGGTGCTTTCAGGGGAGACAACACCCAGCCACCCATATTGGTATGCTCGCATACTAGGTATCTATCATATGGAAACCTGGCTCAATGATGGAGATCAATCTGTGAAGCACCATCTTGAAGTCCTCTGGGTCTGATGGCTAGCACCATTATGGAACCATAAATGCAGCATGAAACATACTCGTCTTCCAAAAGTTGCATTTGTTGAGGAATCTGACCCTGACTCATTTGGGTTCCTCAATCCAGGCCAAGTGATTCGAGCAGCTCACCTGATTCCTGCTTTTTCTGCAGGACAAGGCATAAACTCCCTTTTCCTTGGGAAATCATTGGGACATCCTGATGGGGAACTAGATGATTTGGAATCATATTATGTTGGGATGTGAATGTGCTAGATCACCTTTTATGATACATTAACCCTCAAGTCTTTGGTCAGCTTTGTCGATCAAGATATGTTTATGCGCTATACTCACTTTGGCATTGGACATCCAGTAGCATTGCGGAAGATAACCAGAGACTGTCTTGGCTCACTAGTAGTGGCCCCAGCTAACTGTGACTCGGACGCTATGGATATCATTGATGATGTAGACCTCGAAGAAGCAGAACATGACAATGAACAGGGCAAGGACAAGGACAAGGACAAGGACAAGGACAAGGACAAGGACAAGGACAAGGACAAGGACAAGGACAAGGACAAGGACAAGGACAAGGACAAGGACAAGGACAAGGACAAGGATGAGGATGAGGATGAGGATGAGCTTAGCAGTGAGGAGCTGGATGGAGATGATGAAGATGGAGATGGAGATGAGGATTTGTTTGATGACCTCCTTCCTTTTTAAAATTTCCTCTATCGAGTTAAGCCTTCAATTACTAGGTTTGGCAAGCAGTACAATGTACACACTTCACGAGCTGTCTTTGTCCGCAGACTTGCAGCATGTAGCTACTACAACATGGTTACTAGGCTGGTCACTGTGACCCTCTTTCTGGTTCAACGAGTTCATACATGTTTCACTGAAGTTCTGAGTCCCTTCCATGACCTGATCCATCATGGTTTTGTCATTCTCATCTTTATCTCGACTCAATCAGGACAGTTATTTTAATTTCTAACATTATCATGGTTTGTCGCTGATGGACCCGGATATAACACCTCAGCCCAGTAGAGTGTGACAATATCGGTCTGCGTGTCTACTAGTAGTGCTAACAAAGATCACCATGATGACAATATGCTACAGCCTAGCAAGTTAGGGTTTGAGCGATGTGCATGTTCCTTGGACCCTAGCAGGCACCCACACCAGTTTGAGCATGGTTGACTCCTTTATCCATGTACATTTTTAGCTAGTTTTCAGTGTCAACTGCCAATGTAACAACAAATTTGTTCAATTACATTGGTAGCACTTATGATGATCATCACTAGTTTATTCACAAGACCATTTCCAGCACAAGCCTACAAGAACTAGACTCATCAATGTCTTCAAGGGAAGTTTTTTTTGCTAATACTAGAAGGTTGACAATTAACACTAAATATAGTGTGAGCCGCTAGTGAATGCTAGCCATTAGTCTCCTACCCTCTCTCACTTTTGCCCCTACCCCCCTTCTGCTAATGGAGTCCCAGATGGAGGATGGTCGGCATCCCGAAGAATTGTCCCAGGTGGATAACACCCCACGACCTCCCACAGCATCGCCCATAGTGGTAGCACCGATGTCTGCCAGTGAGAATGCTGGTCAGAAACAGAAAATCACTGACTTAGAAGAGAACCTCACGTCAGGGCATACATTAAAAAGGTATAGGCCTCGCTCTAACATCTAGTCTGGTGGAAAACAATCTCACAAGGACGACCTATCATCAGACGGATGATTACCTTACTCGATAACATTGAGGACTTAGTAGGCAAGAATGGTTGCAATAAGGACAACAACAACGTTCATGTAACTCTCATCTTTGGGTTAGTATTTCATCTCTGTCTTATGAGAGCTACTCATGGATTTGCTATTAAAGCCAGGATCATTTGCAAATCGGATATATGGCCCTTAAAATGTCTTCAGATAGTGATAGTATGGAGCATGACAATTACTTGCATATGTTAAAAAGGGTGAGCTTTGTCAGTGACAATAATCAGTGTTGTGTTGAATCATTGTACAACTTAAACAGATGGTCTATTCTCTTCAAGGAGATGTCAATGGCGATCAGACTATTGCTAACACTCAACTTATGATGCAAGCCCAGTTGCGAGACTCCCAGAGACAAATTGACACCCTTCACACAGAACTTTTTGATTTACAAGGCAGGTTGTATGATGCTCAAGTCGAACATGCCCATGAACTGGCAGAAATACAGTGTGAGATGTTGCAGATGAGGGAATCTAGTGGTCGGCACCATAGGAAGCTGCCTTTCTCACCTCCCAAAAGGAAGTCAATGGTTCACGAATATTACCCAGATGGTGGACAATCAATTAGGTGGCTCACAGATGAAGAGTTCAAACTGTTTGATGAATTGTCTAGGGAAGAAGGCCCACATGTTGCAAAGGTTGTTGGTGGGCCATCGTCATGCGGATTGGTAGCCAGACAAAACATGTCTTTATCTCGCTGTTGGGCTTTGCGTCGTTTTCAAAAAGTCAAGGATGCCCGGGCCAATGCTGATGACTCGGAAGAGTCTGTCAGCACTACATACCACCGTGCGAATGGCACTCCAGAGATCTGAAGGAGAATTACCCCCATCACATACTTTTCTTTTGTCATCATCCTCAAATAATCTTCCTTTCCATTTCTCACCCTACCCACTGGCACATCAAGCTCGGCATCCTTCAAACCCTCACTCATTATCCTTTGTTCCTTCCTTGCTCTCACCTGCCACTCCCTCTTAATTAGCTTTTCTAACTGTTAATATGTTGTATTCCAGTGCTATCATAATTAGCAGAATATATAAATATGCTTATCCCAGTGATTTGCGGAGTCAGCGCACATCTAAATTCATAAGCACTGGGTAGTGAGTCCACCTGCTTACGTCTTTCAGCTAACACTCAGACCAGCCCAACACAATTAGGTCGTGTCTCTGACTCCGATTCCTGAGCCAGACGAAGCTGGATTTTCTTTCTGCCATTCAAATCAGTGAGTTAAGTCAGCCAGTCAAGGTTGCTACTCGTGATTGATGAGTTTTAATGAGCATCCAATGGTGGCTCATCCTTGTTATAAAGCAAGCTTCTTTGTACTAACCTGACTCGGAGCCGATGTTCTATAGTGTGGTATGTGACAATGTCCTGAGTTTACATTGATGCTGACATGATATCCTTCAAGTTCTGCATAAGTATTGTCACTCAAAAGGTAAGTAACATTATCAATTGTTCCTTGTCTGACACTTTCCATTGTAGGTGTATGATCATATTTAGGGCAGCTGCATTTGCTGATGCATACCGGGTGGCCATTAAATAAAGCAGAGGATACGAAAATTCAACTCTATTCCTACCTCTTTTACCTGCTCTCCAATCACCAATCACCTTTCCCTCGCCTCGCTCATGTCCCAGGTGGACGATAACCTGCAGCCTGAAGCATCATCCCAGATCGAGCAGCCTGCTGCCGCTGTATCATCCATAGTGGTGCCAACATCTGATATTGCTTGACAGAGGTGCAGAATAGCTGATCTGGAGGAGAAGCTGCAAGTGCTCGAGTTGGGGCATGCAGTAAAACAAAGGCATGAATACTGTCGTATTGAACATGTAGTTCACTATACTCATCATTGTCAGGGAAACAAACTACTTCATGTCACAAGGACGGGCCATCAGACGGATGGTTACACTATATGATAGTCTCGAGGACTTGATAAATGAGAACGATAAGCGGTGTAACAGAGAGGACAATAATGATGATGTAACTCTCGAGTCCGTGTTTTGCCTCCACCTACTGATTGCTACTCACCAGTTTGATACCAGTCAAAATCGTTTGCAAACTGGATATGTAGTCCTCAATAATGTACTTCCATGGTTTCACCGGAAGGCTTCCAACATGGAGTATTACAAAGATTATACCCACATGTTAAAAAAGGTGAGTTTTCCTTCTGCCAACAATTGACCTTATATTAAATTGTTTTTCAGCTTAGACAGGGTGTGGGCGGTGCTCGAGGCAATGACACTTCGAAGCTCAAGCCTCTTGTCCCTGATTGGGTCAATCACGAGTGGAAACCTGATCCCCCAGTTGACCCTGAAGATAAACACTGCCATAGATTCGCCAACGATGCTTGTGGCAGGCTGCTCTGTCCAACAGAGCTAGACTGGAATAACCCAATGTTAGTATTGCACTTGTGATCTCTCTACTAGACACTAATTTTCTGCCAGTATCAGAGCAGGAATTAGGGACTGCATAGATGGCCATATCGTGACGGAAATGTCATGGCCCGCATTTCTTTATGCAGGATATACACCGATCTGAATAATCTCGAGGAGGGTCTCTTCAAAAGCAAACTTTTAGTTCAGGTTCGTCATACTAAAACAGATTCTCAAAGCTCTCATTTTTGGCAGGCATTCAAAGCCATATTTACATCTTCCTCTTCAGCAAAGGACGTTGCTGGTGATGGAGATGGCGCCAACATCATCGAAAACAACAGATGCACAAAGAAGGATGTTTTGGGCAAGAAAGTAAAAACACATGTGGCTCAAATCATTAAAATGCACAAAGTCTCACCTCGTTTGATTGCTTATGTGTTGTGTCAAGTAAGTGGTCAGTTTTCCGTGTCCTTACCGAGCACTAAAAAATCCTGACACATGTAGTTGTGATTCGCCCTTTTCTCTGTAACGTCATGGTGGTCAGTAGATGGCGAATTTGATTATATGCAGTTCTGGTGCAATATAGTGGACTTCTTTGAATGCCCCCCTGGTCGAGCAGCACAGCGCAACATGGACCGACTCCTGACGTGGTGGATGAGGTAAATTGATTACAAGTCAACAGCTGTTAACTGATCTCTTTTATTAGAAAAGTTTTTGGAACAAGTCGTCGGATGGAACTCAGTGATGCAGCCAAGGCTCATATGTCCGTAAATGCTCTCGCAATGCAGCGGGCACGATTGGATGATGCACTTTTCGATTCTGAGTAGTTCATGTATCATTCCAACCATTTATTATTACATTACAATAGTTGTTTGTCTACCCTTCTAATTAATGTCATGATTTGCACCAATTTTTAATTGTTTGATGTGGAGTGATAGGGCTGCCTGACTATTTGTGCACATGCCATAAGAAAGCAACAAAAGGGGGCTGCTACAGGTTAAGCTATGCCTGGTGAATCAGAGCAACAGGTTGGGTCTTCTGCACCTCGTTCACATGTTGTGAACAGTCTACAGAGTACAGGTTGAGCTACAGCTGGTGAATTCCCTTACTTGTGTTTCGTAGGTTGCATCGAGAAAATCTAGTGTGATGAGTGCCAAAACATATGATTTTACAGAGAATGTGAGGCAACAACAATCGTAAAAACCATCGAAATGACAGCCCCACCCCCATGACGTAGTAGTGTTGCAGAAGTCCGGTTTGGCCTGGTTTGGCAACAAATTTTGCGAATGCTGAACCAGACCTCATGTCTGGTTCAATTGTTTTGCTGAACACTGAACCGGATGCCATGAATGCATTCATGGCGTCCAGTTCACGTCCGGTTCAATGTTCGAACATCAAACACATTGTAAATATACTTGATTGTACTATAGCTAGTAGTAAGGAGTACTGGTACACTACTGTGAAGCAAGGCCAAGTGAAATTAATGCAAGGCAAGACTGAAGATCAGTAAGGACAACAGAAAGGTTGTTTTCAGTTACATGAGCGAGGGGCTCAATACGAGCAGCAGCCTCAGCTGCAGCCTGGATATGCCTGTTGTGATAAGCACTCTTCAACAGTTGGAGCGCCTCAAAGATATTGGGCATGAGCCGGTTGCATCAACTCTGATCTGTGATGCTGCCACTTGAAAAGGCCCATTCTGATGGAGTAGCAGAACCTTGAATCACAAGAAAATCTCTTGCCATGTGGGAGAGTGTTGGGTACGCCACAGAATGATGCCGGTAGGTGCGTCAGTAAATAACTACTAGTCGATGCAATAGATATAACTTACCCCCCACCAATGGACAACATCTCCCACATCTTCCAATGGAGCCATCAAATATGTGGCGAGTTCTTGACGAGGATTCGCAATGCAGTGTTCAGATGATCGACGAGCGACGAATCGGATTCCAAGCAAAAAAGTCGCAAGTAATCATGTCATGTTCAGTGTATTGCGTGTGTGGGTGATGTCATCTCATATGTGTGAGTAGCCTAAAATGGAAGCAGTTCAAAAAGGTTCGGACCTGTTCAGACCCGTTCAACGCATTCAAGGAATGCTGAACGCTGGACTGGACCATTGGTCCAGTTCAGCCTATACTCTGAACGTTGAACTGGACCGTGGTCCAGTCCATGAAAGGTCCGGTTCGAACTGCGGTTCAGAATCAAACCTCCGCATCACAATGATGTAGGTAAAAGTTGGAATCAATTCTCTCCGTCCATCTACATGTTGAGAATTACAAGAAAGCTGAAAGGTGATACCCGACTCGTAGACATAGACAGGTCAGGATATCTATTCAGTCTATGTACTAGGTCAGCAATTGCTCGAGCGTAGCAAAACAAAGCCGGTAAATACCTAACATTCCCCAACAACAACTTTGTACTTTCACAGATGAACTAAGCCGATGTGGTCACGACTGCATGCACACAGAATTCGTCGCATGAGGTGCTATAAATGTAATGGTATCTATGCATGACGAAACATGCAAAATACTGGATGAATGGTAAGTAAGGTGCTAAGGTGAAGCATGACTCACTAGTATAAGCTCTCAAGCCAAGGTACTATATCCTAAAGGCACAAGTGTTTGCACGATGCCACGACCTCTTTGGGATTTCTCGCAAGTGAATACAGGTGCCAAGGTATGGGATACTCACAGGAGGTCGCACGAAGAGTCGAAGCAAGCTATAATTGGGTGTTTGCTTGCTTGGCGAACATATATTGATTGCTATACAATGATACAGCTTTTTCACACAGATTCGCAACTGATATATAGTGGACAAACATCAACAACTTACAAAAGGTTGGCAGCAAAATTCACAGTATGATATAATTTTATTCTTGTGCGCTCAGAAAAAGGTCTGTTGTTCTCTGGAGAATACCAGCTTTAAGTCTTGCTCAGAACATTGTCCCAGGATCGAGGGACTTCAAACATTGTGAAACTTACTTCTGGCATGCCAATTCATCAGGAAAAAACAAATTTTGTGGTAGCCCTGGTGAGAGCTATGTAGCACTACATAGCTACCATAGTTCTATGTACCTGATGTAGCCATGACTCAGACTATATAGATCTACAGCGGGCTACAGCAGACTACAGCAGGCTACAGCGGACACTTGGAGGCACAATAGTCAAATTAAAGTCTGTAGTCAATAGTAGCTGAGTAGCAACAAAATTAATCAATAGCAGACATGCAGAATGTATCAAGGTCAATAAAGGTATTTAAGTAAAAATCACTTGCGGACTCATAGACATTTGCGCTAGTCCATTTACGGTCAACAGCTTGTCCCATCTTCAGAATAAGATGGCAAGGACGAGCAATTTCATTGACATGTATCACCACTGCATTCTGGTGCAGCCGACGAGTCGAACACAACAATTGGTGCAGGCCAGATGAGCGGTCTGGCTCCCTGAGTGGTGTGAACCACTCAATGTAAGCCAAGGCTCGGGAGTAGGTCCCAAATTGACACGGCAGAGTGAAAATAATGTGAACCTGTCCCACTCGCATACCTAGTAAGATAGCAACATGAATTTTTTGACGGCTCAACTAATAGTTACTCACCTTCTAAAGTGCACAGCTGAATGCCATTGCTTGTCAGGGCCATATCAAACTTAGTGGGAGATCCAGGCTTGCATCCACATTTAGGAAGCACTTCAGGTGTGGCTCTAACACGCCACTGCCTCGGTGACTCACTGATGAGTGGATTAGGTGGAGCAGTGATTACTACCTGTCGAAAAATGTCAAAATTGTTACGACTTGGATGGTATCTGTTGGCGACGCTCAAACAGAGCTTGTGTCGTCAACGGTCTGTGGACGTCCTTGGGCTAGCCCAAGGTTAGGGATCGTACTTGGCGGGTCTTCGGCAAGTACAATTTAACGCCTATGTCCAAATCGGGTAGCTTATGTCACGCGGATGCGAGACGATAAGCTATATCGGCCTAGGCTTACGACACCCGAAGGTTAATCATAAGGATCGTCGTTAATTAGAAGGACAGAAGTCCGACTAGTTAACAGGGGCTTTGTTCGTCGATGAAGTCGATGAGCAAAGGTCGAGACTATAGGCTTATCCGCGAAGAGCAGATAAGAAGATAGAATATAGACTGCTGGCGAGGCAGAAGGATCACTCTGGTGAGAGTAGGAGGTCAAGAACCAAGTAGATTCAAGTTAAGGAATATGGTACATGGTAGCGAGTTTATATAGAGGACAGGAGACGTATTAGTGGGTGATAACTCGTACTACCGGGAGAGGCAATCGGTAAAGGGTATGACTATAACAGGAAGGCACGTTCGGTCGAGGTAGAACGTGCTAGATAAGAAAGTGAGTCAAGGATCGGAATAAGAAGTGAAACGCGCAGAGGCACGATCGTGCAACTGCGGATCTAAGTATAAGTCGCATGTGCAACTGCGCACCGAGTCAGAGATCAAGAAAGGAAACAGGGCAAAGGGGATGCGTCGTGCATCGTGTCATAGGTTACCAGTCCAGACGGTAAGGGTAAGGGGACTGTCCGCAGGATCAGTCATGTGGTGAAACGGAGCATGGGTATGCTTCGTCAGCGAAAGGATCCGGCCAGATGTACTGGCTTTGCTGAAGCGACAGGTAGAGGGCGAACGGGAATGCGAGGATGACAAGGATGACAAGGGTAATGTCGGGGTAAGGGTATGATGCGAGGGCTGATATGAGGAGGATTAGGAGAAAAAATAGTAGGGGCCCAAGCGTCTAGATGTTCTTGTAACATTACCCCGGTTTCTAGGACTGAAATCAACGAGTTCAGTTATCCATGTTGTCATACCAGGAGGGATCGCAGTCGAGGTCACGGAGTATGTCCATGGCCTCTAAAGCATTCTCTTCTCTATCTTGTTCGAGTCGTGCAGCATCATGATCATATGCTGCTTCCAACTGACGCATGTCAGTGTAGAACGTTTCCAAAGATATTCCTCGACGAAGGATCTTCTTGCCGTGAAGGCGAGGGCAGAAGGGGGTGAGATGTCTGGGGGCGAATCGTCCACAAATGCGGCAAAAGTATCGCTCGCATTGTTTCTGTTTGTGGCCGTACTGGTGGCAGACCCTACACTTAAAGTTGCACTGGTAGGGTTGTGGGGTCGTCCTAATGTGCGTGTCATTAAGTATCTGTTGCCTGGTAGAATCCTGGCCCGGTACATGTCGGGTGATGGGTAATCCGAGTGCAAGAATGCGCTCGGTATTCAGTCGGCGACTTCGTCGAGGGGTGCGTGTAGGTGGGGGAACAGGGACAGGGGTGTTGTCCCTGATGATAGGTGATCTGATAGATAATATCGGTATGTCATCGGTAGAGATGAACCCTGGAGGGGGAGTGGTAAGACGAGCTTCCAAGCTCGGTTTGTCTTCTTCGTTCGTCTTTCTCCAAGGTGGTGTGCGAGTTTCCTTACTCGACTTTTCTTCTTCGTGCTTCTTCTTCCCTTTATAGGGAGCAGGTAACGGGTCGTTGGCTACGACCTCGTCATTGATGATGGTGGCTCGGAGTTCTTCGAGCTCGTCGCTAGTCATCATCCTGTACTGCTCTTCTTCGTGTTCTGCGAACAGTCTGTCGATTTCTTCGGATGTGAGGTTGGTGGGGATAAGATTGGTTCGTTCAGAGGGAGGGGTTGGAGCACTGCACTCGGCAGTACGCTCGACAACGGCTGCCTGTACAGGCGGTTGGTTGTATGCGATCTCTTCTTCTATCTTGACGACTACGTCGCCAAAATTCCTGGATGCAAGAAGGTTCAAGAGGGCCCTCTTGGCCTTCGTGACGGAGTATCGAGTGATCGGACTATGGGGAAGGATGCCATATGGTCCGGTTGTGAAAGCGACAGTGTCAACTGCCCGAAATGCATTGACAAGCTCCAAGAGAACCGTGTCTTTGGTACGGTCAATAAAGCTGTCGAGTCTAAGCGCGTACTGCGCGTCGAGAATAATGGCCTCCCAGAATGCCTTCTGAGAGTCCGGGGTCTGCGTGAAAGGAACGGTGAACTCGTGGATGAGTTCGACAATGGAGGGTGTGGAGCCGAGAGAGATGGAGGAGGCATTGGACGAAGTGGTAGACATGGAGGTGATGGTAGCTGGTTAACAACTGAGGAGCTTTGTTGTCAGCTTGAGTCTCTTCTTATAGTCCTTGAGCATCTCCGCTG